AGGGTAACAGAACATTTGGAGAAAAACTACTTAGATCATAGTCCTCCCAATATGAATTCTGGCACATTGTCAGGAGACACCTGGATTAATTAAAAAGCAAGTAATAGCAGAGAAAGGGAAAAGAGGGGTGGAAGGGATTTATACAATAATCCACAGAGTACTAGGCTTGCCTGGCAACTGCTAAACATCTAATTAGTACATTCCAATGTTACTATGGCTTTATAGTTCAATTTCTGAATGTATACCATCCCAAAATTCTTACAGTAGGTATGACAGAACACATTTGAATTATATTCAACTTTATAAAAGGACATTGAAAGTGTCCCTTTTTCTCCTTTGCAACTCTTTGCAAATGATTAGTGATATCCTCACAAATTGATCCTTGTGGTACAGAGGAGTGTATTTTAAACTCATATCCTATATTATTATTTTAATGTATGCTGCTCTTCAAAACAATATTGCCAGAGGCTTACAGCATCCACAAGGCTTCTAAAGGGAACAATCTCTCTCTTCCCACTCAAGTAGACAATGCTGCACTTTTAAGCATCCTGGCAGACCAGTTTGATCTAATAGTTAAGGCACAATTAGAAGCCAGGGTCTGAAAAGTGGACCCTGCACCTGCGGGAATACACTAGAAAGAAGAATTAGAAGACAGGAGATGGTGGATTTATATGTTTAATAGATTTATATGGCTGCCATTATAAATATATGACCGAGTGGCTAATATGAAAAATGATAAAAACATATCACTTGATGGATGGGACTCAGAACATGCCCTTATGTATGATCAAATAGGATGGGTAGAAATAACCAGGGAGAGATGACCCCATAAATAGCTCAGCCCCAAGTCACAAAGGCTTTAATGACGGCCAACAGTGTGAATTATACTTTGAAATATACTGGTACTGCCCATGCAGCCTGTGGAACTGTGATGTCACGTGCTGAAAAACATTATTGCTTACTGACTGTGCCACCACATTCAGCACTAACTGAAACTTCCAGATGCCCTTCCAGATGCTTGTAAAACATATTGCAGTAGTTCAATCTAAAGATTCCTAGGGCATGAGTGATTCTAAGTAATCCTGCCTGGAGACAGACAACTGGATGACTTTGGGCCAAGGATTTTCTCTTAGTCCTAGTTACTTGCAAGCCACTTCTGAAAATACTACCAACAAAACTGAACAACAAATAATTCAAAAAGAATTTTCCAATTGTATGAATGTACAAAATTAATACTGTGTTTCCCTGAAAATAAGACCCTGTCTTATATTTTTTTGAACCCTGAAATAAGTGCTTGGCCTTATTGCCATGCGCTCAAAAGCCTGATTGGGTTTATTATCAGGGGATGTCTTATTTTGGGGGAAACAGGGTACAAAGTCTTATATTATGTCCAATTACTTAATTACATACCTGAAAGGTTAAATAGCAATCTTAACAACACTTACTAAGATAAAATGGATGAGTAATGTCTGCTGTATCTTTTTCCATTTGCAGGGCTTCTGTCTCCAAATTAATCTGTAACATTGAAATAGTGCTTTAAAATTTTTGTGCAGTTATTTAAAGTATTTAAAGTTACATGAATTCCTGCTAAAATGATCCTCCATTATTTTTATAAAAGTATTTGATACATTGCAATGCAAATGTTTTAATATATTCATTTTTTACTTTTGCAAATGGATGGTTTATTTTACTATATAGCTCTTCTTTAGAGTTCACTTCTGGCCAAAAAACTGGAAACAAGCCAAAGACTATAAACCAGCAAAAACCATGATCACATGACTGCAGAATGCTGCAACCAGGCATAAAAGTGAGTTGGTTTCCAAGTGCCTGAAATGTGGTCATATGACTATGGATATGTATTGCAGTCATTGGAAGACGAGAATGGATTATAAGTAGCTTTTTTGGGGGGGAGGGGGCCTGTCATAACTTTTAAATTGTTGATAAGCAAGGAGAACTTGTATACAAAACAGAGGAAAAAAACCAGTAGAGACCTGTAATATACACTCTTCCCCCACCCCTCTGAAAACATCAGAGGTATTATAGTATTAAAGAAGTTTAAACTGAATTCTCTTCTGGAACAGAAGGTATTGTGACTAATGGAGCAAATGTTCACACTTCACATCATTTTTATCAAAATAAGTCTTGTTCTAGTACTAAAATATTATTTACCCGGCTGACTTCAGCTTGGAGATCAGCAATTTGTTCTGCTTTTGAGACATACGTAAAACAAGCAGATGGTTTTCTACATATATCTAGAGTCCCCTGAAGAAGAAAGGAAAAAGACAAACCAACTCAACCACTCATGAAATTAGGATTGACGTTTAGAACATTTACTTGTAAATAAAAATTAATTTTGAAACTAACAAAAATTTAGAAAACTATCACTTACTAGGAGAGACTGACACACAGAATACATACATGTATCTTTTTAAGTGTTTTATTTCTTCTTTGTGTTGCTGTCTCAAAAGTAAAATCTACAGTTGGAAATTACTGTTGTTATCATTTTTTTGTTTAGTAATCAATCTTTACAATATAAAATTCTTTATATACCTCAGAATATCAAATTTATGCAATAGCACACAAAGGTAATTTGACCAAAATATGTGTCTATTATGAAGAGGTAGGTTATTCTAACAGCAACCAAAGGATTCAATTAAAATAAAAGTGGTTAATAATAAGGGGCAGAATGCAATTCAAATATTTATAAAAAATATGTTTTATGTATCTCTTATCTTTTAAAATATGATGCATTAGGTATGTGCAACATTATGGATTATTTAATGAACAAGAAGCGTTAGGTTTGCACTTTATATATGTCCACTCTCCAAGCAAGGTACCTGAGCAGGCAAAGGAGGAAATGGACAATTAGAAAAAAGGGCAAAGGGTGGGGGAGACACAGGACATACTATATTTTTAAGTTTCTTCGAAGGGTGACAAAAATTACAGCAAAAAACTGCAGGATATGTACCTAAGCCTACATGAAATTACTTCTTCCAGCATCAGTTTTTTCAATTGAAATACTTTCCCAGCAATCTTTATTTTCAAATGTCATAGAAATCCATGACAACTCATGTGATCTACGAATTACATTATCGTATTTTTTGCACTATAAGACGCGCCTAGCTTTTGGGGAGGAAAACAAGGGGGAAAAAAATCTGCCTCTGCCTCCCAGCATCCATCAGTATTCGTCTGGCTAGCGTCCTTGCAGCAGTCTGGTCAGCTTCAGCATGTTATTGCATGATATGATATGATTTAGCACGAGCAGCTGATTGGTGGTTGGATCGGCCTCCCGGAATACTGATCAGCTGTTCCAGGCTGTGGGGATTGGCACAATCTATCGCCGCCTCCATGCGTCCCATTTTCAACCTCTGCACACCCTGTTTTCGGCCCGTTCCCGGCGGCAGGGAATTCCTGCCACCTGGAATGGGCCGAAAACAGGACGTGTGGAGGCCGAAAATGGCCAAAAGGTGGCGGCCGGCGGGTGGGCGGGGCTTTGGCAACATTCGCTCTATAAGATGCACAGACATTTCCACCCACTTTTGGGGGGGGAAGTGCGTCTTATACTGTGAAAAATACGGTATTCCTAAATTTGCTAGAAACAGGAAATAAATTAAGTAATGTAAATCTAGGCCACTGAGTCTGTCAACAGATAAGGAAGAAAAAAAGCAAACAATTTACAATATACTACTGTGAGAACAATCCAATTTTTTTTTAAAAAATACAAAACACTCAAAAAGCCAGACAATATTTGATTTTAAGGCAACTCCTACTGGATGCAAAAGGTGAGGACAAAGGCAATGAATGACATGTCTTCCTTTTGTCAGGCATCTGGGAAGCCTCTAGACAGAGGAAAATAGTCGTCTTCTCTCAGAAATTAATTCCTAGTTACTTGACTATGGCACCAGATCTGACACAAGGGTTGCTCACACAAACATGTCCGTTTTTTTCAAAATCGCTTTCCATACCCAAAAATCGGGTATGAAAAATAGGGCTCTATGAAATTCAGCGGAAATTCCCACATAAATGACAGTGGATGTACCCATCCTGAAGTATTTACTGAATAAATACAGAATGTTTCTAGGGTAGATTCAAATCGCGTTTTGTTCCAATCCGCGAACTTTTTTTTTTTTTGCGTCGCATTGAGTTCATAGGAACCAAAAACACACGGGAACTAATTGCAACGGAGTGGCATTTACAAAATTCCTTTGAGGGCAGACCCGCCACCATGCGAATCTGTTCTGCTTATTTCGAAACAAAACGACCGAGCGAGTAGCGGAATCAGTGCAACACCCTAAATCGCGGGAAACCGGTTTTTCCAAAGTAATCCCTGAAGCAAAAGGGAGACGGACGTGCTATAAAGCCAGCCCACCCCCCCCCCCCCAAAAAACCACCTGCATTGCCTACAAATCATTTGTAATCTGGGCTTCTTATCATTCTGGCGCCCAAACTACCTTCTTAAGGCTTTGGCTGGCACTCAGCCTCAGAGGCGATTATGATTTGCCAGGAAAGAACCAACCGCCCCACCTGAGACACCACTCCCGCGGAGAGAGCCCGCGCCAACATCAGTCCCGCCGCCGTGGGCTGCACGGGATCCCAGGGGTTGGAGGAAGCCATGACCCGGGCAAGCCTCCGCGCGCCACACCCGCGCGCGCGCGCGCCTCGAACGAACGACCGCCCGCCCGCTTTAGGAAGCGCCGCCCAGAGATGCCTAGAACCCGCGCACCGCCATGTTGAGTGCGGCCGAACTGCCCTCACGCCACGGGAGTCTCTCTTCACCACCGGGGGAGACCGAATGAGATTCCTCCCACTTCTGTTATGGGCCGTCCCATATCACGATATATCCCAGCTGAGGTCCACCGAAGCATCGACTCCGCTGTACAAACAGAGCTGGTGGTTTTTTTCCCCCCCGCTCACAGGGCATCCGGAAGCCAAAAGATAAATAAATAAATAAAATAAAATAAAATGGCGGCTCTTTCGGCCATTTTGATTGTGGCGGAAGGCACTCGGGATACTCTGGGTAATCCTCCTCCATCCCCGAGATTCTCAAGTATTATTTTTCGAGCGGAGAAGCAGGCCATTAGAGGCTAGGCTGGCTTGTCACCCGGGTGTTGGGCTCCTTCGCGGACGACTGAAGTTACCTGGCCGCTGTTTCTCGTCGTCCTGCGTATGCTTGTTGCTAGGATGCGAGGCTGTGCCGGCTAAGTAAAGGGACTAAGGTAATCCCGTCCTCCTTTCAGGAGGTGGTGTTTTTTTTTTTTTTCCCGGGATCTCCCTAAGGGGAGATCTTCAGAGGGCGTTGGGAGTCGAGAGGCTGAAGTTGGTAGGCTGATTAGGGGAGATTAACTCCGTTAGAAAGTGCAGCAATAAAAATCGGGACGATTATCGGATGGCAGCGAAGAAGAAACTTTCGGGTCTGGACGTTTATTGTGGAAGGAAGGAAGGAAGATCGATCTAAATGGTCACCCAGCTTTTTGTAGCCGTAACGTGTCGTCCTGGAAAGTTAAATCCCTTTGAGATTTAGGCTTTCTTATCGCGCTAAACCATAGTTAGGTTTGGTTTGTGTTCATGCAGCGTGACCTGTTAAGTAAAACTCTAGCTAACTGGACCCAGCCTCGCATCCGGATTAGCGGGCGTGGGATTAACGTGATTTGAGTATGGTTTACTTCAATGGAGAAATCATTTTTCCTGCGAAGTTCAGGAATTGCGTTGATGCCACCCCTCCCCTATGGTGCCCGCCTGTGTCTTTTGGTGGGAGAAAGAGAGTATCTTGAATTATCCTGGTTATTTTTTCCCCCTTCCTTACCTGTGAGAGGAAGATAAATATTCTCCTTAAATATAGTTTGTTGTGGGCTCCTTAATGGTCAAAACTGAGGTTATCCCAAATTCTGACTTCACTTACCTGCCCTTCTCAGGTAAAAGAAGGCAAGCAGCTAGTACAAAAGCCAGCGAAACGGAAATTCGGTAATACAGATAGTCCTCGACGTACAACCATTCGTTTAGTGTTCAGAATTACAATGGCATTGAAAAAAGTGATTTATGACTGGCTTCCACATGACTGTTGCAGCATCCCTACAGTCATGTGATCAAAATTTGGGCTCTTGGCAACTGGCATGTATTTATGATGGTTGAAGAGATCCGGGGTCATGTAATTACCTGTTGTGACCTTCTGACAAGCAAAGACAATGGGGAAGAGATTCGCTTAATCACTAACTTGTTAAGCACTGTTAACAACTGTGGCAAGAAATGTCATAAAATGGGCAACTCTTAACATCTGTCTTGTTTAGCAAAGGTAATTTTGGACTCAATTGTGGTTGAGGACGAGGACTACCTGTACTGTCTAAAAACATTGTTAGATGAACAAAGTCTTCTTAATATGCCAGTGTATGGAGAAAAAATGTATTGCTATTAACAAAAAAGGCATTAGCTTGAATGGATACATGAATTTAACCTATAATCCCTACAATATTTCTTTGTAATACTGCTGATTTGTCATATAAAACAGTAATTAATCAGGCAGTACTATGTTAAGGTAGGCAAAATTAGAAACAGTGCATACCTTGTTACTTTTGCATTAGTATTAATGCAAAAGTGTTTTAGAATAGGAAACTCTGACTTGAAGAGCAAAATATTTAGAAAGCTTGTTGATTTTATATGAAACAAGTCTTGTGATTGCAACACTAGAGAAAGCTGTGTTAAAGCTGTGCAATACTATTCATATGTGGTCCAAGGAAAGTACAGCTCACTGGAAGCTATAACTGTGTGGAGTCTTGTACCTCATGAATTTATTTACAGTGGTACATTTCATTAATTGGTTCCGGGATAAGTACCAAAAATAAATAAGTACCAAACACATTTTCCCATAAGGAATAATGTAATGAATCACAAGGCAGCCTACACCGATGAGTTCTAGCTTGTGTGTTGATTACCAAAGAAACGATGAGTACTGGGACAAAATTTTTGCACCAAAATGCACTGAGTATCAAATTTGATGAATTTCAAAGCAGTTGAGTACCAAGATACCAGTGCATTTGCCAAGGCTTCTATGCTGCTAAATTCCCATAGGCTGTAAATAGCTTACAAAATACTGTATAGGTAGGGTTAAAAGCATTAGTCACATAAAAGGCTTAACCTCTCAATCTCTAAATGTTTACAAACAACAAACTCTTCATAGCTATTTGGAAGCTCAAGGACTTCCTGCTTGGGTGTAAGCAGTGGAGACATGGAATCATCATCATTTGGAAATATGCTGAATCTCTGGAGTGGAGGTTAATAAATTACCATGGACTTTAATGCTGTTCAGTTACTATTGTATAATGTATCTATTTTTCCAACAGTTATGAGCTAATCTTTTTGAATGCAGAAGCATAAACATGCTCACTGAAAACATACTTTTGAGGAGGTCTTATGTTCAGGTTACCATGAGTTTGAATATAGTGTTTTCATTTATCATTTCCATCTTTTCTGTTACATAGCAACATTTTCATATATTTCTATCTTATTACTAATGAATGTTGTGTTAAGATTAATTTTATGCAATGGGGATGATTTGAGTAACTTATATTTGAGTCAGTGGCATGGAAGACTGAGCCTCAATTTACCATAGAGGTGAAAATATTGAGAAGAAAATTATATGGATAAACCTTTAATGTATTCTCAATTTACTTTTTAATAGAAAGTAATTTCATGTTGCCTAATGTAGTGTGAATGAGAGGTATTCTACTACACATCTGCCACAATCCTTTTGTTTGCCAGTTGCAAAGACAAGAACAGAAAGATGGGAAACAGTGCCTTAAAAGCACATTTGGACACTGCCCAAAAAACAGGAGTATTTCAATTAACTGGAAAAGGCCTTTCTGAGGTAAATGTCAATTTTGTGTACATATGGCACAAAAAATCAATATCCTTTACTCCATAAAATGCTAGAAAGATAAAATTATGTCTTGTTTTGGAATTCAGAATATCGTCTTTTTGATTACATATTTATTGGGACTGAATTTGGCTATTTCAGACTTTGCATTTTGGACTATTTCAGGCTTGGAGTAGGAAATGGTCTTATTGGAAATCCAATAAGTATATTCTAAAATCAGTGTATTTTATTTTCAGCTTGATATTACCCATTTTGTTGTTTGTTTTAAAAAAGCTGCTTTAATCCTGAAACCAAATGTTTGTCTCAAAATGGAACATTTAATGTTGGAATATTTCTGAATACATTCAATCTGAATGCAATATATACTTTTAATAAAAATGTTGAATATGTTCTAATTAATATCTATACTATAGATATTATAGTATAGTATATACTATACTATATTATAGAAATCAGTTTGGATTTCTAGAGATAGATCATTTAATGGAAGCTTACCCCTGATGATTGTATTTAAAAATTGCAGTTCTGCACAGTTTTACTAAAGCTCTCGGATTTAATTTCTAACAAGAAATATGACTTAATGAGCTGTTATATCCATTAAGCAACTATGGCAGTTCATATTAGGTTTTATTTATTTTGATTTGCATAATATGAAATACTTCATTGTGTTAGGTTTTGTTCCAATTATGGTTAATTAATTTTGGACAGATTTCCCAATTCTTTTCCAATCTTTCATTATTTGGGGTATGTAAGACTACAAAACATAATTTTTATTACAAATCTTTCTGATTCTGTATATTTGTTGCAGTTTTTAACTCTTGGAATAATTTCATCAATATCTGAATTCTTTTTCAGTTTCCTGAAGATCTACAGAAGTTGGCAAGTAATCTCAGAACAATAGATTTGTCCAACAATAAGCTTGAATCACTCCCACCTTTTATAGGAAAGTTCTCTGTATTGAAAAGTCTTGCTTTAAATCACAACAGACTGAGTATGTTTACTTAAGTATTTTTAGCTTGCTTTATATTGCATATTAAATAATGTTTCAGTACTAACAAAGATGTGTTTGTAAGTGCAGCTATTTGTTACTAAGATAATGCGTTGCTGAACGCTAAGGTAATCAAAATTATTTTGATTCTTATGAAATAGAGACTTGCTCAGATAGAATATTTTTTATTACTTGCTCTCTTGTTTTCTTCCCACATCTTCTCAACTGCAAAATTTCTGATGGTGTATTAACCCAGGCAATTTTGCAGTATATAAGAAGAAGAAATAAATTATATCTGATATATATCGTATATTACAAAAGAACATTCCGTTATATTATGAATGAGCATTATATAGCAGAATAAAATATTCAGTCTTGACATTTTAATAATTGTTCTTTTTTCTTGGCATCATGATTCAATTCTATTTATAATTTATTGCTAGCTGTATTACCTGAGGATCTCTGCAAGCTGAAAAAGCTGGAAATTCTACATCTGAACAATAACCAATTGACACGTTTACCTAGCAGTTTTGGACAACTTGCAGCACTAAAGACTCTGAGCCTTTCCGGAAACAAGCTTCAAACTATACCTATTCAGCTATGCAGTCTTCATCATATAGATGTGGTAGATCTTTCCAGAAATCAGATCCAGAGTATCCCAGACACAATAGGAGAGCTGCAGGCCATTGAACTGAACTTAAATCAGAATCAGGTCTGGAAGTATTTTTTTGTAGTTGAGCATTGTTATGTGGTGTCCTAAATACTATGGGATGGAGATATAGTTAATGTTATAACTATAAGCCAAATTTGCAAGAGGTGGGGTTTATTTGACATTAAAGATAGTCCTTGGCTAACAAAGGTAATTGGGCCTGAAATTTACTAAACAATATAGTCATAAAATCCATGTTGTAAACTGCATCACTTAGCAATGGCAACTATGGCAGTCCCCATTGTTGTTGTTAACCAAATCCCACTAGTAATTAGGAGAGGATTCATCTTGCTCCAAGCCATTCTTTCCTTCCAACTTCAAGTCTCAGGAAGGTAAGGGACTACCGTCTGGGACTCTATCCATCCACCTATCTCCCCCATCTCTCCCCATTTGGCTTCCCTGCACAGAAGCACTCCCTGCTGGTGGCGGAATGGGACTTGTAGTCTCTGACTTTTCATTCTCCTCGGGTGATTCTCTCCAGACTTATCTCCTCAGCTGGCAGGCCTCCTTCACCTGAGGAGAAAGAAAAGTCAGAGACTAAAAGTCCTAGATCCGCTGGTGGTACTTGGGCTGAAGCAGGGGCATGGGGCCTTCAATCAGCCACCCCCACCTCCAGATCTCCAAGGAGTTCTTCCTCAAGGCCTGTACGGTGGTCAGGCATCCCAGTTTCACAGGGTAAAGCTTTAGTCATCCTTGCTGTCCTCCACTCCATGAGCTCTGCCACACCTAACTGAACTTTGCCGTTTTCCGCTGCTGACAAAGTGCATCCAATTGGCCTTATGTGAGAATGATGTGCATGTGTGGAATTACATTTTGTTTGAGCGGAAATGAGAAAATCTACAGGTAATCCTGGATTTACAACAGTTCATTTAGTTTCCGTTCAAAGTTACAACTGAAAAAAGTGATATACGACCATTGCAGCTTCCCATGGTCACATGATCAAAATTCAGATGCTTGACAACTAGTTCATATTTATGACCGTTTCAGTGTCTCTAGGATCATGTGAGCCCCTTTTGTGACCTGACAAGCAAAGTCGATGGGGAATCCAGATTCACTTAGCAACTGTGTTACTAACTTAACAAATGCAATGATTCACTTAATAAAAGTGGCAAGAAAAGTTGTAAAATGGAGCAAAATTCACTTAACAAATTTCTCACTCAACATAAATTTTGGGCTCAATTGTGATAGTAAGTTGAGGACTACTTGTATTGATCCAAGTTTATAAATCCATAATTACCTTTTAAATGTGTAATTAATTGGATACTCTGCAATTGTAATTATGCACTGTGCTGAAATTGTAGGAGTTTTCAGCAATCCTATTGTCACTATTGATTAGTTATAGCAAAACAAACTCAGATCAGATATAGTCTATCAATATATGACCAGTTTTTAGAAATATGAGTAATACTTCTTCATTTTCTTATTTAATTTTTCTAATTGGGGAGACATACTATGATCATTGTAACCATCTTTTTACTTACTTTTTGGACATATAACAGATTTCCCAGATCTCCTCCCAGATCTCTTGTTGTCCACGCCTAAAAGTTCTGCGCCTTGAAGAGAACTGTCTAGAACTAAGTGTACTTCCTCAGAGTATTCTTGGTGATTCTCAGATCTCTCTACTTGCTGCAGAGGGCAATCTTTTTGAGATCAAGAAACTCCGAGAATTGGATGGCTATGACAAGGTTTGTTGGAAAATTCTATATATGTATTTCTCTTTTCCACTATTTAATTGGTAACATTTTACATATATTTAGATAGGGTAGTGGTCAAATGACATCAGTTATAAATGAAATCATAAAAAAATAGATATCAATTTTTAATGTCACGTTATGAATCAGGGCAATTTTTATTGCCCTGATTCATCTTAAAGTTTTGGAAAACAGTTAAAACATTTTCCTAATATATCAGAGTTCTATGAGTGTTTTAAAAATACTCTCTGGCTCATTGCACTAAACTCTGTACCTTTGAAAACATTTGTCAAAGTGGTTATATAGTTTTATATAAGGACCAAAAGATCCCAGAATAGCATAGGTCAGGCAGCACAGATAATTATGCTAAAGGAAAAGTCCAGGAAAGTTCTTTTGATGAACACCAAACAAGAACATACCAAATAGGTTCTGCTGAATTTGATCCAAAGTGGTTTAATAGGAATGATATAACATCACTATTCTTAAAATGTTCATATGAGAGGTGACATTTGACTGAACACTACTTTGCTTTATCAGACTAGCTATGAATCTCTTATCCAACAACAGGAGATTTAGGAAAGACAACACAGAAGGTCTGAATTAATATAGTATTGAAATTGTAACTAGTCAGTACAAATAGATTATGTATTAAAAAGAAAAAAAATAGAAAACCATAAAACTGTAAGAGTTATCTAGAATTTGATTTATGTGATATATTTATCAACAAAACTTTTTTTTAAACATTTTAGTATATGGAGAGATTCACTGCTACAAAGAAAAAGTTTTCCTGAACTACTGTGCCAGTTTTATCTTGTGAATGAAGACAAGAAATGTGACTGATGCGTGGATCCAAAATGCAACAAGCCTGTTGGGAGAATGACATTCAAGCCTTTATATAAATGTCCTCTTGGTTTCAAAATGCCTTGATGTTTTAGATCTCACAAAATGAATCCAAGAATTGGTAACCTTGGATATAATGCTTAACATCCACTTGTAAAGTCTCCATTTACAAAGATTAAGAAGAAAATTACAAAATGACCTGAACTGAAGAGGTTTTATGACAGTTCCTGACAACTTCATACATAGGAGGCAGGGCAGATGGAGATAATGGGCTACGTGTGTAGGATCATCTGCCAGGAGGCTCACTAATTCAATATAGATTAACTCCGCAATGCAAATCCATCCATCTTTTGGCTTTAAATATTTTACAGTGTATGTAGGGCTGGCCATTTGAAAAATTACGTACAATAGAAGCACAAATTATGGATGAGCAGATAGTGGCTTAATATACATAATAAAAAACAGTTGTCCTAGATTTACATCAGTCATTCTCTAGATGGTTTGTCTTCCACTTGCTAGTCAAATAGTTCACCTTAGTGTGCTAAACTGATGGCTTGCATAACAGGACACTGTTTGCATTTGAATCTTCATGGAAGTAACAAACTCCAATGTTGGGGTGGGGGAGGGTTTGATCACTGTATTGATGCCTTATGCAAAGCACCCATGGATATTTAAAATATGCAACCTTGGAATAATTTACATGCTTTTTACAAAAACCATACCTCCACAACTTTCTTAAACTTTTTTGGCACCTTTTGACAAAATAAGCTGAAATATATTCTTATGTAATTGGAATGGCAAACATATGCAGCTGAAGCTTTCTGTAAAATGTACTGTTCATGTAAATGAAATTTAAATTAAAATGAAAAGCAACTCTACAATCCTAGGAAATGGTCATAAATGAAAATGATTGGATGTTTCATTGTTGGGGTGAAACATAATAACCCTAACGTGATGTGATACTATGAATATTTTTTTTCATACACTACAGGTTCCAGTTATATTTCTCATTTTTTCTACTGCTACTTATAATCACAACTGTAAAGTCCCATATGTTGCATGTGTTATAAATCATGCCATTTCTTCTAACACAGCAGAGCTGGGAATGAGAGTTTGGAGGTGAAAGGAGTTGGGTCAGTTGTGAAACCTAGGAAATAGTAATAGTTTCTCTTAAGTGGGGGGACTCTCAGCCCGTGGGCTGGATGCATGACACGCTGGCCACACCCACCGTTTTAGCAAAGGGGGAAAAGGTTGATACATGTTGAGAGTTTTGACACCCCTGCTCTTAACTATCGGTAACTGTTAGATATCTTCATATTGTTATAATTAATAACTCCTTGCCAAACGATTTGTGATGCAGACAGAAAACTGGACTTTACCCCTAAAGTTCTGTTTATGTTAATATAAAACTAAACTTTGGGCTGTTTTGATTTTCCTCTACTAGCCACTTAAGGCGACAAAAACTAATATAATTTTTAACAATTTCATTTAATATAAACCTACATCAAATAAGATTGTCTGGTTTTTGAAGAAAAACAACTGAAGATTTGGGGGGGGGGGAACAATGCCATTCCTGTCTATTATAACTGGATTGGGAATATATCTATTCCTGTTGTTAGTACTCCCTATAATATGGCACCTGTATTTGACTTGTGCAGAGACAAGGTTTTTCTATTAACGCTGTCTTGTTTCATGCTAAACCATGTTATTTTCCTGATTCTAATGGGTATTAGAAGAACCTTATTCAAGAACCTGTGTTTTAGTTCACACATTGCATTAAGCCTATGACTGAATACTCTCTTCACCTCTAATTCTTACATAAGTAAGGTTTTTTCTTGAAACTTTTTCTTTCCATCATGAAACTCAAGGGAAATTTGGAATTTCTAGATCTTGTTTTTTTCAGGGTGACTATCCCATCACCCCTTATCAATGGAACTTAGTAACAGTTCACCTAGTGGACTCCATAGGAAACTAAAAGCTGGATCCTTAGCTGCAAGCAAAAACATTTACAGAGTATATCTATTAAAAAACATAGGACAGTTTAAGGCCATTCAGACTTACACAGGCACTTGAAGAGTGAAAAGATTTATAAATTATATTTATTGAGCCCAGCAAGTATACAGGACAGATTTGTCTTGTGATACTAAGCTATACAAAATTTATCATTTTTCACAAATTGTAATACCAGATGATTATGGTATCAATTTTCAACTTTTTTGTTTATTACTAAAGCAAGTGTTCATGGTTCCCATACAATCTAGTGATGAAATGTTAGAGTACCATTTTGCTCAGTAGTTCAACTAATTAGAGCTTCATAAAATATTACTAGAAAAAAATTAAAAGTAGAGCTCCTGGAGGAATTGTGTTGCTTCTGCAGAATATATTTTCCAGCCAAATCCTGCAATTTGTTTTGGTATTAATAAACAAAATTTAAGAGAGATGTGCACTATGCTATAATTCCAGCATTCCATTGTACAAGGTTATATAGAAGACTAAGCTTTATAATAAAAATTAAACATTCAGTTGGAAATGTGTAAAGAAATAAAGCATGAAGAAATTATTTAAGAACAATCACAGTACAATTAGATTTGTTTTGAGCTTTATAGTATCTACATTGTTGTAGGTCATTCTTTTAGACTTGCAGCAAAACATGCAAGGACTAGAAGAACTTTATAGCTTCAAGTTGAATAAAATACGAATTCTACTAAACATTGTGCTGTTGAATAAGTCAACAATTTGGTGGGTTAATTAGAAGAGAATTAAAGCTTTCTTGCAAAAGACTGGGCACCTAGTAGATTTGAAATTTAGTCATTTGTATAACTATATGATAGAAAAACCAAATCAAGAACCTTAATCCTGCAATGGGAGCAAACTGAAATAGGCTCTTAGGTCAAGTACTTATTACAGCAAACTACACCATGTGACCCATTCAACAGCTTACAGCTCATTAACAGTGATTCATAGTGATTTCCCTTGGATCCTTCTCCCACATACTAACATTTTTAAAGAAAATTTGACAAGCAGCAATTCAAATACAATAAATCATAATTTGTGGTGCCTGCAGAACCATGCCACTATTTAAAATTTTGTGAATTGGATCAAGTTCAGATCAATTTTAATAATAAAGTGGTGCTTGAAACTGATTTTTTTTAAAAAGCGTGAGAATGTATTTATAGTCCAGATAGAAAATATGAAAGTTATTAATATCACTAACAAGCAGATGGCTTTTGACTTCATTCAAACTTAGATTATGCTCTGATTTTGATGTTTTAAACTCCCCAAATATTTTTAATACAGTATAGAAATCACAATATGCTGCCCTTTACAGATTTGTACAGATTGTATGAATTGTTTATATTAAAAGGATACCCCATTTCTATAAGGAATACTTTTATGAATTAAGTTTGTCCATTTCTGATAAAATGTTTTAAAAGATCCACATAGATTTCATAAACCAATCACAGCAATATTAATACCTACAAATACACATTTTGAAAAAAAAATAGCAGAAGTTCAGGATATTTATATAAAGGCATATTTTAATTTCCTTGCAATCTCACGAGATTCCAAATGACCAAAGGTAATATGCTTCATGTTAAACTATCTGAGTTGCCCTTTCCTCTAATTCCACTAATATACATAGTTTCTGTGAAAGAAGCAAACAAAATTAGGATTGAAAAATCCAATTTTTTGGAGACAAAAGTGAGAAATAAATTTAGAGTTGCATTTATGCATTATGGATTTTTATATGCTTATTTACCTAATTTGCATGCAAATTAGAATAGCTATGGCTTGAAAGTATACTTTATAATATATCCATTATCATCTTTCCCCATCATGAAAAGCTTGGTAATGAAATCAAATATTTTGAAAAATAGGGACAAGCTTAATTTCTACAAATATGTACATTTTATGAAAACCAATCATCCACCAATTCAGCGATTATATGCAGTATTAATTGAGGTAATTAAATCTAGTGAGTGTATTCTCTTTGCCATTATAATCAGTTGGTTGCACTCATCTCTGAGTTGCCATAAGGAAAGTAAAGGGGGGGGCAAAAGGGTGGTGGTGGTGATAAGACTAACCTCACAGAAAGGACAAAACCAAGGAAAATGAAGCCCTGAGGATATGAACATGAATAAGAAAGTTACACTTTTGTTGTGCTATTTTCCTGGACTTTCATACTAAACATGTACAATACAATAATATAATGTTCTGCTTTGTTTCATTTTCTGAACAGTTGCTTCTCTTCTTTGGAAATTGAGGATATTTGTAGAATGAAAAAATATTTCAGTTGACTGAAAACTGGCAATGGCTATCAGTTCTCAATAAGTTTTTTGGCTCTTGTATTGGCTTGCTCAATACGGTTTTTGTTGGTTTCAGCCTGAAACAGAAAACAAAATGTAAATTAAGGTGCACAAAAACTATTCAAGTCTCTTTATAGAAGACATTGTATTTCTTCAAGAATTGCCAAGAATCTGGAGAGTTAAAATAGACACTTAAAGTTATATGAATAGGGAAAAAAAACCCTTTCTCAATTCTTTCAGGATATGGCTTTTTGTAAATTGCTAGGAATTCTGTAAAGATTCAGGGTATTCAAATGAAATGAAAGAAGTTAAATATAAATAAAGGATAAATTCCAGCTTGAAGAGAAAGTACTGGAGCAAATGTCTGAGTCCACTGACTTGCTTAGAAAACAGCCACAGAAATTAGCCATGAAAGTACCATCATATTTAGGAGCAAAGAAGAAAGCAATATAGGTTTACAAGAGAAAACCTTTTAAATAAGTTCATAGCTGACAGATACAAATACATTCTAAGTAATCTCATTATTATACTGCTACACTTACTTATATATAGTGTTAATTTTTTTAAATGTAAAAATTAACATTTGAAACAATTTTTAAAAAAATAAAATTTAATTTAAAATATTTAAAACTCTTGTTAGCAAATATTTACAAGTTATTTACTGTTCAGTCTTAATGACTACCTCTTACTAATCTGTTCACACATGGTACACAAAGGTACCGCTGGTAAGCTTATTGAGAGAAGCAATGCAGAAAAAATACTTAAAACGAGAATTTTTAAGGCTATGAAGGCTTGCTTAACACATTGTAAGCCGCCCTGAGTCTCCGGAAAAGGGCGGCATATAAATCGAACCAATAAATTAATAAACAATAAATAAATTATTTAAAAGAAAATGAGTTCTCAAAACAGCATGGTCACTTTTCTTGATATTATAAAGTGCTGCTGACTTTTATCAGGATTTGTTTATCATCAGTTTTGCACCACTATCATCAGTTTTGCATCAATTTTATGTACACTTATCAATGATAAATTTTATTCAAAATTATTTATTCAAAATATTTTTTTAAACTTGCTTAAATCAATCTTCCCTGATTTATACCTCATTTCTTTTAAAGATTGCTTTGCTTTAAAATTGGTATGAAGTAATAGCAACTTCCTTTTAATAATAAAGATATTTATTCTTTCAACCATCTTATCGCATTTGAATGGGACACTGCAACATGCAAAACAAGAATGTAAGATAATACATCTATAACCTTGGGTACTCAATGTGATATCATGGACACTAAATGGCCACTAACACTTCCATTGGTGTCTGCCAGGTTCTCTACCTTATCTGCATTATAAAAAGATTTAATTAACTAAAGGCACCCAGAAAAACAGGAAAGAGGATTAAGATAATTGATGTGGTTTTTTTAAAAAAACATCTGGAATTAGGCCAGCCAATGGTGCTCTGATTCCAAAGATCATTTTGAGAGTTGACCTATTAGTCACTGAATGCAGTATTTATTCCTCCTCACCTCCTACTGTATTTCTGTCATGGCATTTTATATAAACAAGACTTTTTTTTCCCCTGGCATTGGTTTATCCATTACAGAATATCAGTGTTACAGAGAAACAAGTGCAGAACTTTGAGAAAGCCTAGAGTCAGGATAGAGCAACTTCAGTGGCATTTATTCTATTTTGGGCAACACAAATCAGCTTTTTAACCAACCAGGATCTGATCTCTAAGTTCTTGGGCAAATGGCTTTTTTAAAAAAGCAACGTCATCTTCCTGGAAATTAGTGTTATTCATTTTATGAATGGACAGCAACAATTAGAAGGCACATATTACATACTACATATTACATACTTTTCAAATGTGTTCCTCACTCCCAATAATACAGTATTTATTGGCAGTGGTATTCATTTTATTTTTCATATTGTACCATGATGGAACATAGTGTGTTCACAATCCCTAACGGTTCACCATGAAATCAAGCTTAAATATGTCCTACATAGAAAAATAATGCTTTGGGAGGAGGAATGTTATCCAGAAAAGAGAACAAAGACACAAACTGCTGGTAAATTGGAATACTCTACACCAGGAGTGTCAGACTTGATCATGTCACAGGCCAGATCGTGATGTATTGCAATGTTTTTTTGCCTTTGCAGAGCTGGAGTGAGGGTGGCCTGTGCGGGTTGTATCTGTGCCACAGGCCACCAGTTTGACAGGCCTGCTCTACACCATGGTACTGTATTCCAGAACAATTAGCTACTCTTCTCAACAATTATATCTCTGATAATTAAGTTTGTTAAAGATCCAGTTCTCGCTTACCTTCTCATTTATCCGGTCTATCTGCTTGTTTTGTGAATCAATCTCACTGCCCATATCCACGGCCATATTTTTCAGATTTCCCAAGATGTGTCCTACTTGAGTTAAGTTATCCTCCATCTCATCTTCTCTGGCATCATTTGTTATCCTTTTCAAAATATAAGAACTGCTTTGAGCACTTGCAAGTTCCTTCTTCTTCATTGTAATGAACTAAATTCATATATTCTCTCCCTCTCCTTCTTTACCTGTCTATCCACATACTCACACTAGTCAAACTACCACAGGGCAGTTCTAAATAGAAATTAAAAATCATCATCAGTTTAATCACAACAATTACAAAAAATACTAAAACCATAAACACAAGTTAAAAAACAGAATCATAGTCCTAATTCTATCTCACACAAACATTTCATAACTTCAGTCTTAAAATATATCTAATTGGCAATTTATAAAAGAAGTTAAAAATAAGCCTGTGTTTTTATAAAAACCTTTATACATTCCACCAATCATGTTGCAAAATTTGATTCAAAACATTGTCCTATTATTTGAAATCTTTGAAAAATTATTAAACAGTGTTCATTCATGATTTACACAGAATAAGCTTCTCATGATGGTTTTCAATATCACAGTACTGTTGCAGAGGAACAGATACGGAATATGTATTCATCAATGGATGAAGAAGAGACTATTTACCGCTTTATGTATCCTCCACCTGGTCCTCCTGAGGTCTGTTGTTGGTAATTTCCTTCCCGTCCTGGTTGTCTGGTTATTATATGATCACCTGAGTTTTCACAGTTCTCACCCCAAGTTGTCTTATATGCTTTATTAGCCTCAAAGTTCTTTGTTCTATAAGAAAAACAGCATAGCTTCAATTAACTAAAAAGATACACAATTTAAACAGCCAACTGATTTATTGCTTACAGTATTACACAATCAAGTTTGTGATTAGGAAGAAAAATGTATGTACCACTTAGCATTATATTTATGGATTATCTTTTATTTAATGAATTGTATGGAGAAACTTAAAGAGCCAGCTTGCTGCATGGTTAAGTCATCAGGCTAGAAACTGGCAGTCAATGCGTTCTAGTCCTTCCTTAGGCACGAAGGCAGCTGGATGACAGTGGCCTTATCACTCTTTCACAGCTACAATGAGGAGGCAATGGCAAACCATTTTTGAAAAACTATGCCAAAAACACTGCAGGGACAAGTCCAGGGAGTCACCAGGTATCAAAAAACTGACTTGAAGGCACAAACCAACAAAATATTGAGAAAATTATATTGTACTAATTTCACCAAATCATGCAGCAGATGATCATTACCCTAATGGTAACAAAAATGAAGGAATAAATGCAAAATTTATTTTTTTATTCCAACATTCATATAACCAAGATAAATCTTGTACATATTGTTTTATGCTGTATTATTCTATAATATTTAATTTTTATTTGGTTCCGGACTTACCCCCTACAGTGCTACCTGATATTTTAAAACTGAAACAGGAATCCCGAGACTATAGCCATTCTTAAAAAACAGTTGCATGCTAAGTAATACATGACAAAAAACATTTTTCCCCATGTAGTAGATCATAGTTAAAACAATATCTGAACATTATCATAACATTTCATATTATTCCTCTAATATTTTTAAATCTATGTACTGTATAAGCTATTACTTTCCTGAAAAATTTCCTAATAGACTTAAATTATATATCAACTTGCATTCTAAACATTGTAACTATTATTTCAGATCAATCAAATCAAAATAACTAAATATAAACTACAAGCATCACGGCACAGATACAACTACAGACCATCACAAGGTTGCTTGCATGTTAAGAAAACATGCACATTCAGACATGCATCATGTTAGAACATCACCTTCAGATAGCTGGTTAGCAGTGCAAACTGCTTCTTAATACAGGTATTTTCCTAAATTCCATTTTGACCAGTTAAGTGGATCCAACCTCTGATGTTAACTCTTCATTTTATTAAGAAAGAAAAGTGCGGTGATTAGGAGAGAATGAAAGAGAGTGGACAGTAAGACACGCAAGCAGATAACTGTTAGTTGACAAACTATTTCCAAGTATATCTTTAACACAAATCAGGAAGAAAAGGAATATTATGAATACTATATTCAAAATTTGTAAAAGTGCTGTGCTATTGTCACAAAAACTCATTTAATTTAGCCCTAGGAATGGAAATGTTTGATTTCCTTTCATCCATTTCAAATCCATTCAATTCTTCTTACATCTCTACATATTTGCCTTATATACGATTTTGTTATCAAGCATATTGAAAATTCCACAGAATTACTTCTCCAGTGTACAAACATTTCAACTACCACAAGAGCCTCGTACTTTTCAGAGTGAGGGATAAGAATGTAGTATCAGGGGGAAAAAAACTATTACACAGCACATCATGCTTTCCTTGTAATCCTTCATTAAACTGACACATATCTTGTTTCCACCCAGTGAAGCTGAAAGAAAATTTTTTGCAACTTTCCTATTAATTGTTATTTTAAATCTGATTAATATTGACAATAATTCCTTCCATATATTTAATAGGTATTAGGTAATTTAAAATCCAATCCAAACTTGTATTAATTGCTTTAGTTTCCCCATTCTAATATATTACCAGATTTAAGTCACAGGTATATTTGCACATCTAACTAAGCCTTATAGCGCCTAACTACTGGTACATGACCACTGACTTTTCTTCCTTGATTGGGAGCTTGAAAACAACAATTTAAGCATTCCTTGTTTGAACTTTATTATGTCATTCACCACAACTTGTATTTGTCATTACCAGAAAACCAAAACCAGAACAAATCCACACAAAAGTTAAAACATTCTGGTCATTATTTTATTCACAGGTTAACCTTATGGACAAGTATAGTTAAGTCTAAATTAGCATTTCCCGATTTTTTCCTTTATAGGCACCACTACACTGAACAGAATATTTTTGTAAATTGTAAGAAAAACCAGGGGACAGCAACCGTAGTTGGTGGTTGTCATGGCATGGGACCCCAAAATCATTTTTTTTAAAAAACAAATACATTTTTAAAAGGTTTAAATTTCACATGACATCAGGGTTCTTGTTTAAAAACTTTTAAAATTTGGGGTAAAAATGCCACAATTTCATGGCTTTTCAAATGACAATGACGCCATTTTTTTATTTTGGAGTATACACTACCAACCATTGCAACAAAAGTTTTCTGGCTTCATAGATCTGGAGAAAGGAGCCATCATTCACACTTGCATACACCCATACAGTTTTGGATAATACCTCAGTGGAAAACCTGAAGGGGCAGGTTGGGGTCAGATCATCCCAGAGGAGGACTATTTATGTAGTTGGCTCAGAGTCTATCTGACTTAATAGCACATAAATAAGACCATATGAATGCAGTCAGTGGCTTGGACAGTGTTAAGGTAAAATGTGATTTCTTTGAATTTTGCTTATCATGTTATGTGAACCCAGTTGCTATTGTTTGTAAACATGGTTTATGGTTTAGGATTGTAAATGAACACAGACCATGGTTCAGTACAACATCCAATTTGTGTTTTGAATTCTGTAGCAGTTTTTTTTTCCATCAGAGAGAACAGTAGCTTAATTAAATTTTCTAGTCACTGAAGTTCTAAACAGGAGTGATATTTTTCCTTGAAAAAAGCGTCTTACCAATCTGCTTTTAACTGACCTATTGCATGGACAGACACAGAGACCACAGCACTTATTAAGCTCTGTCAAGTTCTTTTCAGCTTCTTTCATGTCTTTGTTTATTTGATCCATACCTTCTTCTATGTTGTTTAACTTTTCTAGGAAAAAAAAGAAGCTTTAGAAACGTTAAGTAACGTAAATGCTTACACTTCATATAGGAAGGTCTGCATTCAAAACACTTTTTAAAAAGCATTTATAAGCAGCTTAAGAAGTGTTAATGTTTCTGGAAAATACTGCAAGCCTATGGACAATGGCCATGCCTGTATCCGGACTGCATTAATTATGTATCTTTATTATGTATCATTATGAAATATAGGGTTCTACATTTCTAATCAAATATGTCATATTGTTCTTTATTACACTTGTGCAACTCACCGCCTTGTTCATCTAACATGGTAATGGTTTTGATTCCAGTATCTTGGGACTATAATGGAAAAGAGAGAGAAATACAGAACCACTACACCATGGAATCAGTGTAACGACACAATTTTCTACAGACTATTGTATGGAGACACTACTAAATAATTACATATAAATTGATCAGCATAACTACTACTATATAAAATTTCCTTCCAGGTAGAATAAAAATCCCAATATTGCAAGTTATTTTGCAATACTGGTATAGGTACCTGGTGAATTTGTTACTTTTGTTTATTGGTCCTATGATAAAATTATTTCAATTTTATATAAAGTTTCATTGTTTATTTATTTTTATTTATTTAAGAAAATTTATATGGCTGTTCAACTTACTCTCAGTGATTCTGGGTGGCTTACAAAAATAAAAACCCGATATTAAAACAATTTAAAAGCAGAAAATTAGAGAAAAAAGCAGGGAAGCTTTCTAAGAAAATCTGAGAAATACTTCCATACATCTAATGCTTCATGAACATAATATACTCAATGTCATTTCATGTTCTCCACCTGATTTCCCCTGCCCCCCAGCTCAAAGAAAGCCTTTAACTTCTTCCTTACCTCAATGGCCATGCCAAGGATCCTCCTTGTGCTTTCCAAAGACTAAAATAAAGATAGATTTCATTTCAGGCATGGAGATTTTTAAAGATATGTAATAATTATATAATTTTATACATGGCTGTAAGTAAGCACTACAGTATTCTCTTGTTTCTGACACAATGCAACTAAGCAAGGTTTTGTCTTGATTTGTCTTATTTTAAAAATCAACATTATTATGCAGCCACTATTTTCCAGACAAACCCCTCTTTTTAGATTCTGTGCAAAAGTCTGCCCTCCTGGAATCTATAAACTTTCTTTTAAAAGAGTCTGAAGTTTCTGCTATTGTGGCAGTGTAGACAAGCAGAAATATGCCATTAGCAAGTGTCTTCCAAGCCTGGTGACATTGCCACTTGATGGTCTGTTTTGGCAGGGTGAAGAGGATGGGAAGGGAATTGTTGCAAAGGCTGATCCACTCTGCCTTTCTCTTACTTTCTCTAAGGGAAAGTATGTAAGACCCCTCACAAAAGAGGCCACCTGCTAACCCTGAAATGACCTTGTGGGGCTAAAATACAGTCTGGAGGAAGGAGGTATGTTAAAGTGCGGCATCTATAATAGTTTCATCTTTTCTTTTTGGCATACCATCCTTGTTTTCTCCCAGTTCTCTTACTTCCACTATATTCCCTAGCTACTGCGCTAAGAAAGAACTTCAGTAGAAGTAGCTTTTTCCACAGATTAAACCTTGCAATTTGCTAAACTTGATTGTGCTTATTCATGAGGGATATTTATTATATGGTAGTGGTGGTGTTTTGCACGCAGGGCTATTTGGGACACGTAAACAAAGCTCTCTTCTTCAGAAAATGCATTAATCCTAGGGAAAAAAGTATTTTTGCTTTCTAAATCCAAGTGATTTAGATCAGGGGTGTCAAACTCATGGCCCATGGACCGGATGGATCATGTGCTGGCCACGCCCACCCCATTTTAGCAAAGGGGAAAAAAGTTGTGATACATCATGTGATGACAATGGGTCGTTACGAGTTTGATACCCCTGATTTAGATGATTTAAACCTTTACTGCAATATTATCAAGCAATACGAGATAAGCAATCAATTTTAGTGGAGATCATGCACTCTAAAAAGTTTATCTACCCAAATTATTGGGCAATAATATATTATTTGAGGTACTTACTTCATCTGTAACTTGATGGGCTCTCAGTTGAATTTCTTCAGGTGACAACTCAGCCATGACTGACCTGTGCTTTTCAACGTTCAACTATTCACAACAGGATTTCTTCTAAAATAGTAAAGTATCAGTGATAAGGGTATAATCTTGACCAATTTTAAGCAAATAGTGTCCTACTAAACTTTTATTTATTTATTAAATTTATATGCCAAATTTATAACTAGTTTAGTTGTCAGCTTTCTAGGAAAACAAATAAAATTTCAATGTTAGAATATTCTATAAAAATGATAACATAAAGTTCATGAAATAGTTCATGTATTTATTTATTGTTTGAATCGGTCTATATGGCCATCCACCTCAACAAGTGACTGTTGGCTGCAAACAGAATTAAAATAAAGTAAAAATAATTACAAGCATTACCAACAATGAAACGCAAAGTAGCCAAGAAACATCAAAATAGCCAAGAAACATCAAACTCAAATAATCAATGTAACCAAGAAGTGGCTCCCTCCACACAATCTGGACTTTAAAGCCATCCTGATCTCCAGATGATTGTCTTTAATGGTAGAATACACTACACCTGTGATGGCGAACCTGTGGCACGCGTGCCACAGGTGGCACGCGGAGCCATATCTGTGGGCATGTGAGTGTTGCCCTAGCTCAGCTCCAGGGTACATGTGCGTGCCAGCGAGCTGATTTTCGGGCCTTCCGGGCCCACTGGAAGTCAAGAAATGGGCCGTTTCTGGCCTCCGTAGGGCGTCCGGGGGATGGGGAAGGCTGTTTTCGCCCTCCCCAGGCTCCTAGAAAGCCTCTGGCACCTGGGGAGGGCAAAAAATGGGCCTACCAGGCCCACCGCGCCATCACATGCCAAAAGCAGAGATGTCATGCACACATGCGTGGGGGGGGCATGCGCATGTGCGTCCCCCTGCTTTTGGCACACGACGGCAAAAGGTTAGCTATCACTGCCCTACACTATATCTTCATTATAAAATAGGAGTTTAAATAAAAGTTACACTTCTACATGATAAGTTAATAAGGAGACATCAAGTTTACTCCAACCACCCCCTTCACCAAATGATTCTCACGCAGATGGTCTTCCATAACTCTTACCAATTTTGGACCTAAGAAATTAATTTTTTTATCAACGGTTACTACTATTTCTAAATAATCTAAGACATATTGATTCCCTCACTTGTTCAATTCTTCTGCTTTTTGAAGGTTCACCCATCTTTTTTAAGGTATTAATTAGTATAGAATTACAACTGTTGGGTTCAAGCAAAATTGGATGGCAAGTATTGTTTTCTTCCCCAGAGAAAAATACATTTCTAGGGATGTATTTGCAGAGAGTACAAATTAAACAAACTTATTTTAAATAGGACTGACAATCATATTTCGGTTGCCTTTACTAAATAAGTTCAGTATTCAAATCTGAAGAAAATATAAAACATTCATAAATAGTAAACAAAAAGATGATGTAATTGACACACAGAAGGGCAAAGACAATCTGCATGCAGGACAACTATAACAATGAAAATGGCATTTCTGACTTGCCCAGATTCATCTCTGGTTCCACCATTATCACCATTCACTAGAATGTAATATACAATTATAATTTTGTACCTGTACTTCCCTGACTATATTTACAAAGTCTACTCTAACTATGTCAGACCATCTTCACTCACATATATTAGATCCTTCCCTTTTTCTCTTAGTTCCACAAACACAGTGTTTCTTTCATTTCACTTGGGAAGTCACCTTCCTTGCTTTGTGTTTACATGCCTAGACATAGTCCTCTATATCTTGTGATAATCAGCCAGATAGGCCTGTAGATACTGATCTCCTGGGCCCATGGTGTGGCTAACTGGCACTTTCATATTAAACTTTTTAATAAGAGGAAAAGAGAGTAGACTAAGTCAATGTCCAATATACAACATTCCTGTAAGGACAATGCGGGTCAGTTTTGACAAATTTGGCTCAGTATTGCCATAAGTGTAACTAAAACAAGTCTTACTGCATATATTCTCATGCTATTCTATGAAAATTAAGATTTCTAATCTAGGGACTATCTTACAAATTAACATATTATTGCCTGCATCCTAATATAATCAGGAAGTATATGCAATGTTCAAAGATACACCTCAAGATGCTTTCATTTACCTATTCTTGGGATTCTTTCGTTTTGTTACAATATAACGAGAAGAAAAAAAAAACAAGTGACATTTCACCCCAAAGCACTATGTGAAAAACATAAAGTAACATACATTTATGCAGCGTTTTTCTATTTTAGTCAAAATGGGAACCTCTGCAATTTGCTAATAGTATTTTAATTTTAAAGGAGTGGAGACTGCTATTTAGATATATACTGTATTGCTATTTGTGTGCCAGACAATATTTCCCAATTTCCATCACAAAGAAATGTGGAGGAGAAATATTAACTCTGAGCGTCCCTCTATTCATGGAGAAAGTGCAGGAGAAGAAGAGAAGTTGCTCTGCAGACATAGCAGAAAAGGTCTTCACTCTTCTCAGGAATCTCAGTTTATTAAGTTGTAATATTAGGACATATTTTCAGCAGAAATCATTTGTTCTTCTGAAAACTAATTATGAAATTGCAAAAGTAAACAAATCCTCAAAATAGAAAAGTAGAAACCTTCTGTCAATTGGCTTAAATTGACTGCATTTATCCACTGATAAATTGCTATTAACTGATGGACTTGATTCACCATCCATGCTTCCCATCCCCACCCCAAACTTCAGATAAGAAAGGTACTTGAATGGAAATACACTTGCAAGAAAAGACAGTGATGTAACTAAATAAAAAACTGAATTTTTAGTCTCTTGGGGACAATTAGGATAGGTATGTTAAGTCTATCAAATGCTTAATGTATCCATTTAACTTTCATTTTATGCTTAAAGTCTATTATAGTCTACAATTTTGCCACTAAAATGACAATGAGTACATAATATATTTTCCTATAATTCAGGATGAAGTCAAAAACTTAAATCTATGATGAAACAACTGACTTTCCAAAGGACCTATGAGCTTTCATCTAGGATGGAACTTCTTATGTAAATCTATTAAATTACACATAGGGACAACTTCCTGATTCTGAAAATGAAAAGCAAAAGAAAGGCTCCAAGAAAATAGTTGCATTACTGAACTATAGTTCCCCAAAAAGTATAAAGAAGTAACTAAAGATTTTTGCAAGTGGGTATTTTTTTTTTCTTTTAAAGGGAACCTGATTTTGCACAACTCTCTACTGTGAAAGAATAAGAAATACATGAATAGTAGTTAAATCTGAAAGGGCTTCCAGATTTTGTTTCCTGTCCTTTCACCTATTCACTCTTCTGCCCTCTTCCAATCTGCACTATTTAATGGAGAGGGGGAAAAAAAAGTGAAAACTGCTACTGCTTCCTGTTGCTCTTGTTGAGGCTTTTAAAAAATGCAGTAAGGAAACAGATGCTGCCAAAGGGATAATTGCCACCACTATGTTAATCGTGAAGGCTGTAAGAAACAGAAATATTACTTTGAAAAGCCCTCTCGTTTCACGCTTCTCCCCTCCCCCCAATATTGAAGAGTCCTAAAACAAGTAATAATAGCCCTCTCCAGTCCCAGCGCCTCCTTTGGCCCGCCAAGTGGGGGTTCAGCAAAAGGCTCCCCACAAACAAGAAATACAGCGCAGCCCGGAGAGGAAGCCAACCGGCAGCATTCCTCCCGAAACCCAACCAGCCCAAGCCGAGGCCTAAGCCGAGAAGGCAGGGCAGCCACGGACGCTCCCACAACCCCCCACCCCGAGGGGTGACAACTTCTGGCCCTGAGGTCGGCCTCGCCGCCCGGCTCCGAGGGATGCTGCGGCGCTCTCCCCTCGGCCTCTCCGGCTTCCCGCGCCCCTTCCCTTCCCCAGGACGCCTCGCCGCCCGCTTCCTTGGACTGCTCTGCCGCCGCCTCGCCCAGGAGCCCGCCCGCCGCTTAACCCCTTTGGCTTCCTCCGGCGGAGGAGAAAAGCCTCTGCCTCCCCAGCACCCGCCACCCCCCCCCTTCCAACCACCAACCCACCCCGGTCCCTCCGGCGCCCCACCCTGGCTTTCCCCCCCCCCCCCGCCCGGAGACATTCCTGGCTCGCCCCTTCCTCCTTTCCTGCCCGCCCGCCCGGCTCTCGCTCTCCCCGCCGCTCCTTCCCTCCGGAGACTCACCACGGCGCTTCGGTGGCAAAAAAAACTCCCGAGCTCGCCCCGTGGCTCCAACCGCCAGGCCTTTCGGGCCTCTGGACGCAGATCTCCCGCTCTCTCCGCCGAGGGGACGAACCTCGCGCCCTGTCTTCGGAAGCCCCGTCCCACCGCCGAACCCCACCCAGCCAGTTTCCCGCAGTGCCGCTTTCTTCTTCTCCTTCTCCTACTTCCCTCCGGTTCCTTCGGGGGCCCAGCTGTTACCTCCTCCCTGCTCCCACCTACCCGGTCCCTGAGTCGCAGCGCATTGGTCGCTTTGGGAAGCACTGCTAATAGCTATTGGTGGGAGGAAATGATCGTCATGTATTATCTCCTCTTTCGCTTTCTCAGGTTGTTGATTCACCTCCAGCATCCTGTTGGCGCTGAGTTTATGTTTTTTTTTAAGAAAGCCCCGTTCAAGGTACAAAAGGTCTCAGCTGTGGTAAAATCAGATCAGGTTCCTGCTGTACAGACATATGCCCTGACAACGCATCTTCTAAAGCAAGCAACACATTTTTAAATGATCAGTTGACTGAGTTTCATGTTTAATGAATAAAAGATAACAACAACAACAACAATAAAAATAATAATAATGAAACATGTAACTGTAGGAAGTAAGCACCCACCCCTTTCCTAGAAGAATGAAATATTTTAGGAAATATTAAAAAGGCAGAATATTATGTTTCCCTGGATGAGAAATGGAGAAGCATGTTTTAAAGATGAAGCAGCTCCCAGCTTCCTGCCCCCCCCACCCTTTGTCAATGGGCCAGAGGCAGAAACTCAGTTCCCTCCCATCTTTGTCAATGGACCATCATCTGCAACACAATAGGACCCATCTAGCAACAGAAACTAACACAATAGGACCCATCTAGCAACAGAAACTCACCACATGGCACCTGGGAAGATTACATCAGCCAGCAAGGCTAGCTAAGACCTCCACCTCCTGGGAGTCTGACAACCAATCAGGATACTCATTGTGGGCCCCAGGAAGTTCAAACCCAGAGAGGGCATAAAACGCAGGGACTCACTGCATCTCACCCCTTTTCTGTTCAGGAACTCAAACATGTGATCCTGACCACCATTAAACCATCTTTCCAAGCAGTCTTCATGTTTCCAGTGTCTTTTTCCCACTTGGAGTTGAACCCAGAAGGATATTTCTTCTAATATAACCGTGATACCCATTGTCATCGGGGCATTTGGTACCATGTCCAAGAATTTTACAAAACACATCAAGAAATTGCAGCTTCCAGCAATAACACCAGCAGAACTGCAAAAAAACTGAGCTACTCGGAACATCATATATTTTAAGAAGATACTTGGTTGATACCTTGGACGCTGGCAGCAACCTGTATCAACCATTAGCACCAGTCAATGGTATTTGTGACACATTTTTAAGTGTTCAGTTGACTGAGTTTCATGTTTAATGAATAAAAGAGATAATTACAATAACTATAAAACAACAATATCAACGTGTATTACATGGCCCAACCATCAAATCATTCTTCAAACATATCAACACAATAATATACAAAATGCTAAGTGCTCAAGAAATACAGCATACTGTCCCATCTGGCAATTCCCTCCTTGAACTATAAACATCTATAAGAGCTCTGGAAATATTAAGAGTTTTTTTTTCTTTCAGGACCCCTTCATACTGTAAAAGAGCTTTTGTTTATATGGGTTATAGTTATCAGTATTTACGGTATTAAAAAATGAAATAATAAAAATGATGCATTCACTGCTATTATCTTTCTTCACAATTGTTCGATGGAATTTTAATGTTGTCTTACTTTTCAACATAGGTTAGCAAATAATTTAATTTTGGGGAACCCTGAGAAGGTCTTGGAAGACTTCCAAGTGTCCTAGAACCACACTTTTCTCAGGGGCTTATATGGATTGTTTATATTTGTTCAACCTGAAACTCCAGATAAATCATAGATTACTTATAATTTTAAGGAATGAATAGTGAATTAAATCAATGATTTGAAGGTTTCTGTTACTATCATGGAGCAGAAACATAGACGTGGAGATTGATAAGGGGCATGCATAAGCACACCAACGTGCCTACCGTCCCTGTCCTAATGTCCCTTTTTATTCGTATTCATTTCATGTATTCATAATCATGTTTATACTTTTATCTGTTATCTTATATATGCTTGACAAATAAATAAAAATAGATCCCCTTGATGTCACATGTAGGAGTGAAGTGTGCATTACCAATGTGTGAATGATAGCCAATTGTATATCTCCATCTAAGCTGTGACACAGATGTCAAATTCTGATTTCGGTGTCTGGAAGTAGTTAAATGGGATGAAACATATTAAAGCTGAGCCCAAACAAGACAGTTGCTGTCTTGTAATGTTATGTTGATCCTGGCACTGTCTCTGGAGGTGGAAGCACCATTCGTGAAGGGACCCATGTATATTTGGTGATTGTCCTAAATTCACAGCTACTGCTGGATGATCAGGTAAAGATTAGAGCCCAGAGTCCCTTTAGCCAGCTTTGGTTGGTGACTAGTAACTCTATCTGAAACGTGAGAACCTTGTAACACTCATTCACAACTCTTCTCTGGGCTACTGCAATGGACTCTAAATAAATCTACTTTTGGAGACCATTTGGTAACAATAATTGGTACAAAATGCAGTGCTCTACATATCCATGCCTTGGATTTACTTTTCCTATATTTGCTCCATGAATCTAAAATGATGATTGATTTGATTGTTATAGAAGTACATATGGAGTGCCTCAGAAGGTGTAAATTATGAAAAAGGATCTTTGGTGAAATGATGCAGGGCAAGAAATTGTGGATAAAAAAAGCATATAAGAGTATGAATGTGACAAACAACTGAGAATGAAAGATGTTGCATCAAATGTGTAGAGGGCAACAAATAGTTGAAATGATGTCAAAAAGAGCTGTGTATGTCTCCTACTGTTATATACCCGTAATTGTTAGAAATGAGTATACTCAATTGAGTCTTATTATACTTAATTGAGTATATTAAGAGAAACTTAAAAATAAGTTGAATAAAGTGGTAACAAAAGTACTTTAAAAGCGTAGGTGACAAATGGATTGGGTCAAGAATAAATGGATACTCTGCATAAAGCTACTAATTTGTGAAATGGAATACTGTAACAAATAGTATGGAGGTGCCATAATTAATGGGATCCATTATTATTATAGCTCATCCCAATGAAGGCATATGCCTTTTTCCTTTTGATTATTGTTAATGGCTGTTCCCATATAAAATAATGAATTTCATTAAGAATCCATGCCTTGAGCCAATATTTTCTGCTACTTTTATACCAAGTTAATGTGATCTATGATTTGATAGTGATTTCATATAGGACCATGTAAAAATAATCGTGTAGACCTTAGTGCTCTCTGAGCTTTATTGTTTGCTTGCAGATGTTTTGTTACTCATCTTAGCAACATCATCAGTGCTAACAAATTGTGATACAAAAACATCAGACCCATACTTATTGGGTTTCATAGTTATGAGATATTACTTTACTGTTTCATGTAGATACTGTTTAAGAATGTAAAAAGGATGTGAACTTACAGTAGTAACATCCATTCTGATTTCATGGATCTGACATTTACTTCTTTAACAGGAGACAGCTAATAATGCGTCGTGCACAGATGAATTTCAGTAATATCAGTAAATATTCATCTTCAAAAAATATCCCTTTCCCATGCTAAATTAATTTGCTATTCGTCAATATATACATAGATCATCGTTATTTTTTGTTGCGCACTAGTTGTTTGATTTTAAAAAGATCCTTTTTTTTTCAAGTTTCCAAAAGTACTATCCAGATTTTTAGGTCTAAACTAGCAGAAAAACTATGACATGGTTGTAGCAGGTTTTTAAATAGTCACCTTGTTATCAGGTACAGTATTTTGTAAGACACAGCTTCAGCAATAACCTATGGGGCCTTCTATCTTACAAAGTTGGAAACAATCACATGAAATCTATCAACAAGCAAGAAAACTCTGCATGATTGTGATTCATACTCCAGTGTTTTGTATTTGCTGTGATGCTGGGTAAATTAGTGTTACATAAATTGTATGTCTTTTCATGCTACTGGGATTGGAAATTAAACATGGTCAAGCCAAGCAAATACACTACATGGATGGAAAATCAGGAAATACCAAAGCTGAACTGCAAGTTACACTGAGAAACTGAATAAACAGGAAAGGCGATGTCAAAGCACTTCCTGCTGGTTGCTAAGATAATTATACATGTGTCCTTAAAACCACCAGGAGCTGAATTTAAAAAAGGGATTTTTAAATTTTATTTAAAAACACTCAAAGGTAATCTGTTACTGCTGTGATTGTGTTAATCCCTTTGAGAACTTGCTGCATATATCCATTTTGTTTGGAAAACCTTCATTTTCAGTTCATATTGTCAACTGCTCTTTAGTTTCTAGAACTCTTTAGTTCATGCCTTTTTATTTGGGCCAAGAAGATTGCTTTCTCTAGGCAAATCTCATTCAGAAGCACTCGGAACCGAATCGACCAACGGCCCGCCGTACAATACAGCACTGCTGCCAAAGGGTAACCCCCCTCCCCCCCAAAAAACTACATCTACCAAAATGCATCACGCTTTGTTTCTTTGAATCAGAGATACTCCGTATGACTCATTTCCTGTTTCTATGGTATTGCAAAACCGGCTTCTCCTGATTGTAAACTACTATTCCCAGAATGCATACAAAAAGAGGATTTGGTTCTCTGATTGGTTGAAACCATATGAAGGCGCTCCCGGCCTGTGGCGCGGTTCTCTTTTGGGTCGAGCTTGCAGGTCTCCGGAGGAGGCTGCACCGGCAATGGGCGGGGTTTCGGTAGCCCATCTTGTTGGGTGATGCGCTCGTGCTTCGCGGCTGGATGAGGCGGATACGATCTGTGAGTACCGCGAGGCGGGCTGTTACTGCTTCGCCCTTCAAAGTATGAGGTGGAAGCTGAGCTTAAGTCCCGGATTCGAGGGTTGCTAATGTTGGTAGCACTTATATGGGGGGAGGGTGAAGCTTTTATTTTTTTGGAGTCGGCTGGAAAGTAGCTAAATAATCTTGAGGATAAGGAACCAACTTCAGAAGTTTGAAAAGCAGCCGAGGACCTAATACTGTAGCACAACGAATGCCCGTTTGTATAAGAAGTTAACATTGTTTGTTTCTAAACCAAAACGTTGTAAGCGAACACAGGAGCCATATATAAACTTCGGAAGTGTTGCAAAACTTGGTTTTCTTCCACCAAACTTGGTTTTCTTCATAACCCGTGATACATGCATAAATGGCAGCATCCAAGAAATAAGAACATGATAAAACTTTATATTTGGACTGCAGTTGAATAAAACAGCTGTGGTAAGAGAGTCCTTAAGTATCCTGCTCAGTAGTTCTTGCCAAACACTGGAGCCAATTCAGCTATCAAGAATTCAAAAAATTAATAGAGGAAATTACAAAAGAAACCGTTTTTAATTGGCTTAAAAGGGAAGGCCATAAATAATTAGAGAAATTCCTTTTATTCCCAGTTCACAAAGCAGCATAAGTATGGGAATGGTGGTTTATTTTGCTGGCTCATACTCTAGAAGACTGGTATAACAGCTGAATGTAATTTGGAAACTTTTTTTAGATTCCCATATAGACTATGTAGACATGATATATACACTGATACAAATTAACCAATTTGAGTTTTAATTTTGTGTTGTGTGAATTCGGTCTTTGAGTTTAATTTACGATTCAAGGTAACTGCAAACTCAGATAATTTTGTGAATTGAGTCAGTAACAGGGAAGGTATCTTTGGATAAGTGAATTGTTATAGAATGTGAGGAAATACCTGTAATAATAGTTTTCAGTGTAGCTTATTTCTGCTGCTTTTCAAAAACGTCACAATCACAAAAGATGATATATTGAGCTACTGTGGATATTCCAACGTCATTTAAAAGTTACTTGTATATTTAAATAGAGCCATATTTTTAAATAAGATTCTCATTACTTTATATATTTCATTTACAATTCATACTTTTTTGAAAACTACAACATAACCCCTGAAGTGTACACTTTAGCATTTTTTGATTACTTCTTTCTTCACAGAATATAATTTAACTGGGTCAAATTACCAATAGCAATCAGCCAAATTATGTGTGATTATTTAATCTCAGTAACTACAGGTATGCATTACTGTTTACAAAACCCAATACAGGTAATCCTAGATTTACATCCATTTGTTTAGTGATTGTTCAGAGTTATAACAGCACTAGAAAAAAGGGACTTATGACTGTTTTTCACACGATTGCAAGTCACTTGACAATTAACTCATATTTATGACATTTGCGGTGTCCTGGGGTCATATGATCACCTTTTGCAACCTTCTGAAAAGCAAAGTCAACTGGAGGCCATATTCATGTAACAACTGTGTTACTAATTTAACAGCTGCATTGATTCACTTAACTGTGGCAAGCAAAGTCATAAAATGGGACAAAACTCACAACAGCTGTCTTGCTTTGCAACAGAAATTTTGGGTGCAATTATGGTTGTAAGTCAAAGAGTACTTGTATGGTAAATACATAAAGAAAAGCTTTTAAACTCCATTATCTTTATGGCCAATGTTCCAAGGTGTGCTAAGGCAAAAAGCTAATGGGTACGTATGCCACCATTGCATGCTGCATTTTTAAAAAAATGTTAGACTTACCATGTTGTCTGAATCCCAAAGAGTGATTGTACTGTCTGGATTCAGGTTAAACAGTAAGTCTCAAATTGTTTTTAAATGTAGTATGTGATATGCTAAAATGTGGTTCTCCTTCTGTGCTGAGCTCTTTGGCTAAATGTGCTGATACCACTGTCCTGCAGCTTTCAGATATTTTCATCTTTTGGTATGCCTTCTTCACTTGGTTATTCAAGAAGATGGAAAATCCCATGCTCCAAATATAGGTACCGTAGGCAGGATTTTGTATGTTATCAGCACTTTTGCATTCTGAACAAAATAAATATTCTGTGAGAAGATGCCTATATTTACTTAGACCTGTGAAGACACTATTGGAAAAACTGGAATTGAACTATTTTGCAAATCCTCTCCTTTATTAAACTTAACAAAGGTGATGATTGTTTCTGCTTCATCAATTATCAAATGTATATGAAATATACTGTAAGCATTTAAAATATACTATGATTCTTCAACTTCTGGAAGGGCAATCTTTTTCTGAAAGTAAATCAGAGGTATGGAATCATTAAATTCTCTTTACAGCAGTGATGGGCTGCTGCTGGTTTAATCAATTCGGCACAAGAAACCATTGGTTGCCCTCTAACACCACTGGATGACATCGCCAGGTCTCACTGCTTTAGCAGACTAAGGAAGATACTCAGAGATGATTCAGTCTCTCTTCGCACGTCTACCATCGGGCAGAAGACATCGAAGCATAGCCAGCCGAACAAATAGGTTTAAAAATACTTTCTATCTTTGGGCTGTCAGACTCTTAAACACAACCACAATCACTCCATATGCACACGGAAACGTATGACTAGTTTTTCTTTTTCTTTCTTTTTCTTCCCCCCCCTAATTACTTGCATACGGATTATTCTTTATACTATTTATGTTGTTCGTATTTTTTGTCATGGATTGCACCAGTGAGGCTAAAACCAATTTTGTTGTATATATGATGTACAATGACAATAAAGACTATACTATACAACCGGTTTGCCCAGCACCAAAAATGTGCCCTTCCGTGCATGTGCACGGCTTCAAAAGCAGGACGATATAGGGCAGGATAGCCCTGGGGCAGGTGGACGGGCCCACCCGCAGGTCGCAACTACCAGTTCGCCCGAACCGGCAGCAGCCCACCGCTGCTTTACAGGCAATCATTTAGGCATAAGGTACAGAGCTATGACCCATCAGTTGTTCTTGAAATACAACTCTAGCATTTATCACCATTATCCCTGCTCTCTGGGGCTGCTAGGAGTTGTGTTTTAGGGGGCCTCACTTCTGTTCTAGACAAATGATGTTCATGATTTATTGCTCTTTCTGTCCCAGGCTTGCAGAATAATTAATCATGATTACATCATGCAAAGATACTACAGCTAGACTAGTTCTGGAATAAAAATATATAATTGGTTTTGAACTTGTGCTTTCAAATTCATTCATTAGTTCCTCTTTAAATTTTATTTAACTGTAACTGTTTTGTAAGTTAAGCATTAAACATATATCATTTTTCATCTTTTTTTCCATTCAAAAGGATATGAAGATGGCTTCTGTTTAGATTGCAAAATCTGTCCCAAAACATCATGATACTCCACCAAAATAAGACAGTTGTGAAATATACAAATTTAAGAATATACAAGGAGTGATTCTAGATCATCCCAGATTTGTTGAGAGTTGGGTGGCATACAAATTTAATAAATTATTATATTTGCTTCTAATGCAGTTGCTGACTGGGCTCAATATTTTTTTTCCTTTTACTCTTAGGAAATGATGACTGTCTGCCATTTTTCCTTCTTTGATGCCTTCCTCTTTTCAGTTAGTTTTTGCTATACCTGTAGCCTAGTTGGCTTGGGGTCTATTATGGTCCATATCTCCTGGGCCTTCCTGATATAAGTAGTCAAGCTATAAGAACTATAAGATAATTTGAAGGGTGTCTGGAGGATTCATAGTGGCATCACTAATAGAACAAAATTATGTTAGTAGAGTGCCTAAGGCGATAAAAATGAATTATTTGAATTACTGAGACCTCTTTCTTCCTTTGCCTTTTTCTGATATTTTTTGTCCATGCAAGAATTTTTAAAAATTGTAAACTTTCCAATAAATGATTTGATGATGGTTCTATGAAGTCCATGCCATTACCATGTACCCTTTAGTAATAGTGTGTTTCCAATCAACATTGCCTCCCTTCCTTAAGAGAAGGGCAAGTAGATGCCTCTGATGACATGGTTGTGTTTTTATGTTACACATTACAGAGCTGCAATTTATTTTTTTCTGTTGCAGGGTAAACTAGCAAGAGAGCTTGGGAACCTTAATTTTAGAGTGCCATCTGAGCAGTCCCTTTGCAAAGGAAAAAATATTGCTCTTGCTTTTTCATAGTGACAACCAATAGCAGTTGAATTTGGATAGTATTTTTAGCCCTCTCCTGCAAGTGGCTGAAGTTGATTGGGCAGCTAACCCTTAAGCTCTTCTTGCAGTCAGGCATAGTTAAATATTTTTGTAGTCAGGCATAGTTAAATACACTTCTATTTCTAATTAGCCAAAGCAGATGTAATTTTAGATCTGCTTGGTAAACGTCACTTCTAATTAGCCTGCCAACTGATGAAATAAGATAAGCCTACTCTACTGACCTTGTTATCTCTTTTAAGCAATTTACTTCCCCACATGAAGCAGTAATTTCTAAATGAATTCCAGAAATGCTGAAGCAGTTTTTGAGCAACACACGAAGAACATTAATTCATTATCTACAAAGCAATGCTGATATAGGCTATTAAGAGAATATAAGAGATTGTACACCCCAAGGAAAACATCACTATTCCATATCAACCTTTTCTACCTTTAAGCTTAAGAAAGGTTCATGTTCTTTATATATTACGCTAATATTCTAGTACTTAGACACTTATAGCGTTTCTTATAATATGATCAATTGAATAGCATTAAACCCACTAATTTTTCCTGGAAAAAGGATTTACTTTGCTGCTTCTTGAAATTGATAAATGTGTGACTGGAATAACTGTTGTAATTAATTATTTTCCATGGTTAAGTATACTGTATTCTGTACTGCAAGGATTTAAAAAAAATTTTTTTTTGATTTATATGCCGCCCTTCTCCGGAGACTCAGGGTGGCTTACAATGCGTTAAGCCATAGCCTTCATACTTTTGTATATTTTATACAAAGTCAGCTTATTGCCCCCACAAACCGGGTCCTCATTTTACTTACCTTAGAAAGGATGGAAGGCTGAGTCAACCTTGAGCCTGGTATGAATTGAACTCGCAGTAATTGCAGGCAGCTGGAAGCTAAATACTACCTTTAACAGTAGCATTAGGATTTATCTGTATCTATTTTTTAATGTAGAATAAAAAAATACAATTAGCAGGCAACATTTTTAAAATGTCATTAAATGACATCATCCTTGTAGGATGGAAGTTACTGCTAATTTTATTTGCTTTGTATTATTCTAATCAAATCCACATGGCTCTGAATCTTGACTTCAAGATTGATGGAGAGTATACAAACAAGGCTGCTGTGAAAAACAGATCTTAATCAAGGTGGTGTTTGTGTGTTCCTTTAGACATAATCAGGTGAATAAGAAAGTAGAAATAAAATGTTTATTGAATTGAATACTTACTAAAAGTGATATTTGGAAAATTATAAGGCTGGCAAAGAGTTAATTACCGTAATCTGTTTTCTTTTTGTAGGGATAGGGTAAGATCTTTTTGAAGAATTCACTATGGTCCGAGAACGAAAATGTATATTATGTCATATCGTATACAGCTCGAAAAAGGTAAAATAAAATTTCAGCACCATTCCAAGAAACTTTCATTTTATTTCTTGGTTAGAAAATGTAAAGCTTACTTTGCCTGAGTATTCAAGGTATCTTTTATTGTTCATTACAATTACCTTTTAAGTTCACAACAATACACACCAATAATTGGTGCAGCCATACAATAAGATAGAGGTTTTTATTTTTGCAAGCACAGGGCCACACTTGATACTTTAATCTTGTTTGTTTGGATAATCTTGCAGCTGCCTTCCAAAAGTAGGAAGAGGCTTCTATTAATTAAATACAGTTAATATACTCACTTGCTGTATTATAAATAGATTTCACCTTTTGTCACAGTAAAATAGAATTTGGTGGCAACTTCTTGAGTAGTTTTCGGAAGCTTTCAAAAGTTTTCTGTACCACTAGAGCATCCTGTTATGTATTTCTGCTCTTGAAAACTCAAAATTGAACTAGTGCCTTGATGGCACTAAGATACAGCAAAGAAGGAAACAAATGTGTCCCGATGCAATGTATTTTATGTCTTGCATGTAATTTAGACTTTGTACCTTCCTACCAGGCATAATTCCTCTCAGACATAATAAAAATAGTCAGTTTGGTCTAATGGTTAAGGGTACCATGCTAGAAAGCCAGAGACCGTGAGTTCTGACCTTGGGCTAATCATACTCCTTCAGCCCTATTCGCCTCAGAGGGTGGTTGTTGTGGGTGGGAAATGTCTGTTTTAAACTTTCATTATTTGAGCAAATCAATTAGGAGATGGCTCTGTAGGTCGAACGTTATCTAATGTGAATTCAGAAGAAAACTGATGTTAGGCTATTCCAGTAGGGAATAGTAATATTCAGGTTTTCAACCCTTCATTTGTATCTTTTTTTCTGATTGGATGGCTCCTACTATCATCAATCATGGTATCTTTCTGGCTTGCCTTCAAGGGTTGGGAGTGGGGAGCATTATATATTGTAGAATTCTCCTTCCTGAGTGGGCAGGGGTGGGTGGATGATTGGTCACCACCCACCCCTGAAGGTATGGTGAAGCTATGGATACCTCACAGTTTGGCATCTTCTCTGCTCATGTCTAACAGCTTCATGAAACTATTGGGGATAAGCATGCTCATGAGACTCAGTTTTACATGTTGACTCCTGGTCATTCACACAGTCAGTTGTTCTGTCTTGATGCCTAGAGGCTGCTAGAGCCTGGATGGAATGGGAAGAACAACTTTAGGCTCAATGCCAGCAAGTTAGAATGGTTTTGAGTTAGGAAGCCATCTGGCTACTTAGTTTTGGATGGATGTGTGCTCTCCCTTTATTTATTCAAAATTATTAGCCACACTGATTTTTAACTTGAGGGTCCTTCACTCCCAGAGCCTAGTCAAGGAGCAGGTAAGGACCTGGGGGAGGGCTTTGCACAGTATCTGGTATCTAGTTATGACTATTCCTGAAGTGGAATCCATAGGACCAAATGTGGTAGCTCAACTGGTTATGAATATGCAGATGAGATTTATTCATGTACACATAAATAGTTTCCTTCCTATTTATTTATGGCTTCCTACTTTCATTTTTTTAGGAAATGGATGAGCACATGAGAAGTATGCTTCATCATCGGGAACTTGAAAATCTAAAAGGGAGGTATGACAATGATCATTTCATCTTTCTTCACTTTAGTACAACTCTTATGTGAAACATTTTTTTATAATACCTGTGCAATTAAAAAGCATTTACATTTTTAAATACTGTATGGCATAGTGTTTAAAGTTCCTGTAATTAAGTGTGACTGAAATGGCCAGAAGATTGTGAGAAGTTGTGAGAAATGTGAGAAAGAAATAGGATGAATTCTAGACATACGTATCCAATAGATGGGATAGAAAGGTGTTCTCTTATAGATAGCAACTCAGTCTGGGCTTAAAATACCCAGGAAGAAGATACTCAAATTCAAAAAGATTCCATCTTAATCAACTCATGAATAAAAGTCGGCTGGAGTCCCTCAGTGTCTGAAATTCTGTTTTTAGTGCCGTGATACTCAGTTTCATATTGTCAAATGGCCTACTTGGGGCCTTTCAGGTGAGTTAAAATTCAACTTCTAAAATTGCTGGGTAGAAATTCTGGGAACAGTAACCTAAAACATCTGGAGTACTTCAAGTTGGAAGCAGAAACAATATAAAAACTGAGTCTGCTGGCTATAGAATTCTGGGAGTTGAAGTCCACATATCATAAAGTTTTCAAGGTTGAAAAACACTGCATAAAGCCATAATATGTACTCTGAGCATGAACTCAGCTATGTTGGTTGTAGGAGAGAGGATATCGGCTTAATATCAACCCAAACAATTGTAGTTTATAAACTTAATAAAACTTTGTCAGTACAGAACAGAAACTAATCCTTCCTCTATATTTTTTAAAATTGTATTCAACAATGTAGTGCCTTCTGGATATAAGCATTCTGGTATGAATTTAGGGAGTTGTAGTCCCAATATATGGGAAAGACAGTTTCTGAGAAACAAAACAAATAAATATGTTAAAGTAGTCATCTAATAATCACCTCTCCTTGAATCAGTTCATCTTGAAACTGAATCTTACAACCAATTGACCTTGTTCTTGGCAATAAGGATTCATCTGTTGCCTGGTTGAACAGCTGAAGGGTTAGGGCTCTGATAGCAGAGTGTCACCAACATTAACTTTAGCTGTGTAACTTGAGCTAGCAATTCCAGCTAATTTTTTATTAAAATAATAATTTGAAACAATTTGTTCTTATAATTGCCAGTTTTAAATTGATTATGTGCCATCAAGGTAACATCAGTTCTTTCCAGCTACTTTGATAGATCAGTTTTATGTCCCATCTGTACAATCTAAACAGCTATATCAGGAAGGGTCTTAATTTAGCTTTGTATTTAGGTTTCCCATCTTCTGTGATTGCTCTACTCTGTTTAATGTTCAGATTTGGGAAGGTATGAATATGACCCATTTATATCAATGGGTAGAGTACATTGCCAATGTTTAGAGGACAGTTTAAAGAGGACTCCCCATCTAAATCCAGAAGCAGTTTGGTCCTCACTAAGTTATTTGGATATCTGATGCAACAGTAACAATCCATTGTGGCCCAATGCATAGGAAAATTCTATTTTATTTTTTAAAAAAAATTGATTTATATGCCGCCCTTCTCCGGAGACTTAGGGCGGCTTACAGTGTGTTAAGCAATAGCCTTCATACTTTTGTATATTTATACAAAGTCAGCTTATTGCCCCCATAATCTGGGTCCTCATTTTACCTACCTTAGAAGGGATGGAAGGCTGAGTCAACTTTGAGCCTGGTGAGATTTGAACTTGCAGTAATTGCAGGCAGCAGATGTAAGTGGATGTTAATTAGTCTGCTGAGCCACCAGAGCTATTAAACATTAAGAGGAATTATGTAGATTAATTTAAATTTGTTTTTGTTGTCAATCCATTGATAATGTTATTTGTAATTTATAAACGCCAATCCATTGATAGTGTTAGCAAAAATGCAATTTTTTCCATAGTTCATACAGTGCTTGCAGCTGAATATTAAATGTGAAATTTGGGAAGATTTGTGTTGGTAGATTTCTAGACCACAAAATACATATCATTATTTCACTTGGTCTCTGTTTTGCTTAAAAATAATTGAAATGTTGTGAATTTAAAAATCTTAAATGCACATTTGAAATCAGTAACATTTCTGAGTTCATTGTAATTTTGGCTGGGATCAAGATATGTTCAGGCCATGGATATATCTAGTGAATCGACCTTTTTTTGCTATAAATTTATTTAGGCAATTTACATAGACACTCATCTTAAAATAGCACTTGCAAAACAAGCAGTATATATTGGGTCCCCCTAGTCCAGCCCTAATGCCTGGAAAAAGACCAGATCTTCATAGCCTTCCGGAAAGCCAAGAAGGTCAGGACCCCTTGATTCTCAGGAGGAAAACTTTAGGGCAAGCAATAGAAAGAATGATATTGTTTAAAACAGAGGTCCCCAACCCCTGGACCAGGGTCTGGTACCAGTCCGTGACATGTTAGGAACTGCGCCATGCAAGTGAGCAAAGCTTCATGTGAGCAAAGCTTCATGCACAGGATCTAGGTAAACAAAACCTCTCCTCTCCTCCCCCCTTGAAAAAAATTGTTTTCCATGGAACCTGTCCCCTGTGCCTGTTAATAAGACTGGGATGAGCTCAAGAAAAGTAAGTGTTCATTTATATAGGAATTAGCAGAATGTACAGAATTCCATTTTAAAGCTTTTTTTAAAATGAAGAGGATGGTGCTTTATTTAGCAATCAGCTGATCTCTTATTGAAGCATGTAGTCTCATGTTTTGTGGGTGGGTAAAGGATTTTCTCCCCTTGGTTTGTCTTTCACCCTTTCCAAATTACAGAGGTGGAAGAAGATTCCTCAGCCTGTATTTCCTTTAAGAGAAATTCTTCATAGAATAGCAAAGATGATTGTAGCCCAGGAAATGGGGGCTTCTATCACATCGCTAAAGAATGTTCTGGCCAGATGGTTTTGCAGCTGTGTTGTGCCCACATAATAAATTATTGGTGGCATAAAGCTTTAAAGCAAAACACAGTATTTTAAGTATGCTTGTTGTCCCTTTATTAAACCTTAATAAAAGCTTAGTACAATGGTTCACATACTTAATTGTGGAATGCGTAGGAATGCAGTCTGGGATAGTATTGGTCTCTGAACTACTTGTTCTTCAAAAAAGGTATATTTAAGCTTGTGGTTTTAAATTTGGAATTCTGAAAATTTCATTTTTAGTCTTTTCCATTTGGAAACGGAATGGAGATTCCAGAGCTCCAATTCACATTGCAGTAAGCCATCAATTTATCTCCAAAGATTGTACTACCCCTCTGCCTATTATATATCGTATATGAATATATGGAACTGTGGACTGTCAATATGTAAAACTTTTGCAGATCATAAGTCACAAAAGGCACTAATTTTGCTATTCAGTTTATTTTTTGGGAATAGATTTTCAGGTCTTTGATGTTATTTCACGAGTTTCTGTGATGGCTTGGGTCCATTTGCCAAATTCCTTTAAATCTTTTCAAATCATCTAACCCTTGCTGAAGAATACTGATTTTGGCATTTTCATAGGAGATCACAAAATCTCACAAACTTTTGGAAAATTGCAACCTTAAAAAATAAAAGTTAAAGAAAAGGTCTAATTTTAATAAGTTATGGGGGCTTCTTGCCCTAGTTTGGCAGTGACAACTATCCTCTCTTCAAAGCATTTTAAGACTTTCAAGGTTGTTTCTTTCCCTGGAAGCTTCCAGGGCTAGAAACTAAATATGTAAGGTTTTTATTTCTTGGCCACTTGTCGGACAGCTGTCTGTTCCCTCCAGCTGAAATAATTTTGTGCCTTTAGCCTAATCCTCGCAAAGTAGAGAATGGACAACTTGCATTTTCTGAAACCAAATAAAGTACAGTGTATTGGAGACTCCCTTGCAGTCTTCAAATTCCAGGCCACTGTGCCAGTTGTCCCGGATTAGATTTCACTGTGTTAAGATTGGCTGCTGAAGGTTTTCTCCCCTCCTCTGCTGAGGAAAGCTGAGACAGTGCTTAATGCTAGGCTCTGACACTGGTTTCCCCAGTGCAGCTGGCACCATGGAGGTGCTTTAGAGCAGCTTCAGCTAGCTCTGCAAGCCCCCTGCTCCGCTATGTTTCCTTTCACAAGATTTTGAGTACAGCAATTCAAGAAGAATCCTAGATGACCCCTTGCTTATTATCAAGTTTGTTACCTCTTGATTGTTGGAAAAAAATCTGAAATTCACCAAGAAACAGCCAAGTGAATCCAAAAGAAAAAAATTAGAAAGCAACAGGTTTATTTTTTTTTTAACTTCAATCTAAATTACCAGCTCTTGTGTCTCATTGACTGAGGCACGTTCGTTCAGAGGAAACTTAATTAAGATCAGCATCGTTTGCCATGCCTGTGGGAAGAATTGTGTGCCCACCTTCTCCTTCTTTCCCCAGGGACAGCAATCATGAGTGCCAAGTGTGTAGGGTGACCGTGGTGGGCTTGTCAGCATATGCCAAGCACATCTCCAGCCAGTTGCACAAAGACGGCGTTGAAGCCCACGATGCCGAGGAAGAGAAAGAAAAGACCGATGAAGAATACTTTGACAAGGAACTTATCCAATTAATACAGCAAAGAAATGAACAAAACCGGTGAGTCTTTTCACGTTTCATTAATTTGCACTTTATGAAGTTCTTTATTGGTTCTTTGAACAAAAGAAAATGCTTTTGAAAGTGCAGGGGTGCCTTCTGTGCAGCCTCCAGTTGCATGTAGCTGGGAGAATTCCAACAACTGACTAACTTGCTATTTTAAGTTTATGGTTTAAAAGTGTTTTGGTTTTGGAATAATGCTTTCTGAATTAACAATTAAACCTAACTACTATTGATGTAGCTTTCTCTGCATGAAATAGCTGCAGTTTTATTTTTTGCCACTTTCATTTAAACATACCTAATATGGATATTAAGATTCTTCTATAAATATATCTCCAGTCATGCCTGTTGCATTTTACGAACTATTGTCCAGGTCACGGTAACTAGTTCTGCCACATTTATAATCTATTTTTATTATATCATACAAAATAAATGGAATGCTTTTGGCTTAAATGTGGAGACTTCATCCTTAGTTTTTATGTATATGCAAAACCTGGAACTACAAAACTGGACAGTTCATAGATTTTTTTTTTTTTAGAATTGAGTTAAATTCATCATGTGTTTCAAGCTGTAAATGCATTTCTAATCAATCTCTTTCACTGTAGCATGTGGGGTTTTTTTTAGGAATTGCTGTAAAAGAATGTATCGTATTTCAATCTTTGGAAGAGAAGACTAGGGCAACTCATTCAGCGTGATGTTTCAGTGGCAGCAAGCCAGTGTGTGAAGCATTGCTTTGTGAAAGATTGAGGCAGATATGGATTCCCCTGTGTCTGGTGCAGCTGCTTTGCAGTGCTTTCCCTGTACGCATGAAAGTACAAGCACTGAATTCCACGGTGACTGGTATTTAAGCAAAGTCTAGGAAGGCTCTCAAAATTGCTGTGCCAAATGTTCAGGACAATGTGACTGTTTTCAGCACTTTACTGTTGACAGTGCCAGAAAACATCCTTTCACACAATTTGCAAAAATTGATTCATGGCTTTTGTTTCACTATTTTTAGTAATGTGCAATTTAAAGACCATGTATTTATTTTGGTTAAGTTGCAGATGTATAGTCTTCTGTATGGTAGAAACATTTTGTTTTTGTGGTCTCCAATTCTGTCCATTCTCCCCTACTTCAAAGTGTGATACTTCCCTTCTCCTTTCCTTTCTTTCCTTGAGAAGAAGTCTATGAAACTGAAGAAATCCATTGTGCATCTGACTAAGTGACTGTCAGGATTGGTGTCTTCCACTTATACAGAAGATTATTAAAAAGCTTTAATAAAGATTTCCCCTATTCAGTCGTGACCAACTCAAAGGGGTATCAATTTTATTCATTTATTTATATTATTTATATAGCCACCCTCTCAAATTGTCTTGGGGAAAAGCTCTGCAGCTCCAATAAGATCTGACAGGGTCCCAACTTTTAAGTAATTCTAACAGAAAAGATGTCTTTCCATATAAAGATATGGATAATACTGACCCTGCTTGCTTTCGCCCCAGTCATTGAATCAGGAGGATTTGGGCTCCTGCCAGTTGTAATTGTCTGTCTCTTGAATAACCTTGGTGGACTTTTTTGAACATGTTATATTTTATTCTAGCATTCAGAGTAATAAAACTAGCTGGATTCAGTTAAATTATTGTATGTTTTTAACTTGTGTTCGCTGCCCTGAGTCCTTAGGGAGAAGGGCGGCACTTAAATTTTTGGTAAATAAAATTAAATAAATAAATGTGCCAGAATTATCCTGGTAGAATTAAATATAGGAAATGAGAAAAGAATTAACTTACATTACATTACATTACTGGGCTACAATTTTTTTGACCTTTGATCTAGTGATCTCCTTGAAATCTTGATGATCCACAGTTAATTGACTCCTATTTATGGAATTGCTAAGGAGTCTTCTCAAAGTTAAAAAAGGATATGGAACTCAAAACCTTCAGCATGCCCATGAACAGAAGTTGTCAGATGCTATAGTGTGAAATTTTCTTTCTCTTACATCTCCAGTAGGCTATAGAGAAAGGGAGAGAATCATGTTGATTTTTAAAAACAGGATAATGTTTTTCTAACATTTTACTTCTTTTGAAATAACTCAGAATGAAGCCAATTCAGTTCTAACCAAGAACAATATTACATAGTCATAGTTATATGATAAACCTTTCTGGAGGAACCTTTGTCCTGTGACAACCCGGATCTATGCAATATCCATTGCAGCAGTTAGAAGCTAAGGAAAACTATGACTGTGTAATATTGTTCTTGGTTAGAACTGTATTAGGTTCATTTTGAGTTATTTCAGATCTAAGTACTTTTGTGTAGTACTTTAAATAGTTATTGTGTACTTCCAGAATAATTTTTAGTTAACCAATGTGTTAGAAGTGGGAAATAGAGGAACTATCTCCCTTAAAGATTCACAATATCTCTTTTTCTGAGTAGTTTTTCTGAGTTTTTCACTAAGGAAATAATTTCCATAGTATATTATTTGATATGCTGGGATAAAAATAATAATAGTAGTAAAGGGTGATGTATATATAGAGTGTTGCTTTAAATGTTTGTCCCATTTGAAAGTGAAAGGTAATTTCAAGTTGACTTTCATTTGAACTTTGATCTTTACTTTCTTAGAAGAAGCTGTTATTTGACAGTATTGATTAAAGAAACTAACAAAAATGTAGAATTGGATTAAAAAGCATAGAATTGGATTTAAGCCAGGATTTTACAGTTTTAACAAATTGTTGTTATTTTGATTATTAAATCATTAGATGTAAATATTTGTGTCTTTGATCATTAAATGTAAATGTTTATATCTTTGTAGGACAAGTGAATTTTGTCAGATAAACTGTGAAGCAGAAGATGATGACAGGAGATTGCGAAGGCGACAAAATGACAGACTCTCTTATCAAGACCGAGATCGTTATGAAGCAACATCAAGGAGGCATCATGGACCATCACAGAGGGACTGGAACTGGGAAAAGGATAGTTTCTTAAATTCAAAGCAAGGAAAATTCATCCACTCTTCAAGGAATTCTACTAACTCAAACAGACATCTCAGCAGCCAAAGAGAACGACTTGGGTGGCATCAAAATGGCTCTAGAGGACCTCCAAGTCGATATCATAACTATGGAAGCACTGGAGGTATTTGGCATCAGAATGATAGAGGTGCAACATCAGGTTGGCATCATCATGATAGAGGAAGAAATTCCAATTGGAGTTCTGAAGCAAATAATGTATTTTCCAGCTGGCAATCCAAAAATGTAGGGGGGCACTGGAAATCTGCTCAACAAAATGGAAATGGATGGAACATTGGAAGAAATAAAGCTGTCAACAGTAGTTCTCAGGTAGACAATATGGATATTTCCCGGTTAAAAATAAATAGTGTACAGGATAAATACAGCAGTGAAAATTATACATGGCAATGGCAGGAAGGTGTGGAAAATTATACCGGTGTTGATAATAAAAATGGCAGTCCTGATTGCTTATTAGATTTCACAAGTGACCAGCTACCTTCAGATCAATTGCTAAGTTTTAGTGTTTCTAAGCACTCGGAGAGTAAGAATTCCAAAGTCAGTAGAAAATGCAGTAGTCCTTCTCGAGATAAGACTAACCGATGGGCTCCTTATCCTTCCCAGAAAACTGTAGAGCAGCAGCCGCTGTCTGACGAGAATGTAGCTAAAACATCAGAGAAAGCATTGTCTCGGCTGTCTTCAGAAACAGCAAATCCTAAAACCAGCAACTCTAAAGTGAGAAAACGGGAAGAGAGTTATTCAATATCTTCAGCTAACAGTAAGGCATCCCCTAAAGTTGCACCATGCAAAGTGCCAGTGGCCTGCACAAATGAGAACAAGTCAAGTAAAGCTGAAAGCAAAAATAGAAAGATGCCCTCCTTGAAGTCTCCACTTCTAGCTATTCCAGATATTAAATCCTCTTCTAAAAGAAGAAATTCAAAGAATCTCATGAAACATGCCCATGTCTCCTCATCTTCTGGGGAAGTCCAAAGTCAATTGAGTATAGAGGCTAGCAATTCCTCAAATAAATCCAAGCTGAACAATAATGCATGTAACTATAGCAGTTTAAAAGGGAACACACCTCTATTTTGCAGCAATGAAAGCTTAAACAAAGCATTAGAAAAGGCCAAAGATGAACTCCAGCATAGTTATTCTTTTCAGAAGTCCCGGTCAGGCTCCAGTGGAGATGCTCAGAGTGATGGGAAAGAAGAACAGAAACCTGAAGACTTTTCACATGATTTAAAGGTACATGAAGTCGAGACCAAAAGAGTAGAAAACAAGAACCATGATAATAAACCAGGAAGCACAAATATTTCCTCAAATTCTTATTCATCTTATGGCCTTGCTGAACTTGATCACATTGCAGCTAAAAATGATAACTGTTTAGAAGAATTGAGTGGTGCTAATAAAAAACACATTGAACTCCAAAAGGAGACTCCAGACTCTTTGTCAAACTATCCCTGTGAGTTAGATATTGAACTGAAAACAACTCTGGAAGAAGATGGCGATGAAGATGTTACAAAATCAAATGATGCTCTCGAAAAAGAAGATGATGGAGATAATTCAAATCATGAGCTGCTGAAAGGTACTACAGGGCCATCAACAGGCCCTCTTCTTCCTGAATTGAGCAAACTTGGGTTCCCAGCTTCTCTCCAAAGAGACCTGACATGGCGCACTAGCTTAAAAAATAAAATTAGCGCTCATTTGCCTGAGCCAAATCTCAATAATGCAAGACGCATTCGAAATGTGAGTGGTCACCGAAAGAATGAGACAGAAAAGGAATCTGGACTGAAACCTACTTTGAGGCAGATTATCAGTGCGTCTCGTAGAAATGTAAACTGGGAACAGGTTATTCAGCAGGTGTCAAAGAAAAAACAAGAACAAGGCAAAGGTTTACCAAGGTTTGTAATCTTACCAAGGACGTTACTTTATAGCATGTCTGAATAGTGTGTTTGTGTATGTGTGTCTTTCAGTACAAAACTCCAGGCAAACTAAAAATTCATTGAATAAATATATTTATTAATTAGTTGTAGAATTACTAACAATATGAAATTAACATAATTAATAAATTATACTTACTAAATATCACAGGAAAGTTATAAAGTTGTAATAGTGACTATCCCAATATAGTATATGCAATTAACATTGAATTGACAGCCTTCAGTGAGCCTTACAAAGCTTTTCAGCAAATTGAAGTTGTACTAATCTAGGTTATTCCAAAGGATTTTTTTTCCAAAGGCAACTGGACTTTCTTGGTTTTTTTCCTTGAAAACCTTCCACTTCTCACCCAAAAGCTTCTTCAATTCTAGCTGAATTATGGAGAATGGAAGGATGTATATTCTTTAGAAGTCATCTGGCCATTAGCTCCTTGAGAGTCATTGAGGCCACTTGGGGGTTTATCTGTACCCTTAGGGTCTCCTGAATCAGTGCAAATGGGTGTGGGACTTCTGAAGGGACTGTGTTTTAGACAGGATAGGTGGTGTCATATCCCTCCCCTTCTGTTAAGAGAGGGCTGTTCATATTGATGGTCTCTTTGACCCTTCTTCTCAAACCAGTGGTCCTCATATATATATATATAATGTAATATAAATAGAATATAAACCCATTCCCACCATTTATCCCGAACTGAAAAGCTTATTGGATGAGAAGTGAAATGTTTTCAAGGGAAAAAACCAAGAAAATCCAGTTTCCTTTTGAAAAGCACCTTTGGGACAACCATGACCTGGATGATTGAAAATCTTCATAGACAAATTCCATGTTATGGCTTCTGATGATGTGTGTGAATCTGATCAATATTTTGCTCATCTAACAGCGGCTACAAATATTAACCTGGTTTTATGCTAAGTCCAATTAACAGTTTTTAAAAGATAAAATAATTGATCTCCATAGTTAGAGAAATCTGGTAATGCTGCTGATGTATTTATAGATAAAATTTAAATTTAAAGATTCTTTCAAATCCAGCTATATTCCTTATATAACTTCATGAACGCATCCATGTAGTTTTCTGAACAGCAATAGAAAGTAGATTGCCCTTGACGTCTTCTAGAATAACTTTCTAATTCCACAGTCTAGCCTTACAACCAGGAATTTCCCATGCTTAGCAGACAAATTACCTAGCTGAGAGAAGTGGTTGTGTCTTTTTTTTAAAAAAAAGTTTCACTGACAAATGTTTCATGGTTGTGTTTTAAGGTTTGGCATTGAGATGGTTCCGCTCATCCAGAATGAACAAGAAGGCCTTGAGTTGGATGAAAACGTTGACCTCACCAGTCTTGAAGGATTCCAGTGGGAAGGGATATCTATAGGTTCCCCAGGAACAGTTAGGAAACGTAGCCTCTCGGAAAGCAGCGTGGCTGTCGATAAGACAGCCTCCATTTACAGTTTCTTTAATAATCAAGGCACAAGTAAAGAAGACAAGCTGATAAAATCTGCTTCAGTTGCCAACTCTGAGGATATAACAAGCAGAATTCAGATGTTAGAAGATACTGTGGTTACCGTGAAACAGGAGTCATCTTCTCTTCCTTCCTCCCCATTCAAGAGCGACAGAACTGATTTAATTTCAAGTGAAAGGAAACTCAGCCTCCAGTCTACCCCAAATGTCGCAATCTTTAGTACAAGCGAAAACCAGAGAAGCCCTGACTGTACCATTCATCCATCCGAAACCAAAGGAACATTGGAGAGTGCAGAAGAACATTCCACCCTGTTTTCTGGCCTTGCAGACATCAGCGCTCTGGATGCAGCTACCGATAGCAGCTATACATCAAGCAATGAGCAGAATGATAGCCAGGGAATGGGAAAGAAAAGAAGAGCAACAGGAGTAAGTTCTTTGTATGCTACTAGAAGTGATTTCATTTTATTTGCAGCCATTGAATCCATGAACCAGCATATGAAAAACATCCATAAGCGTAATAGTACTTTGATAAAATAATCATTTAATGTAGAATCCCACCTCAGCGTGTTTATTTAAAGAGACTCCTAATCATGACAGTTACTTTAATCTAAAGCAGCCTTTTCCAATCTCATAAAAGTATTCAGTTTTACCTTCCCTAATTCCCCAGTAAGCACAGTCAATTACCACGTTGAATGAGAGACTGTAGGAGTTGAAATCCAGGTTGTAAAAGCTGGGGTATACTGGATATTTATCCTTTTGCTATGTGGGTGCTTATTTAGGTCATAAAAATATTGTACTGGCTTTTATCACTTTCAAACTAATGTTTGTCTCAAGTTCTTGCTAGGCAGGGTATCCTTAATGAAAAATCAATGCAAAGTCTTGGTTACATGTGTTTCATTAGATGAGGATTGCCTGTGGATCAAACTGCGGTCGCAATTAAAAAAAAAAAGCATGCCTCAATACTTTAATGACAGTTCAGTGGTTTAATTACTTCACTTGAAATAATTCTCATTGAAAAGAATTGCTATTAGTTCTGAACATGATTTGCAAAGCCTTAAAGTACCATGGCTTACCTAATTAGAAATGTTAATCTTAATTTCTAGGAGGGCTCCTGTCCTGAAATCCCAAGTTTAGAAAGAAACACTAAGCGAAGGAAGATCAAAGGAAAAAAAGGTGGGTGATTGCAGTCAGTTAACATCACATTATTGCCTTAAATTTATATTTTAGAAGTTTTGTGTATAGTAATAACTGTATTCCGTGTGGAGGCAGAAATTTAATTGTCTTCATGATCCTTCATGATTTCAGTAAGCTAATACAACATACAGGTAGTCCTCAACTTATAACAGCTTGTTTAGTGACTGTTCAAAGTTACAACGGCACTGAAAAAAAGTAATCTATGATCATTTTTCACACTTACGACCATTGCAGCATCCCCATGATCATGTGATTTACATTCGGATGCTTGGCAGCTGACTCACATTTATGACAGTTGCAGTGAAGCAGGGTCACATGATCCCCTTTTGCGACCTCCTGACAAGCAAAGTCGATGGGGAAAAGCGTATTCAATTAACTGTGTGACTAATTTAAGAAACTGCATTGATTCACTTAACAAATGTGGCGAGAAAACGGGGGCAAAACTCACTTAACAAATTTCTCCCTTAACAACATAAATTTTGGGCTCAATTGTGGTCGTACATTGAGGACTACCTGTACTTGCTTTGCAGAATGCATAAGAAAAAGGTGTTCCCAGGACTGATAAGGTTTAGATGGAGCTCAAACAGCTGACATGCACAATTGTTTTCTAATTGTTTTCCCAAATGACATGTGCCTCCATTATGTTTTACAACATTTTCTTTTTCAGAGCGTTCTCAGGTGGATCAGTTGTTGGTTATTTCCCTGAGAGAGGAAGAATTAAGCAAATCATTACCATGCATAGATGAAAGCCTCCTGCAGGCTCGATCAGCTCTGCAAGCAGCTTATATCGAAGTCCAGCGATTACTTGTATTGAAACAGCAGGTATTTTATAAGTTGGCATCTATTTGGGAATTTGTTTTCCCAATTTCAGAAGGATATTATTTGCTGATCCTTATTTAAATCTCTTTTATTTTCTAGATATCAGTCGAAATGGGATCTCTGAGGGCCCAGAGGATTCAGATCCTGCAGGGGTTACAAGGTAACTTGGCTGACTTGGAGCTGTGTTCCATCTGGATCTTGGCTTTTCGTCTGGCATTTACAACAGGAAACAGTGAGATGTTCTCCCATTCCCAGTTTCCTCAGTACATTCGACAGCTTGATAGGGTCACCGCAATCAAAAGTCTTTTCTGTAGTCAGCGAAGTACATATATACTTATTTGGGGAATTCTTTGGTTTTCTCAATTACTCAGATTTCTAAATCCAGCTTCTACATTTTCTTTTCTAATCTATGCGGGCCAATCCTAAGCATTATTTTGCTAGGATGTGAAATTAAGGATATATGCTGTAGATTGCACACACTGTTAAATCATCTTTCTTTACCATTGTTATGTAGATTTACTTTTTAAATCTTTTGGCCATTTTGTTGTTCTCTCCATTTGTTGATATAATTTGGTTAGAACTTTTACAGATTCTCCATCTTTGACTTGCCAGATTTCTGTAGATGCTCCATCAATTCTTATAGCCTAACAACTATAGTGCTGATGTAATTTCATCTTTTAATATTGGGGTTTTTGTCAGTAGGGAATATTTTCTATGGTATCTTGGTTGTTGACATCTCTGCAGTACAGAAGTTCATTTCTTCCATTTTTCAGAACAGTACAGAATTTTTTTTGGTACAGAATTTCATTCCTTCCATTTTTAGCTTGTTCAAATCAGCACAATTGGTATTAGTATAGCCATTCTCATCATACCATTTCAAGTTTGGAACACTTTCTGAGTTCAGAGATCTTTTTGAAAAGCTTTTTTTGTTTTTCTACAAAAACAAAAATTTGTCTATTTCCATCTTTAATGTCTTTACAGAATAGAATAGAATAGAATAGAATAGAATAAAATTAGAATAGAATAGAATAGAATAGAATAGAATAGAATAGAATAGAATAGAATAGAATAGAATAGAATAGAATAGAATTCTTTATTGGCCAAGTGTGATTGGACACACAAGGAATTTGTCTTGGTGCATACGCTCTCGGTGTACATAAAAGAAAAGATAACATTTGTCAAGAATCATAAGGTACAACACTTAATGATAGTCATAGGGAAACAGTCAATATAAATCTTAAGGATACCAGCAACAAGGTTTACAGTCAGATGTTCTAATATTGCTTCCCGTCTCATCTGCCACCTCTCTGAAATGCTTTCTTATTTCTTGATATACATAATGTAATTAGCAGCCAGGTTTTACTCAGAAAGCTGCTCAATATCAAGAGACAGGATAGGCTTTTGGAATTCATTCAGTAATATGGTCTTCAAAGTGCATTATACTAAGGTTTGATCATCTGCTATCGAGGAATATGGTTTAATTGAAATAGGAAGCCAAGCTGCTTCATTAGTGCTTAGTGGAAGGTCTAAAGCATGGGTGTAAAATTTGCGGTGACATTTCATGACTTTTTCCCCTTTGCGGAGCTGGGGTGGGCGTGGCCTGCACATGACGCATCCGGCCCGTGGGCCGCCAGGGCCGCCAGTTTGATACCCCTGGTCTAAGGACTTCCTAACTTATTTAGGATTTTTGCTTCTTTTCATTGCAGTTTTGAAGATCACCCGGAAATCTTCCAGGGACCATCCACTTCATATATATCTAGTTTCAATCAATACTGTTCTCTGATTGGTAATACTCACTGAGATGCCTCATACTGTGTTTCCCCGAAAATAAGACCCTATCTTATATTTTTTTCCCCATCAAAAAAAGCACCAGGTCTTATTTTGAGGGGGAGGGGGTGTCCACTGACTCACCTCACTAGCGTGCGCCCCCCCCCCCAACCTTTTCGCTGTCAAAGGCCTTCAGGAAGTTCTGGAGTCGGCAAGGCTTTCCTGAAGGCCTCTAGCCGATAACAGAGCTCTGGATGGATTTGGAGCTCTGTTATTGGCTGCAGAGGCCTTTAGGAAAGGCTTGCCTTGCTGACTGCAGAAGAAATGGGCCAGCAAGGCAGGTGTCGGGGTGTGCGAGGCCTAGCTGCAACTATCCAAAGGTAAATAGCTCCACCCCCTCATCCCCACCCCAGCTTAATTTTTACTCGTGCACTCTGGAGTGGGCAGGGTCTTAATTATTTTAGGGGTAGGACTTACGTTGAGCGCATGTGTAAAAATCAAGCTAGGACTTTCGAGGTAGGTTGTATTTTCAGGGAAAGACGGTAGTTTAGAAAGATTTCATCCCTACTAGTAATCTGGTTGCACTTTCTGATTGGTAACAAAGCCTATTAATGTTTTAAACAGATAAACATTTGCTGAACATTATGTGAACCTCAATTGCTCTTCTCCTGTATGCTCTTGCACTGATAGTCATTGTGGACTCCGAGTTATTTTATTAAGGAGTATTTGCAATCAGTCTTTTCTATCCAGCACCCAGAAACATCTCTGTAAATAAGTGCTACATTTTAGCCCTGATGCTTTGATTTTCAGCATCTCATTTATTTCTTGTTAATTAAAAAATGGGGAAAATATTGAACAAGAAATGACACCAAGGGGCGTACCTTTAAATATATTTGGTGTTGATGGGCACCATATTGGGGAGGGGGGCAGGTTCCATATTTTGTTTACAATTTGAGGCAGATGGATACTTTAAATTCTGTAGATGTTTAAAAGAAGAAAGCTGTATAGAAAAAAATGGGCTCTCTTGATCTCACAGAACTCTCAGCTTTTATGTGAATTAGAAGATGAAAGGAAACAGGTAGGGAATATGCTTCCTGGACAAGTCAAGTATATGCAGAGTTTGGAAACCAATAAAGGAGAATATTTGTAGCTCAGGATCCTTGGTGCTCTCTGAGCTTCGTTCTTTCTTTTCTTACAGATGTTTCATTACCCAAACTAGGTAACCCCATCAGTGCTAGTGAGTTTGGAAAGTTTGGAAAACAACAAGACAGAACTTATTTAAAAAAAAAACTACATATTTTAATGTGAAATATGTTGCTCCCTTCTTAGAAACTTACGAGCCTTCAGAACAATTGCAATTGCAACAGCCACATCACAGCAGCTCAAGTGAAAAAAGCCTTGGCAAGCTCCATTTGACACAGGATACCACTGCTAATGCAGGTCTTCTTGCTCCTGTTCTGGATGCTGTTCCACCTACCTCTGCGCAGATCCCTCCTCCTTTTTCAGCCCCTGCTCAGGAAAAGGCTGAACCTACATTCCAGACTGCTGGTGACGTTGCCCCCATCACAGTCCCCGATTCATCCATACAAATCAAGCGGGAAGCTGTGTCTCCAAAGCTTAGAGAAGACTGCATGAACGTTCCTGAACAGAGTACTTCACGTTCCCCACATGCAGAACTTCACTTGCAGGATAGTATGTTGGTTTACTGTATATTAAAGATAAATTGATCTCTGCCTCTTTCTCTAATTGTGATTATGGAGTCTAAATTTTGGATGAAAACTGAGCTATATTGATCCTCTTGCTGGGATGCTTAGTGAACAAGTCTAATCTTTAGTGAGTTCAGCATATACAGTATGCAGAAGTGGTAAAGAAGTAAGTTTATGACAATAATTGTGTCACTTTAACCAGTCGGTGACTTTTCACTAATGACTCAGCTTGTGGATGAAGGAGAGAACAATTCCCAATTATTTAATTGAAGTATTTTTTTCCTTCAAGGATACTATTTATTTGAATACTTCAGTAAATAAATGTGTCAGAGCCCAATTCACTCATAGGTTGGTATTGCATTTATATGCCTTCTTCCTGAGAATTTCACAAGCAGCTTGGATACCCTTCAATATTGTACTAAGGTTGTGGCTTCCCAGGCTTAATTATGGCTTATTTCTATATCAATTTTAGCTAAATGTTTCAATTGACTTGCCACATGTAACTTGAGAACAATCTTCCAGAAGGTTTCATTGTTATCTATATTGTATAGATGCAGAAGTCATGACAGGAGAAAATAACTTGCCTCAATCCTATTTACAGGAGTTGGAGCCAATTTAGTATTAGGCCCAGAGTATGAAATAATATCCTGATTAAGTGCTTGAATTGATTATTGATTTGTCACAAAAAGTCATATATAATGAAGTTCATGTTGTTAACATGAATGTTGTTAACAATTGTTCAGTTAGGTGAAAAGCAATATTCCATCTTCTTTCTTCAGGAAATACAAGTCAACAGCCTTCACTGTATCCAGTTATCACTGCTAGTATGTCATTGTTGGAACTAATTGATTTCCAAAAAGCAAATCAAGATATTCAGAAATCTATTCCAAATATGATAGGGACAAGGTTATCTGGCCATTCTTCCCCTACTAATTCAGGATCAGTATCCTCAGTGAAAACACAAGGCAAGATAACTCCAGCAGGCAATACCATATCTGAACCATGCATTGGCTCATTGGAAAGCCAGTCATTTACTTCCGAACTTGCTGCAAATGAAAATAATAAACAGTCAACTGAACAGCCCGAGCAGATGGCCATCTCTACTATGGTCACCATGGAATTCAAAACAAGCAAGAAGAAGAAAAAGTTGAAAAAAAAGAAAGCATTCCGAGCAGCCCGTGTTCCTGAGAATAGTGATACAGAACAGGACGTTAGTGATTCTAAACCAATTAGGAAAGTAAAGACTGTAAAGATACCCAAGGGGGAAAAAGTAACAACATCCACCCCTCCAAAGAAAGAGGATGGTGTGGCTGCTCATGAAAGAAAGAGGAAAAATGAGGAGAATGATAGTGACACATCTCTTGAATTTGTGGAAGTCCCTAAATCTCCTCTGGAAGTGGTGGCCATCAACTCATCAGAATCGGAAAGTGAGAAACCAGACAGCCCTTCTAAGAGAAGAGATACCTTGAGCTCCACAGATAAACTGTTGAAAGAGTCATCTCGGTCGGGCCACGATGAAGTGAGCTCTACTAGTGAGATTGGAGTAAACTATAAAGATGATATTGGTAGAAGGTGAGCCGACAAACTATATGTGTACTGATTGCTATCTGCATCGTATTAGCTTTTAATCTGGCTAGTTGAATATTATTAGGGGCAATATAATTGGTGTTCTTAATATTTAGAAATTCTTTAGGAATTCTAAAGGACTATTCAGGAAACCTTTAGCTGAGAAATGGTTTAGAGAACAATTATATTAAATTTGACGTACCCAACTATATTCAGCAAACCATTTGTGACAAAAATCCTATTTCATATAAAGTTTGAGAAAAGTTTTATTGTAGTTTCTGTAGAAAGATTTACTCCTTTTTCATAGAATATTTTTCCAGGAAGATTCTAATGTATTGAGTTTGTAATGGTGGTTTTTTTTTTTTCTTTTCTAAACTACTTAAATTACCTCTTTCTTCTATAGTGTGGCTGAGACTCAGACACCTTTATCGTCATTACGAGGATCAAAAACTTCATCAGGTACATCTGTCTGCATATTGGTTTTCTTAACAGCAAAATAAGTATAAGATCTTTTGGAGGAGAGATGTAGTTGTTACTTGGAATTCAGTTTCTTCATACTGCTTTAATTATGCACTTTAAAACATTCTGAAATTTCCAAAATATCCATGCTAATTATTTTTTTCTGAGACTTTGACTTGAGGTTTCTTATATCTCTTGCTTGCCCTTTGATCTGTTTGGTGAAAATTAAATTTTCTTTCTTTCTTCTAGCCAGTAAATTACTTATTATTTCTTTCTGTGTTTCTTTTGTATCTACTCGGTATGAAGAAGGAATTCAAAGGCTACTTTGAGATAAATTTTGACTCAAGGAATTTAATCATTTGGAACCAACTTCTAACTTGAGATGCACTTCAGTAAACTTTTGAGGAGCTTTAATGTCGTCTTCTTGACTAGACAACAGTAAAATATTGTTCAAAGCTAATAATTTTGGTGCTATACTTATTTGTAACATATGTTTGAATGTATTTGGAGAATGTTAGTTTGACTCTTCTGGCAATGCAATCAATTTCCATTTCTTTTCCCCTCATACTTAATATTCTCCTGTGGTGACAGCAAGCTTTTTCTATATGGTTCCAGACTGTATCTATTAAAGTTGGTAACTCTCTTTATACTGTATTTTTTCCTTGACAAAGTTGCAGTTTAGTTCCTTTTCTCAACTCCTTCAATTAACAGGATCAAAACAAACTTGATTTGTTGTTCAGTGGAAGGGTTAGATAGCAATAGCAATAGCATTTAGACTTATATGCTGCTTTAAGCAGTTTACAGAGTCAGCATATTGCCCCCAACAATTTGGGTCCTCATTTTACCCACCTCAGAAGGATGGAAGGCTGAGTTAATCTTGAGCCTGGTGTGATTTGAATTGCCAAATTGCAGTCAGCTGGCAGTCAGCAAGGTAGCCTGCAGTACTGCACTCTAATCACTGTGCCACCGTGGCTCATGATAGGGCAGATAAGGGAGATTGATCAGACCTTGGAGGATTATTATGGATTGGGAGAAGCGGCATGGAAGGCTAGTAGCCTTTGTAAACGTTGAAGAGAGCATGTGGACAACACTATGCTGCAGTGGGTAATGGGTACAAGGAAGAAGAAATGGTTGGGTGGGAAGGCAAAGGGGAACCATTAACCATATCCAATACTATAGAAGACCAAGTGCACTCATATGAACAGAATTTTTAATTGCAAACTTTGATTTGTATTTGCCAGAAGTGTCTTCAGAGCCAGGTGAAGATGAGGATCCCACAGAAGGGATATTTGAGGGGCATTCAGCATCAGTGAATGCCATTCAGATTTTTGGGAACATGTTGTACACCTGCTCAGCAGACAAAACTGTCCGTGCATATAACTTAGTGGTAAGTAGACCTGCTGAAGAAGTTGCAGTTGGATTGTGACTTCTTTGACCCAAAGAAAGTCTTGGGGATATTAAAATGATTGAATAATTAGAAAAGCTGGAAAAGTAGGGCCCTCAATATTTTTTAGAATGCAACTTTTAGCAGCCTTAGGATAAATACATCTGTTAAGATGAAACTGAAACCTATTCAGTTTTGTGGGAGAGATGTAGGACACTTTAAAATATTATTAGAATTCTGTTTTAGAAACTAATATTTGGGAGCTGTTAATCAAATCTAGTGAATGCCATATGATACTTAACATCTCTCTTAGGAAAAGAAATGATGGAAATACAAAAAAATTCAAAACAATAAAGGAAGTAACTTCTTGTTCCTAGGTTTATGCAGACATATGCATGCTGCTTCATGAGAAAGTGGTGTCAAAAGTTTTCTTACAGAGCTTAAGTTCATATGAAGTTGCAGCTCTTGAAGGAATGGCAGAACTTGCTAGAAGACAATATTAGGCACGTAGTTTGCACATAAGCAGTCCCCAACTAACAATTGTAGTTGAGCCTGAAATTGATCATGTCATTGCAGTTGTTAGTAAGTGATTAAATGACTGGGACCAATTTTACGTTTTTTTGTAAAAAATTGGGGGCGGTCATTAAGTAAATACCACATTCGTTATGTGTATCCACTTTATTCTATGGGCGCTTTTTGCTGGAAAAGTAAGTAAATGCCAGAGACTGGCAAAAAGTATTTAAAAAATCACGGTTGAATGATGGTGGGATGCTGCAAAAGTGAGCCTGTTGCCAAGTGCCCAGAATGTGTTCCTATGACTGTGGGAAGGTGTTGCAGCCATCATAACCTTGAAATTGAGTCATAAGTAGCTTTTGGAAGGATCTGTTGTAACTTCGAACGGTTGCTAAATGATTGGTTGTAAGTCAAGAACTATTATATCTGTAGTTGCACATGCACCTTAAATTTCTTATATCTCAATAAAGAGCTGCCTCTTTATTGTAAGTGTCAGGAACTGGTGACATGGCTTCCAGCTTTGGACGTGGGAAATACACAGAAGTGGAGGTGCAAGCCCCCAAATAATTTTAATAAAACTAAAAACAAACCCAAACCCCCACGATCGCATGTATGGTCCTTGCTTTCTTTCAAAAAGGGTGATCTCTACCTCTTAAAAGGCATTCATCCCAATTTAAATACAATCTGACCACATTTCATTCTTCTTTTCATAGAACAGGAAATGTGTGGGTGTCTTTGAAGGGCACGCTTCCAAAGTCAACTGCCTCCTGGTAATTCAGACAACAGGGAAAAATGCAGCACTTTACTCTGGCTCCAGTGATCACAATATAAATTGCTATAACGCCAAGGTAAGTATTGAAATAATGGTTGATGCAACTAATTAACCAGGAGGAAAATGCATTGCCTTTTGTAATTCTGGTTTCTGAATTTATTCATCTTCTCCCTAGGCCAATTGTGAGTGTTAGGATGGATTGGCACTGGTAGACCTTCCCAGACATTTGGGAATGTCTGATATTTCTTCAGCTCTGTGCATCTAAACCATCTTCTGAGCATCTAAAAATGTGAAGTAGCTTCCAGAAGTAAAAACATTTTCACTGATGCAAAATGATAATACTTGGATAACAATTTAAAAAAATAAATTAAGCCAAAATATTTTTATACTTTTATTATTTGTATGCATTCCTTGGTCTCAGATTGATAAAATTTTTGGTAAGTGTTTTATTTACAAAAGGCAATACTGTGTGTGCATTACTTTTACGTTTAAAGCAGAAGACCATACAGGAGACTTGAAAGGAATACAGTTACATTTGTATTTAGAATTCAGTTTTTCATTCTTCCAGTGGTTTTCAGGAGCAGACTTACATCTAAAGCAACAGTTTGCTTGTATGTTGAGAAACTTAAACTGCTACATAAATGAAACTTTCCTTTAACCTTTATAGTACATGTATCAGTTTAGGTTTTCTTAATGTACAAGAGTTTCCTAAATAATATGCTTTCAAAGCTTGTTAAGGCTATTTACTATGAGTTTAGTAAATCCTATTTTTTCTTCCTTACTAGACAAGAGAACTTATTGATCAATTTAAACTGGATGACCGTGTGCTTTGCCTGCACAGTAGATGGAGGATCCTTTACGCCGGCCTTGCAAATGGAAATGTGGTCACTTTTAATATAAAGGTCAGTATAAGAGATGTAAACATTGCTAATCTCCCAGAAGAAAGGCTAATATATTGTGTGATACCTGAAAAGGACAAATAATGTTTGAAGTTCGACTTGCATAAAGAAATAAGGGGAAGATCTACCTGGGCACAGTTAGAGGTTAGTTGATGCATAAGCACAATCAGACATAAGACTAAAATATGCCTGGGGGAGTAGTTACTGGGAAAGGAGTCCATGCCCCCTTATCTGTTTCTTTGAATTATTTTTCTGTTCAAAATTAAAATTAGGTAAGTATTTGCAATGGAGCAGAGCATATCTTAAAGAAATTCACTCCATTAAAAAGTAAACAACACTGTTTCTTAATGAAAAAAAAGCATTGTTTTACAAGTCCAGTTATATGGGAATCTAGAATTTGTGAGAAGGCATTCAAATAATTAGAAGGAGAAGAATTTAGTGCTTTTGGATGTGGAAGGAAATAATTGTGACCATAACGTGTGTTTGGGTTGTATTTTCTTTTCCCCAAGAACAACCGACAACTTGATACTTTTGAGTGTCATGGTCCTAGGGCGATTAGCTGCCTGGCTACAGCTCAAGAAGGGGCACGACGACTACTGATTGTGGGATCCTACGATTGTACAATTAGTGTGCGGGATGCCCGAAATGGACTGCTGCTCCGAACCCTTGAAGGTCATAGCAAAACAGTATTGTGTATGAAGGCAAGTACTTTGAAAAGAAGACCTTTTATTGAAATGCAGCCATTTGAAACAATTCATAACTTGTAAATAAAATTCCATTTTTTTTTTTTTGCTTGATGCTATTTCCTCAGTTCTGAGGAGGTGTAAGATGAGAGACATCTTATATATGTCAGCTGGGAGAGGATGTGGGATTTTCGGAGGGAGGCCTTGCTTGATGCTCTGCAGATCAATTAGTTGGAGATGTAAAAAACCCCTTCCTTGTAATAGATAATAGTAATTTTGAAGCACAGCTGGACTTGAGATGTGGTATTGACTAGGTCTGTAGGTAATTCGGTTGCATCTAATGCAGTTCTGTAGCAGCTGGTGCTCAGACTGGCCTTGTAATTCATTCTCTAGAGGTGATTCATTCATTGTAATTATATTGTGACAATTATTGACTACTGACTACTACTACTACTACTGACTGGATCTTCAAACTCGACATTAAACTTTGAAATGTTATTTATGTTTTCCTTTTAGGTTTTCTTACTGCTTTTTTTATTGTTTTAATTGTTTTTAACCTGTAAAAATGAACTGTTTTAATACTGTGTGTGACCAGCCATACGCTAAATAAATAAATGTGACAATTAAACGTGAGAACTGGTAAGGAATGAAGTATTTCTGGTTAAATATTGTATGTAATCTGGCTGTTGGCTTTATCTTCCAAGGTTGTGAATGATCTGGTTTTCAGTGGTTCCAGTGACCAATCTGTCCATGCCCACAACATACATGTAAGTTATTCAAAGGTCATTTCATTTTAATCTGTGAAATATGAAATGCTTCATACTTCTTTTGCTTCTAACAAAATAATTTACTGCTAAATTAGTGTTGCTAATTCATTTACATAAATTTAATTCAATTTTAAACAAGTGTTCACAGAGAAAAATACCTAATACTTAAACCTGAATCTTGACTGTAGATGTTCTGAGAAATAGAAAAATTAGTTGCTTTAGGAAAGTTTCATGCACTTTTATTTGACTAGACAATCGTGCCAGTTAAAAATATGCTATTAGCCCTGTTTCATCTTCAGTAAATATGTGGAAACAGTAATTGAGACTGGTATTCTTATCACTAAACGCAGTCATAAAGTACATCACAACATATAATGACAACAATCCCAGCAACACTCCTTATTGCCATCATTAAGTGAGGATCACAGGGTCATTAAGTGAGTCCCAGGCAACTCACAAGCAATCCGGGAGGCAGAAGGGGCATGCTCTGGATCTTGTCAGCCAAGGAACTGTGACTGGCAGGATAATGGAAAAGAGCCTTTCTGTTGCAGAATGTCATGCCCCTTGAGCTGAGATCTGCCCCCACCTTCTTGCCCTTCTGAAAGAGCCTGAAAACTTGGCATTGCCAACTGACTTGGGACCCTGATAGGGGCATCCCATTTTGGAGAAGGCTAGTAGACTAATACAAGACCTCACCTCCACTCCAACTATGCATTGGTTCTTTTTATCCATTTTAATAATAATTTTAATATATTAGTTTTTACTATGATGCTTTAATGTTTTAATCCTGTAATTGTTTTATTCTGTTAATTATGACATTGTAAACCACCCAGAGTTGCTTGGTAGAGTGAGGGGCGCATACAAATTCAATAAATGAATAGGAATAGGAAGAGAAGAGAAGAGAAGAGAGAGAAGAGAAGAATACCAATTCTCAGATGCATCTTTTTATTTCTTGTGAATGATGGTGGATAAGGATAAGCTTTTACACAAAATACATAAAGATTGATCCCATATGAAAGCCGTATGAAAGTGTTGTTCATGCTAGACAGTTAACAATCTTTCTTACAATGCTCACTTTATTAACAGTACAAATTAAAGAAGAAACATATCCTCTTTAAGATTTTTTTCTTAAAAGGAAGGTGTCTATAAGAATCTAGTAGAAACAATTAATTTTTTTTTTCTCTGTGCATACCCATTTATCCTGATGATCTTGTTGCAGACTGGGGAGCTGGTACGGATATACAAGGGGCATAACCATGCAGTAACTGTTGTGAACATCCTGGGAAAAGTGATGGTAACAGCCTGTTTAGACAAGTGTGTTCGAGTATATGAGTTGCAGGTAAAAATCTAGCTGATTTTATTTTAAGTGGAATGTGATCATTATCTTTGTAAATGATATCCTTTGTTTTTCTTTGATCCCAAGTGGTGTATTCATCTTCAAATATTTCATGAGATCTAATTTGATGCAATTCTTTTAGGTCTGAATTGGGGTTTTAAATGATTTGATTGCTTATTTGTACCCTATGACTGTCATTAAGTGTGGTATTTTATGATTCTTAACGAAAGTATCTTTGTATGCACCAAAGACAAATTCCTTTTGTGTCCAATCACACTTGGCCGATAAAGAATTCTATCTGTCCATCCGTCCATCCATCCTTCTATCTATCTATCTATCTATCTATCTATCTATCTATCTATCTATCTATCATTTATCTCCTGTAGGAGTTGCAGAGACTTCAGGATCTAATTTTCTCTAGGAAGAATAGCTGCTGGATTGTCCATTTTGCCTGCTAAACTTACTTGCCATGAGATAACAGTGTTGTGGTGAAAGCCCTAGGTCTGTGATGGCAAACCTATGGCAAATGTGCCAAAGGTGGCACGCAGCGCCCTCTCTGTGGGCATGAGAGCCATCGCCCCAGCTCAGCTCTGCCGAGACGCGCACATGTGCAGGGCACCTGTATGCGTGGGGGTGGGGCGTAGGGACTGGGCACACATTGCATTTGGGGGGTTCGGGCACACATTCACGCATTAGTGCGTGCATGCGTGTGCACTTTGGACACTCGGTCTGGCAAAGATTAGCCATCACTGCCCTAGGTTATGTACATTGCCTGCCATACATTTTGAAAGCATGTGAGGTTATTTAGATAAATACATGACTTTTTCTGTTTAATAACTTTTCATCTGGGAGAGTCTATGACTGGGAATGAGTATTTAAAATAAGTGAACTAGTATTGTGGGACAAAGAAGCAGGTTGGTTTTTTTTTTCTTACATTGTTTACATACAGTTTACTGTAACTAAATCTTTAGCTATATACTTATTTGTTTATTACACGTCTAACACGTTTTCTTTGTTTTTTCCCCTCTTTTCCACCAAGTCTCACGATCGTTTACAAGTCTATGGAGGACATTCGGATATGATTATGTGCATGACCATTCATAAGAGCATGGTAACACTTTGTTTTCCCTTTCCATAATATTAGGGATTTTCCTCTTATGATTATGGCTATCCAGAATTAGATCATTATTCTTGCTTGCTTTGTAGATAGTGTTTTGCAAGTTACTTCATGTTTGGTTCCCTCTGGTTGGGAAATAGGACTGTGAAGCAATTATGAATTTGTTAGAAGCTGTATCCAAAGAGCCAGATGTCCGCAAACCCACTAGAGCACCCCATAAGGAGCATCTGTCACCTGGGGGAAGATAACAGGCATTTGTATCTTATATTTAAGAACATCACCACCAAACTAATCATCACCACTTCTCTGTATGCATAAGGAGGATTATTTTGGATTCTAGCCAGGCTCTAACAAAAGACATAAGTAAATTCACAGATCAGAAGATCTGATGCCCTGTAGTTGGATTGGACTCCAAACTCTTTATCTATTCTTGCAAGATGGCCAGGGGTAAGGGACTGTGGGAGTCCAGAAAATCTGGAGAGTATTTAGTATTATTTATGTAAATTTGGTACTCCTGTTTTCCTGCATGGTGGCACAGTGGTAAGAATGCAGGATTGCAGGCTAATTGCTCACATTGCCAGGAGTTCAGTTCCCTCAATCCTGACTGGCTCAGATTGACTCAGCCTTCCATCCTTACAAGGTCGGTAAAATGAGGACCCAGATTCTTGGGGGCAATATGCTATCTCTGTGAACTGCTTAGAGAGGCTGTAAAGCACTGTGGCGGTATATAAGTCTTAAGTGCTATTGCTATTATTATAAAGTATCCCAGTTGGATTGTTTGTAAAAACAACTAAACTGTGATAAAATAATACAATTTTACCCAACTCTTTTCAATCTGTGAAAAGCATCAGATAACTTTTGAATAAACGTTAACATTTGAGATGCCTAAACCAACTGACATCTGAAAAGCATAGCAACTCTAGCTCAACCAACAGTCTAAATAACTAGGTAAGGTTTCTGGGCATATGTGTGTCTATTTTTTTAAATTTTTAATTGGGCATTTAACAAAGATTGTCTCCATAGCCTGAATGGCATCATTATATTTTGTTATCCTATTGACGTCATGCAAAAATTATTTCCCAGGGGCAGACTATAACCACTCAAACACTTAATGATATTTATACTGTTAAACCACTTGTTTAGTTACAGAACTTAATAACTCTATAGTGTAACTGAGGACTTTATTCAATTAATGATCCTGCATTCTTTGGTTGCATATTAATGTACATTTTCTAAACATTACTACTGATTTCTTTTGCAGAATAGTTTTACAGTTCATCCTTAGGTTTTGTGTTCATACATGTACTAGCTGTTTTGCTGTTATTGATATCTCAAGATTTTTTTTAAAAAAAACTTCATACTAAAATGTTTTTTATATGTTCAATATACAATATACTAATTGAATTGTTTCCCTTAATCCAACCATTATGAACTGAGTGATAAAGGAGTGTATAGAATTAATTTCAACATTTTGCTTTTCTATCACTAAAATATATAAGCTACTGTACAGAAAATAAATATTCTAATCATAGTAGAATTTTAAACATAGTACCAGTGGCTACTGCATTTGGTATATTCATGTCCTTTTATTCTTTTAATTCTAGAATTCTTTTTTTCCTCTTTTCAGATCTACACAGGTTGCTATGATGGTAGTATCCAAGCAGTGCGGCTTAACCTGATGCAGAACTATCGTTGTTGGGTAAAGAAAAAACACTTTTGCTCTTTAGACTCTAAAATTCATGTAGTTGTTCGTAATATTTGAAACCTGTTGAATCCACAAAAAATGTAACATAAATAGGATAAAAATGTCAACAAAACCAAATAGTTGAAACAGTTAAAATTGCAGTTGGGTAACTATAACGAATTTGGCTGATTGATTTGTTCATTTAAAAGGTAGGCTCGGCATAAGGTATCAAGACATCATAAATCAACTCTCTAAGCCAAGTTTGAATCAAATTCTTTACCTACTATGGAAAGCAATTAGTTCATTCCAGATTCCAGATAAATCTCAAATAGTTTTTAAACCCTTAAGTTTAGTCTTCGCTTAAGAATGGCTGAAAATATTGACTCCGGCCATTCTAAATATTCTTTGCGGGGGTGGGCTTAGAAAGATGCCAAGGGCCACCTGCCCATCCCTAGATGTCCTCCATTTGTACCCCAAGGAAAGCTGTTGGAAACAGGACTCTCTTCATGATTCTCCCCTGTCAGGGCAAGAAAAGCATAGTTTTCAGACAATGTATATGTTGTGAAGTCACTATAATGACAACACTCTTCTTGGTAGAATCCTCTGGACAAATGTAGAGCTTCTGGTACTTTAAGTAATCAAAGTATTCTTAAGAGAGACAAACCAGGTGTGGTGTGGTAAATTGAAAAAGCAGGAGCTGGTCTCCGTCCCCTTCAAGCAATCCTTATGTTAATATGGGTGCTTTGAGAAGACAAGAAATTGGTCACTCAGTTCTCTCCCACCTTCAGCATGAGGAACATCATAGTTCAGAGATCTTCAAACTTGGCAGCTTTAAGACTTGTGGACTTCAACTCCCAGAATTCTCCAGCCAGCTATGATGGCTGGAGAATTCTGAGAGTTGAAGTCCACAAGTCTTAAAGCTGCCAAGTTTGGGGACCCCTGTCATAGTTCCTTCACGTAATGCTGTATTCTGGAGCAGATTGCATGAAGTGCTTTTTCTGTTTGGATGAAAGGTGCAAAGACCTTGGCTGTAGTGTTAAAGGGATGAAACAAACTTGGCACAATTGCTGACAGGTTTCTGTTCAGAAAATTCAAGACTACAAATGTCAGTATATCTTTCAAACGACCAAAAACTTCAAGTTTATCATTTGACTCCCTTCTTTTTCCTAGAGGTGGATTGAAGTGGTCTTTACAGTTTTGGTTATTTCAGTCCTATTCATACTTGCAGTGTCAATGGAGGATTGAAAATCTCTGTACAGAGCTGTGCAGTATAGTGGTTAAGGTATTATAAAATCCAGGAGACCTTGGGAGCTCCTTGGATGATTTGGGGTCAGCCACTTTTCTCTCAATCCAACTTATTTCAGAATTGATGCTAAGAAAAATTTCTGAAGGGAGTGCTGTGGACAAAAATGAATGAATGTACCATGTTATGGTTTTACAGAGTTAGCTTTTACTAAATCAAGCTAATTAAGTTTCCTCTAGTTCAGTATTTTCTCTTTCTTACATTTATGAACTGCAGAAAAATGGTTCCATTGTTAACATCTCCACTAGCTTTCAGCCATTCCCTCTAACAGTTTTGTTTACTTTGCTTATCAGTGGCATGGATGTTCACTTATATTTGGAGTTGTGGACCACTTGAAACAGCATTTGTTAAATGACCACACAAATCCGAATTTTCAAACTCTGAAGTGCCGCTGGAAGAATTGTGATGCATTCTTCACCTCCAGGAAAAGTTCCAAACAGGTATGTAGCAAAGAAATGGGATAAAAGATGAAAGATAAAGGAATTATTTGGAGTGTAGTTCTTGTAGCTTGGGAAGAGAGCAATCTACAAAAACTTTAATATGTCTTTTAAGAACAAAAAGGTGCCCAATTAATTGGCAGTCCTGCTGCCACTGTGTCGTAAAGTGAGAGGAAATTCTATTCCTGATATAGTGACAGAAAATGTCTGGGGCCCTTGTTATTCTGCTATTGGTTCTTTAATAGTAGTAACTGGAAAAGAGACCCATTTAAGGGTCTTGATCTACAATTCTCCTATTGTCTGCAGATTATAGAAGTATTAAAAAGTGTATTAGCTGTTGACGTATTTATTTTCCCTTCAGATTCCCCCTCTTTCCCCGTTTGTTCTGTTCTTTCCTTGTGAGCCCAGCAGCATTCATTCTATCATCACTTATTCTTCTCAGCCCTTCATCGGATTGCCTTATAAGATGTTTTTCTATCATAAATGTTACTTACATATTGGTGATATACATACATTATTGTACCAAAGGGTTCACTAAACAACTACTGAACATATCGTACAACATTTCACAAAAACCAATCAAATCAAAGCTAAAGCTGGCCAGGAAAAGTATGAGGATGCTTTTAACTTGCTGGTTAAAACTTAAAAATGTAAGAAGTTTAATAACATTTGAACTCTGACTAGTGCTGTCTCAAATCTTGGATGTACCCTGGCCTGGAATGTATCATTGATATGCTTAATTTTTTTTATTGGTCATTGAAGTATAAAAATCTGAGCTAATTGAAATCTATCCTGTTTCCTTTCTGCCTCTAGGATGCAGTCGGACATATTGAGAAGCATGCAGAGGATGATAGCAAGATTGATTCATGACATTTTTCAGCCTCCCATATTGGGAAGTATTTTTTTATACACAAGTAATTTTACATGCCTTGTCCACCTCATTCTTTTCTTTTTCCTCCTGTTTCATCATTGGAGTGCAAAAAGAACACATGCCTTTTTCTGTTTTGTCTACAGAGACAGAATCTATTCGCAGCTCTGTAAAGGAAGGAATGACAGAGTCATGCCAAATAACTGTTTATACCATTCACTTTTTAGGGGGAAAATCTACCTTCCCTCTTACTTACATTGTGCAAATAAGTGCAGTGTGCTTATCTATTACTTGGTATTCAGAGTAATGTTTTATACTTAATTTGGGACCCTACATATAAGTGTTTTAACCATCAGTTTTCATGTTATATGTAGGATCCCCTGTTAATGTATGTTTCTGGTTTTGGATTATTTTAATATTAATCAAAACATTATTGAACTCAGGCTAGAAATACCACCTGATTGTTGAATTCCTTATTTTTTTTCTTACTGAAGTCTTTGAGATATTTTGCTGTGGGAATGAACAATTGGCTCACTGTTTGAGTTACTTTATATTGTGGCTTCAGTTTAAAATTTGAAATTTACACAATTAATCACAATTTTACTTGATTTTATGGGTCTGCTTTGGCTCCAAAGAATCTTAGGGTGGCAGAGAACATACTGTTAAGACAGCAGAATACCTGTTTCTTAAACATACTATTATTTCCCGGTTATTTTAAGAGTTCCAGGCATCATAATACAAACACCAGTAAATATAACTTATATTAAACATTTTTGGTTAGGTTTATACCTAGTGCTGTCTTGCCACAATATTGGGACTATTTTTTCGATTCTGAGAATTTTAAGTTATGACCATTCTGGCATTTGAAGTAAGTGAACTTTACATATTTTTACTTGCTTCATCCAGCTAAGCCTGTGAGAATCCTGTGTTTTTGATAACCATCTTGTTTCACACCAACTGACTAAATTTCAGTTCCTATAATTGCAAGTTAAAAAGCTGTTGGGCACAAACTGGAAAGATTTAAAACCCAAGCAGAAGCTGAGAATTTTGCATGTATTTTGTGCTGTCATTTAAGGGAGCAAAACCAAGCAGTGTGACAAATGTAAGAATTGAAAGAATAATAGCATATGTGTTTGAGAAAGAAATGTGTATATGGTCAGTGCTGTCTGGGAAAGTTTTGGTGCTGCAATTTGCGGTATTCAGAAAGTGGTTCCCTGTTTAGATTTCATCTACTGTTTGTGACATCAGTTCTGGTTTTTCTTCCATAGAAAAGCTAAAAACCTCATTATTAGTCTAGCAGTATCTGACTGTGAGCTTAACTACACCAGACAATATATACATATTAGAAGAACAAAAATGAACAATTCACTTCTATTGTTAAACATCTTCTGTAGCCTGTGTGTGATTTCTGGGCAATAGTGCCTCCTCTTTTCATGACATTGTTGAGAGCTGAAATCAAACAAGCTAAAGGAAACCCTCAAATGCTTATTTGAAAGGCTGCAAAAACTTTCATTTTGTAGACAGCTGAATATTGAATGACATTTTAAAATATAGCTCATTCTTAATTGAATGTGTTTGAAGTTAAATTACGGAGGTAGGAAGTATTTTTGTGAAGAAAAATATATGGAGTGCGTTATTAGTTATGTGAATGCGTGAATTTTAATTTTGCATCCTCTTCAAGGATTTTAATTTTTCAGTATTTTAACTGGAAGAGGATGGTGCCTTGATATGCAATAATTTAAATGTCTTGACATCAGTAATTGCAATTTATAACTTGGACTACTTATTTGTGTATCTTACTGTTTAGGACTGTATGTATGTTTGGGTGTGTGCGCATGTAATTTAGGATGAGTGTGTTTTGGGATGCTTTCAAAATTTGTATTAAAACTTGTTCAGCAATAAAAGCGTGGCCAAGTTTTATTATTAGTTTGTTCTATAATATATGTTTTTCTTAATGAGAAGAATCATTGCAAATGAGGCTACATGCCTCAGAAAGTTAAACTCCTCCTCCTTCCGTGTGTTGTGCTGAAACTCCACAGTTCTCTCATGTGGAATTGAAATGTTGTTCTCTTGCGATTCAGGTTATTTGTTTGGTTTGAGGTTGTTTTCTGTACTTATACCTCTTTAGTTGGAAATGTAAGCATGCTCCTTTAGGTTGCTCTAGAAATCTTGGTGCAAAGAGGGCAAAATGGAGTTTGCTGATTATGGATAGAATGGTAAGGCAGATGCATCAAGATTGCGTACTTTGAAGATTGTCACATTCTGGAAAGTTGCAGGTTTTTGTCTTATTTTCACAAATATATTAACTTTATCTTTAGAAAATATTTATTTTGAAAAAAAGGAGATAGAAATGAAGTTGCCAGAGTGAATCGCAGAGTGCATTATTGAAATGTGTGGGAAGTGTTTAGTTTTGCGTGCTGGCTGATGTCTGAGTAAGTTGTTGCAGGTTGCATATGCAATGTATTTGGACTGCATGCCAACATATTTCTTCAGTATAAGAGGTGTGCGTTTTTAAAATGCCATTAAGTTTTGTGTTTGTGTGTGTGTGGTGAATGTGTTTCTTTACATTAATTGTTCTGCTGTGGAGGACTGTTGTGTTTTTCAGCTGCTGTAGAATTCAGGTATTTGGTAGCTGGTTGCATTTTTGTCCCATTAAATAACAGAACACTTGCAAGTATCCCAGCTTCTATTTGCCCTTTGAGACACTACCTGGGCTACGGTGGATTGAAACATAAAAGCTACAACATCTTAATAAAGTGGCAAAGCACCCATCTTAAAAACTCGGGACTGCATTCTAATGACATTAGATATAATATATCTAACATGACATTTTATCTTCTTTTTAAATGCAAGTTGGGGATATGTGTTTCATAGCGCAAATATGTTAAAGACAGATACATTAAGAATTAGTATTCGGGCAGCCAGCAGCTAACTTGCTCTAAACACTGAGTTTCCTAGATAATCTATAGTTTGTGAGGAACGATTTCCACAGAACATATAAGCAGGTGCTCCACATAGTACTGTGCATTAATGCAGCTAGAAGGTCTAAAGCAACACATCATTTAAGGCATGAACAGATTCCTGTAATTGCAAAAATACCAGGTGGGAAAATAGCATACCTACTATGCTATAACTGTTTAACTAACATCTTTTTTCAGTTTGTTTCAGTGAATGATTTAGTCTTTCCTTTTTTGCTACAAAGCTGTGAATTAGATAAGATAAACAGCAAAAAGAAAACAAAATAAATTTACTTTATCCCAAGAGAGATGTGGTGTGGTCTATTTATTTTCTTCAGATTTTACTTAATAATTTAAATAAGTCATTTACTTTTGAGGAAAAAAATGGGTTAAGGTTATGTGCTTCTCAGCCTTGGTAACTTTAAAAAGGTTCCCCAGTCAGCCATGAGGAATTCTGGGAGTTGAAGTCCATATGTCTTAAAATTGCTGAGGTTCAAGCTCTGGCCTCTAAATTAAAGTATAGCAAAAGAAAAAAGAAAAAAAAACCCTCTAGTATGAAGCCTGTTTCACTGTTTATACCTAGCTGCTCCACACACTTCAAAGGTCAACTTCCCAAAGCCACAATTCCAAACATAAGCAAAAATATTGGATAGCAATCGTCTTTACAAATCCATACAAGCATCTGTTAAAAAAGAAACTGGACATCTACAAGTAGCACTTTTTCACAGGGTTTTTTTTTTATTTTGTTTTGTAATTTTAACACAGCAGATCCAGTGAAAGAGGTCTCATTTATTTATTATGCAACTTTTGCCATATTATCCCCAGCAATGGAACCATTGCTTGCATGGCATTTTTAAAAATGGCATAAGGAATACAGTTTCTAAACAAATGTAGTCATAGCACTAGATCACAGTTAATCCTATGTGCAAAATGTCTTATAAAAGAAGTCTTGTTTATATGTCAATACAGATTTCTATAAAAGTTCTACCGTAAGAGAACCCAGACTTGCTGAATATGTCAGTTTGTTGCAGCCAGAACAAACTTATAATTTAGCTAAAATGTTTTCCCTGCAGCCTAGGAACAAAATTAATTGCAGGTAGCCCCTCGACTTAACAACCGTAATTGGGACTAGAATTTCTATTGCTAAGTGAGATGGTGTTAAGTGAGTCGCACCTGATTTTATGACCACTGTGCACAGTTGTTGAGCTAGTCACTGTAGCTAAGTGAATCACATGGTTGTTAAGCGAACCCAGCTTCCTATTGACTTAGCTTCTTAGAAGCTGGCTGGGAAGGCCGCAAACAGCGATCACATGACTCCAGGACACTGCAACCATTGTAAATAGATGCCAGTTGCCAAGCACCCAAATTGTGAAAACATGATTTTGGGTGGTGGTGCAATAGTCTTAAGTGCTAGGCCTGTTGAAAGTCACTTTTTTTCCCAGTGCTGTCGTACTTCAAGTGGTTGCTATAAATGAATGGTCAAGGACTACCTATAGTTCAGCCACAATATTTAGCCATCTATCTTGTCATTTGATACATCCTTTTTAATACTTCATTTGTGTACATAGATATATTCTGTTGCCGGGCCTAATTGTAGGAAGCTTTGGCTACAGGAATAATGATTAATTAAACATATAACAAAATTATATGAAAATAATTTAGATAGTTAAATATTTTAAGTCGTTATTTTCAAATAAGTTGAATTACAATCAAATGAACCGCATTTTGGCAATTTGTAGTGTTTAATATGAATAAATTGTTCTGCTGCCCGCTAAATATCTCAGTTGGTAAGAAGAGGTGCTGTTTCAAAATAAGAACAATAATTTTGATTTGCAACAAAGCTCATGCATCTAGAGTTGATGCCATCAGGAGAGCAGATTCCCTTCTTGTGTACAACATGCTTCATTGCTTTTGTTACTTCTCCATAAGATGTTTCCTTGGACAAATCTGCTGAATTTACACTTCCTTTCCATGTAATTTTTAAGAGGGAGATGTGCAAGAGATCAGTATCTTGTAACTTGAATTTTGGCTGATTAAGTCAATAATCCAAAAGAAGGTGCAAAATGAGTGATAATCAGGCATACATGGTGAGCTGTAGCCACTGGAAGTAGAAAATGAGTATTGTAAGATAATAGGCATTTCTTTAATATGCAGAACAAAACTACAGTATGTGATTTGTGCAAATCCCCTTAACCCAGTAAAGAAATTGACTTAACATACAAACTGAACATTTTCAGCATCAGACTATAAAATTGTTTGACTCCTATTCCCATACTCAAGAGATACTTATGTCCAAATAAGGATTTCCATGTGTATTAAACCTTACAATGACACTGCATTTGCAAGGCTGTATTTCCTTTCTAATTCATAGCTCAATTAGAAATGAGTTCATTCTTCAAGCTTGTACTCTATCACAAAGTTGGATTAGAACTCTTATGAACATTGAAAACACAATACATTTATTTTTCCCTATCTTGAAAATAAATTATAATATGCACTATTAAAGCTAAATTAAGTTGTCACTATCAGCAGAATAATCTTTGAAATGATTTCAGACACATATATAGCCCAACATTAGATATACTAAATAAGTCTTGCTAAGTTCAGAACTCAAAGACTAGCCTACAGGTAAATGTAGATAGTTTTGGAATACTTAAACTTCTATGTTAAATCCTGTTTTATCCACTGATTTTCCATTTATCTCCTTAATTCATCTAAAGCATTTGAGCTAGTAGTAGATAATGGACCTTCACAATAGAATAAACCTAATACATCTGCTTTTTGAAACAGATATTCTTGAACTTGTACTGAAAACCACATGAGTACCATGCTTAAACTGTTTTGCCTTTTATGCACTTTACAGCAGCAATGTAAAGTGAAACAACTTTTAAAATGGGTTCCTTTATTAAGAAACTAAGTATGACTCTACGGTTCCAAAAAGCACTTTTCTGCTATGATGAAGGTTCCCAAAAGCAGGCAAGGACATTTGGCAGAATCTTTGTAGCTCTACTGAGTGATTTCTACTTCCTTATAATTTCTACTTCCTTGAAAAGATTTGGGGAAGTGCAAGAAGTCAAAAGGAATGGGAAAATCCATTGGCCAATCAGATTTTTCTCTAATGAATTCTTTTTATTAGGAAAAATTGCCAATAACAGCAAACTTTTGTATTGTAAATAAAACATTGTGAAGGCAAGGCAACTGCAAGGAAACGGAGTCCCCTATATTAGATAAGCTAAGTGAAAGCATATTTTATCCTAGATAATATACATGCCCGTGATTACTTATTGCCCAAATCAATAATATGAATAAACTCTTGAGGAAAGAAAGTACTTGTGGTCTAAAGATATTGAGTGTGCTATTTTCTGAGTATGACACTTCATAACAAAAGAAACAGTCCAAATCTTGAAGAAACACACCAAAAGAACAATAGGGTATGACTGAGGAGAAACAATTGAACCCAAGGAACCTGGAGCTTCTGTTTGGGCATCATGGTTTAGTATTGTCTTTCTCTTCCTGTAAGACAACAAGTTCTCAAGTCGTCCTGGATAACTGCGGACCAGGAATTTTGCCTAGCTATGGCTGATGTATCACTTGTGACCCTACCCAAGGTCCTAGAAATAATAACTCATATTTTTATTCAATACTAACTCATATTCTTATTCAAACCCAGTTGGACTATTGCATTATGCTCTACACAGGGCTGTTTTTAAAGGCAACAAGGAACCCACAATGAATAAGAATGCAGTGACGTGTGCTAACTATCACTAGATACCATGAATGTTTTTCATCTGTGTTATGAGCTCTGCATTGGCTGCCAATAGGGGGCAATTTAAGCACTGATTTTGACTTGTGAAGTCTTACATGGATTATCACATATGAATGAGCAACTCTAGCTCCTTCAATAATTGACCCGCTAAATGTGAACAACTTGGGAAAAACTGTTCCTTACCCTTTGGAGTTCATAAAGACTAAGAGAAGGGGGAGAAAATGCTTCTCTGATATGGTCTCTATTGTGGAATAGTTTATCAGCAGATATTAGATTTGCTCTGTGTTGGTCTTTGGGAAGAAAGTTAAGATGAACTGCTTTCAGAGAGTTTGTTTTTCTAAGACAATTTTTTGTTTTCTGGTTTTAAAAAAATTTAAACATTTGTTATGAATTTTTAATTATTATACTATGGACATTCTTTTTTGTAAACTACTCAAAGTGGCATGCTTATCAGAGTTTAAGTAAATACATCAATAGTTACCTCTAAGACGTTCAGTTTAATAATGCCATCTCCATCTTTATCAAAGGCTTGGAATGCACCTAACATGAGAGAAACATAAGGAAGCCAAGAAATTGGAATAGTATATACAAAATATTAGAACCACTATTTGTTCCCAATATTGTAAACTTTATCATTTAAATATTAATGGGAAATTCCTAGCTTCTGTATACCATTCAGTCAGATAGTTTAACTTATATATCAGAATTACATAGCCATCAACCATGAGCTGTATTTGTATTAGTGCTTTCGACACTTTGAGATTTGAGAAAAAAAATCAATTTAGACAAGTAGATCTCTCCTGTGGATAACATGGACTCAGTTTAAAGAGGCCATAATGGGACTCGAGCATTTCAATTTGACCAAAGAATCAGCCTTTCCATGAAGCAGGCAATAACAATTTTATTGTATGCCACCCAGGGTCACTTGCTTGTGAGGTAGATGCTTATATAAATGATATAAAAAAAAATAATCTAATGAAATGCTATCTGTTTCTGCAAATACTGCCAGGTAATATTCATGCTGCAAGAGCTAAGGTAGCTAAAGAGACTAGAAAATCTTTACTTTAGGACAGGGGTCTCCAACCTTGGCAACTTTAAGACTGTGGACTTCAACTCTCAGAATTCCTCAGCCAGTTTTGCTGAGGTTGGAGACCCCTGCTTTAGGACTCTTCTTCCAAAATAAATGCATTGCTGACTCCTAGTTCCTATACAACATATGAAGAGGAAGCACTATCTGCAAGGCCTAAAGTACAAAGAAAGAAAGGCTGAAGAGAAGAACGGCTGAAGCCCAGTTGGAAGACTCTATATGTCCCATCATCTGATTCTATTCATGAAACAACTTCACTGGGATCTTGCTAGCTGCTAGCCAGCTGGTGCAAAGCTAGTTTGCCCCCTGTGATGTATCATGGATAGTGTGCATGCATGAACAAAGTGAACTAGCAATCTTAGGCTGCCAGAACTATTTTGTGGTAAAAAAAATTGTAGACTTCCCTGGTTATTTACGCCATATACTAAAAACCCTGAGATCTTGGAATTGAATAGCAAGATAGAGACATTTTAAAGAAATATACTCACGGAACATTCCTTCCAGTCGCACAAAACAACAGATAAAACTGTCAAAATCAATATTCATATTCTTGTTAGCGTAGCGCATATTAATTATATCATATAATTGGTTATTCAGTTGAAACCCTGAGGAAGAAAGAGATGAGAACGACCTGGTGGAGAGAAGTGACTTCTTTTCTCTGTGAAAAGCTACTTGTTACTGACACAAAGACCCAGACAGATAACAAGAGAAGATCCTGCCCCAAATTCTGTCAAAGAACCCAGCAAGCACCATACAAACCTGCATCTTTAACCGCATTACGCATCTCATAGCTGCTAATGGTTCCTGAATTATCGGTATCATAACGCTTGAAAATTTTCTGGAAAAGCAAAAAGTGAAATAATCCTCAAGAGTTTGATGCATAAACTATTTTCCAGCATAAAAAATGCACTGTCCCAGAAATGCTGCTAAACTAAATCAGCCTATTCCAAAATTGGCTTTGAAATGATGAAGCAAAAATTACAAAGAGAGGCTGAATCACACATGTGGACTAAATTATTTCCCAGGTTCCCCCCTATCCCTCCCACACAACACCCTTTCCTATACTTAGCTGTATATTTACAATATTTGCAGCCCTCTCTAATCATTTCAACTATAAGAACTGGATAACAAAGCTGCAATACATAATACAATTTATCTTGGGGCTTGGAAAGGAAGCACCATATAATTTCTTTCACATTCTTTAAAATAATATGTGAACAGAGTGTTAAAGATGGTGATTACTGGTGAATGACAGTTGTTCTGTTTTGTATCCTCATTTCTGTTATGTTCTGTCCAGACCACAATTAATTCAACAAGACAAGAATACCTGCCAGCTTTTAATTTTAGTCCAAAGATGGCGAAATTCATCAAGATTTATTTTCCCGGAACCATCTGTCTGTGATAGTAGTTCAGTTCAAACTTTTCAAAGATTTTTTTTTTTTAAATTTCCAGAAATGGAACATCTGAGATAAAACTTCTTAACTGCTTAGATAGTGAGATATTAGAGAAGAGACTCTTTAGACAAAGAGTAAGCCGAATCTGGGGGGGCTGAGAGCCACAATGAAATAGCATGCAAGAACCCATGTTCTAACAACTGGAAAAGGCTAGAACAAAGTAATTAAAATCTACATTAAATAAAAATCAAATTAAATGATTCACACTATTATTAGTTCTCATATATTTCATGATTCTACCCTTCTACTGCATTAACATTTAACCATTTATTAATAATTTCATAGGGTCATTCATATTTTTGTGCAGCCAAATTCAGCCGACGGCTTCTAGTTGTAGATGATCCTTTACCCATGAAATAGAAGTTATGCTCTATCTTACGGAATGTTTCTTTAAGAATGAAAAAATTACTAAAACAATTAGGCAGTGATTTAAAAAAAATAATTATAAATAAAACTCATTGCACTACTCGGTACTATAATAAGCTAACAATTATTTATTTTATGACTGCATATCCCACCCTGCTAAATCATGTTTTCCCACATTGCAATGATATAACTATTCTGGGCCAACTGTTGTGATTTTGCCAAAAAAAAAAAAATCACTAAACTTTATAATAGGAAACAAACCTTAAGAAGAGTGGAATAATAGCTTCTTAGAGCAAGGAATTATTATTATTTTGTCTTCTAATGTTATATTAATGAAAAAGGATACATCCATTAAGGCAATCATGCTGCGGCAGGATTCTAAGGCAAAACCTTCTGTTTTCAAGTCTTTATCTAAAATGCAGTGAAATACTCTATTACTATATAAAATCAAAGCTAATTGTTGTCTTGGTATTGGTCATTTAAAATGTAAACCAGTTATTACATTAACTGAGCATTAAGAGACTTTATTAGCATTGTAATACATGCACATTCTTAGGGCCACCCAAAATTGCCTGTGTTATGGCCCGCAAGCGACCTGTGCGGATTGTTGCTGATCCCGATGATGAGGAGTGTGGTGTGGTGTGCCAGCAGCCTATGCAGCCGGCGCTCAAGTCAGACAGCGAGGAGGCTGAAGAAGATGTAGTGCCAGAGACAGGGATTCAACCAGGGCCTTCAGAACCTCCAGAGGCTCCTTTAAGTGAAGAGGATGAAATGGAGGAGCCTCTTCTCAATGCACGGGCATGCAGAGCTGCCAAAAGGCAGAAGTGGTTACTCAGGAGGAGGTCTCCTTGAGAGTAAGGCTTGGGGCTAATTGGCCACCCCCTTAGCCTATTTAAGTTTGCACACAGCTTGTAAAAAGCTGTAGGAAACAACGTCCATTCGCTGATCATTGAGTTTGGATTTTCTCTGCAACCTGGCTTCTGGGCTTTCTGCCAACTTTTGTAAGACTCTATCTTATCTGTGGAATTTCTGGCAGGTTGTTAAGAATGTTTTATTAACAGCCTGCATTTGCAAAAGACTGTGTTTTGAAGTAAACTGAGTTTTGTTTGGAGTTTGTGTGTGCTACATTCTTTGGGATCCGTAGCCGGGGCAGATTGTAGTAATCCATAGGGAGATGGACCAGGTCATGAGTAACCGAGATAATTTAGCAAAATTGTAGCCCTTCTAGCCACAGCTGCCGCCTGCTTCTTTAGAGTCAAGGTGAATCTCCAGATTATGCACTGGGTTTGCCTGGGGCGGTGCAACCCCATTCAAGACCGGAGATGATAAACCTGATGCAACAATACAATGGATTTGCAGATGGCTTCATAATGAACGTGGCTACTTTTTGTGCCTCATATTCTGCATTATTATTTTGTACCGTAATGTGAAAAGTTCAGATCTAGCCTTTTGGATTTTATCACCATAATAACCTCATCAAATCATATTGTAAAATGAGACTTGTACATAAATCTGCATCTTTATATTCTCAGAGGTTACATAAGGAAAGAGAGAAGCAACACTTACGTTTTTTCAGAACATTGTTGAGGACATTCCTTAGTTCATCAGCACTGATCTCCATGTCCTGTAAGTCATTGAAAAAAAGAACTAAGGCAAATAGCCATAGAAATGAGACATTGCAAGAATGAGCACATTATGCTTAGATGGGTCAAACTATTGGGGTAATCCACATCATTTCTTGTCCATATCATTCAGTTATCCAAGCATCTCCTTGACTTATTTTCTGCTTCTAATATTGTAAAGTATTATTTGTTACTGACTAAGGTTGTTAGCAATATGCTCTTTAACTTCTTGAGTGGAATCATGTTGGAAAGAAATGATGTAAAGGGATTCTGGGCTTTGTTGCTCTGTCAGTGGGATAATTCTCCAAAACCAGAACTGGAGAGAAGCCAACAAAAGAAAAATGGAGTTTGAAAATGGACTGAATGAGCAAATGATTCTAGGAAAAAAATTCCCCATAACAGAGAGGCTGCTAGGCAGCACTTCAGAATGCTGCTGACTGGGCCGTTCCAAGCCTCCTTTCCTTCTTCCTTTCCAGACATGCAACCAAGAGCAGGAATGATTTTTAAGAATGTTCTGTAAGATTTTCCTAATTTGTTTTTTTCCCCCTTTGGTCCTTGGGATTTTGAACAGATTATGTTTGACTTTAAGTTCTTGGCTTCTTCTATCCCCAATTGAATAATGAACCCATCTTCATTCTTATCCACTGGAAGAATTCTTTCTGAACTGGGTATTCATAAATGTCTGGCAGATTTCTCCCAAAATTATGCTTGACAGCTGTTCTGCCACCTTTTTTAAAAAAGAAAGGCTGATCAGCAATTCCAAGACTGCAGGCTCACCAAGAATCCCTGGTGACAATGAGAGTAAACCAGATTAAGAGCTTGATTTTGATCATCACTAGCTCAATGTACATCCCTAATTTTTTCTCGCTTGCAGGAATCTGAAGTCTTATGCTACAATGGCCTAGGAATATATTTTCCTTCAGCCCTACAAGTGTTTCCATTTCACAGATACATTTATCTCAAAATATTAGATGCTTTTTCCAATTTTGCCCATCCCTCTCATGATCTCATCCAACAACTTGTCTTGTTCAACTTGCAGGTAGAACATCTGGGGAGGGCCCTTTTACCTTGGTCTATTTTTACTTATAGATTACAAAACTGAAAATCTTTGAAATATTTTGGGTTTAGCTTTGCTTAGCTACAGGCATTGCATAAGGTATTTGTTTGCCAATGCTGGCCTGCTTTAGGAAATGGCAGCTATATACTTACATCCCCAGCAATTTGTCGGAAAATATTTCTGAACTGATTATCTTGTTCATTCTCTGTATCCCTTTCTGCAGGCTGTAAAGACATGGGATGAAAAAGATGAAGTGGACAGAAAGATTAATCTCAGCTTTTTGAAAGTAAAAGCGCTGTTTGATCCTTATGAGATACTTCATTGCAATTCATTGTTGAAATTATTTCTGTCCAGATTCCTTTCGAGGAAGGATTCCTTCCTGTCCTTTTTCTGGGTTGCTTCTTCCTGAGCTAAATTATTCATGAATTATTAATTTTAAATTATTGACAATATTTCTTTTAGTGGAAAACAATACAGGAACAATACAGCTAGTCCTTGGTTAGTGACCACAATAGGACTGGCATCTGGTTTGTTAAAGAAAGTGGTAACTAAGTGAAAAATTATATGACAGCGACTGTGCTTAGATTTACAGCATCATAAGGAAATGACTCCAAACAGAAAAGTGTGCCCAATGGTGGGGAAGATTTCTGGAACTTGACTTGAATATGCCAGAGATAAACTTCCAGATTGCCCACAGGCACTCCACAAGGGCTGTGACAGTTGCTCCCGACAGTTGCAAGATAGCAATCTCTGGTGGGTTTAGAGCTCTGGGAGATTAGAGAATAGCCATCTTGTTCAAACAGTGATTAGCACTTTTAAAAGGACACTGGGTTCTCATACAGGTAGTCCTCAACTGATGGCCGATGGTTTAATGATCTTTTGGAGCTACAATGGCCTCCGAAAAAGATGCTTTATGGTCCATAAAGCATTTTTGGCCATTGTAAAATGTTGCACCACCTCATATTTCAAGTGCTTGGCAAATGGCTCACATTTATGACTGATTCCAGGTCTTACGCAATCTGATAATGTCTAAAAAAAGTTGTTGAGCTTGTCTGGCTTGAAACTAGATTGGCACTGGTTATTAACACTTCTGCAAATATCTTCAAAAGAACTAGGTTTTCCATCCCTCATCAAGTACAGATTCTATAAATCTATCTTTCCATTCTTTGTATCGACACATTTATCCACATGGCTCTCATTGATACTGTAGGACTGGTTGAAGTTGTAACTTATGGGGGAGAAGAGCAAGGAACCTCTTCTCATGGCAAAGGTATATCTACCACAGCAGTACAGCCAATCCATAAGAAAAGAAGTTTATTGGATAAGAATGGAAGGTATTCCAGTTAATAAAAAGAAAGACAGCCATGAAGTAGAATGACCTAACTCTTTGGAATGAACTAAAATAATTTTTTACATTCTCTCTTTCTCTGTCTCTGTCTCTCTGTCTCTTTCCTTATAGCTAGTAAGCTACTACACAGTGAGTATGATTCTACTCAAATGGTGCAAAGTGGTATAAAAAAGTTTCTGCATCAACTATGGACAGTAATTCTGATAAGAGTTGTTGGATATGTCTTGCTTATTCAATAAGGAGGGTAAATATTTAATATTAGATAATAACATAAATATTAAAGAATAAAAAAGTAAAGGTTGCCCCTACTTCGACTCTAGGTGCTCATTACCATTTCTTAGCCAGTGTTCCCATGATCATATGGCCAGCAACACTATGTGGAGAGGCACATGGAATGCTGTTACCTTCCCATCCACTTGCATTTGCATGCTTTCAAACTGCTAGGTGGGTAGGAGCTGGGGCATGTAACAGGAGCTCACCCTGTTTTGCAGCTCTCAGATCTCAAATCTTGGCTGTCAGCTATCCAGTTAATAAGCTCACCATCTGTAATCGCTTAGCCATGGTGCCCTCATTAAAGAATAAATATTTTCTAATTCTCTAAGGAAGATAAATACTACATCTGAAAAGACTTGTTTGCCATGTTGATTTAGCAATCAGAATATGTGGGGATGACAGTGGGAAGAACTACAGCCAGGGGTATAGACAGATTAAAAAACAGCTTGGTTCACAGATGGATTGTGGGCATGCCAACATCTAGAACAGTGATCGCTAACTTTTTTGCCATCGCGTCTCAAAAGCGGGGGGAGCACGTGGCAGTTGTGCGTGTGTGTGCCCTCACACATAATTAAATGTGTCCCCCCAGCGCATGAGCACGTGAACCCCCCCTGCTCCCCCCGCTTTTAGCACGCGATGGCACAGTGGGACCGGTAGGCCTGTTTTTAGCTCTTCCCAGGCTCCAGACCCTTTCTAGGAGCCTGAGGAGGGCGAAAACGGCCTTCCAGCCCCCCACTAGAAGCCCTCCGGAGGCCAGAAACGGCCTGTTTCCCAACTTTCGGTGGGCCCAGAAGGCCCAAAAATCAGCTGGCCGGTGTGCACATGCGCACCGGAGCTGAGCTCCATGTGCCACCTGTGACCACTGATATGGCTCCACGTGCCACAGGTTCGCCATCACGGATCTAAAAGGTACCCACCCTGATTTCTTGGGCTGTAAAAGCGACAAGGAAGAAATGCACTTTCAGACTTGTAAGATTCTATTAATGTAACCTTACAATAAAATATACCGGTAGTTAGTTCATCTGGACATGCTTCCTATCTGGACTACCTCACAGGGCTGACACCACTTTAACATGCTGATTGGTTAGAGTTCATGCAAGTCCCTCATGCTGGTAGATATAACACCTCTGTGTTCTTCTTTTGTTTATCTGGACTTGTTTTTTCCTTGTCCTTTCTTGGCCCCTCGCCACCTTTCAGATTTTTGATCTTGTTTGCTCTGTCTGAGACAAAGATGATTGGCTACCGGAAAGAGGAAAAGCAGAGAAGCAGGAACTAATCAATTTGTGATAGATTAAAGGATAGGATAGCATTTTCACAAAGAAGATTCTTCTCCCTTTGTGCTCTCTCCCTCTCCCCCCCCCATACACACACACACACACACACAGAGTCATATCACACAGTAAACAAACTGTGTCATGTGCAGAGAGTGAAGAAAGTTCAAGACTCAGGCTTTTCTCACTCTAAACTCTTTCCAGTGGCTCTCAATCTTTTCTTCACCACGGGCCCCCTTTAACTTTTGTGGCCACAGACCCCCCAAGGCTTAACTCAAAATTTAAATCATAACATTTCTTCAAGTCTTCATGGACCTCTGTGACAACATTGCAGCCCCCAGGGTTCTGTGCACCACAGGTTGAGAACCAGTGGTCTACGTCATGCATAGGGGTGTTGGGTGTTTGTGTTAAAAAAGTCAAGATGTAGGTCGGGATCACACAATTGAAAAGTTGTTTATTTGCATCTCAGTTGCCATATTGTTGTGGCCCGTCAGCGGCCTGTGCAGTTAGTAGCTGATTCCGAAAGCGAGGAGGCTGGTATGGTGCTACGCTAGCAGCCTGTGCAGCTGGCGCTCGAGTCAGACAATGAGGAGGCTGGAGAAGATGTGGTGCCAGAGGCAGGGATTCAGCCAGGGCCTTCAGAACCTCCAGAAGCTCCCATAAGTGAAGAGGAAGAAGAGGCGGAGCTTCTTCTCGATGCACGAGTGCGCAGAACTGTTAAAAGGCAGGAGTGGCTCCTCAGGAGGAGGTCTCCTTGAGAGTAAGGCTTGGGGCTAATTGGCCACTCCCCTAGCCTATTTAAGGAAGGACAACGACTGATGCAATTTGCAGGAAACAAGTTCATTCATATTCCTTTGCGTCTTGATTCCAGAAATGTTTGATTCAGCTCTTGTTTATCTCATCAGTTTTCCTGCAAATTGCTTTTGGGCATTCTGCCAACCACAATAAGATTATGGTTATCTGAAATACTGTGCCTCAGAATTGAGTTATTATTCTTTGGATTCTTGTCAGCTGTTAATGAAGTTAAATTAACAGCCCTTGTTCAGAAAAGACTGATTTAAACTGTACTTGTGTTCGAACAACTACTAAGAAAGCTCATTAGTAGTCCTTAATTAGTAAACTAAGGTTTGTACGGACTTTGTGTGTGCTGCGTTCTTTGGGGTCCATAGCTGGGGCAGAACACATATTGAGTTTTTAAAAGCCCTTTTCATGAACATCACTGGCTATGCCTTTAGTTAATGTTTGATGAAGTATAAATGCTGCAGCATCAGTTTTAAAGTACTCGGAAAGTCTATATGATTCTTTATTGCAATTATTCCTAAGCACAGATACCAACAATGTAGAAATGAACCAAATAAACAAATAAATAATATTTCAAGTAGTAGCAGGGAAGATGATTCTACCTCAAGTGATGCAAAGTGATACCAAAAAGTTTCTGCACCGGCTATAAACATGTAATGAAGCCTGAGAGAACAACAAACATATCACTTTTGTGGAGCTTCATACTGAAACGAAACAATTCAAATTTAAGACACCGTATAGAATGTACTCACCGAGATATTTCCTGCTTCAATCTTGTTTTCAACTTCCCTATAAGAAAATAGAAGAAATGGAAAAAAGAAATAAATGTTAAAGTATCCCGTTCTCTATTTGGTTTGGAAAAAATGAAATTAAGTGGCTTCTATTCATATCTTTAGAGATTATCACCACAACACTGATGTGGATGATAAACAGGAGGGCGAGAACATCAAACCCTGAGGGACCCACAAGTTAGGGGCTTTGGGCTCAACTTCTCGTCACCTGGCAACGTTGTCTACAACTGGCCACAAAGAAAGAAGAATAAGCATCACAATTCTGTGACTCCCACTTTCAAATCCTGTAGCCAGTGCAAAGAAATACAGGTAGTCTTCGACTTACATCCACCATTGAGCCCAGAATTTATGTTACTAAGTGAGAAATTTGTTAAGTGGGTTTTGCCCCATTTTATGACTTACATTTGTCAAGTGGATCACTGTAGTTGTCAAATTAGTAACATAGTTGTTAAATGAATTTGGTTTCCCCATTGAGTTTGCTTGTCAGAATGTCGCAAAGGATGATCACATGACCCTGCAACCGTCATAAATATGAACCAGTTGTCAAGTATCCGAATGTAAATCACATGATCATGGGGATGCCCTAAATGTGCCCCAAATCTCAAATCTAAGGAAATTCTTGCAAGATTTTTCCATCCCATGAGATTCTGGACATTTTAAGATACTGCAGTGTTTGAAATTTTATTTTTATTTTGAAATAAAAATTGGTCCACAATCACCATCTAGTGGTGTCATGGAAATTAGTGGGCCCAAAGATGCTGTCTTGCTGACTTCTGCATTCTCACTTAATATTGAACAGGACTGGCATAAAAAGTGCTGGAACAAACATAAAGCAATATGTGTGTGCATGTCTGTGGTTTGAAAGTGTTGAAATCCAAAATGGGAATCTTTTACTTACTCTGAAAGACTTCTTTTTTCTGAGAAAACTCTCAGGATAAATTCTCCTTCTTGGTGGGGTTCATAGGTGGATGGGATGATGACATACTCATTCGGTGGTAGACGGAAGCGTTCTGCGATTTCTCGCATGTTTATGTAAGACTTGCATTTTACTTTGGAGGCATTGTAAAGGAAAAAATCCTTCTGTAAGTGTTTCTTGTCACCCTGCATCTGTAAACATGAACTGGGTAAAATATACATATGGCCTGCATGTACAAGACAGAGGACATCCTCATATTGGTACTTTAAAATAAACTGAAATTATAACTGTGGGACACAGAAAAGTCACAATTACAATGATTTATAACTTACAGCCATTCATTCAGCAACTCTTCAAAGCTACAACATTGAAGAAAGTGATTTACAACTGGTTCTTGCACTTTCAACTGTCGCAGCATTCCCATAGTCATAGGTTGACCCCCCCTCCTCTCTGTGACAGTCCCTCAAATACTGGAACACACTGCTATCATATCATCCCTGGTCCTTCTCCTCACTAGACTAGCCATACCCAGTTCTTGCAACCGTTCTTCATACATTTTAGCTTCCAACCCCAGATCATCTCTGTTGCTTTTCTCTGCACTTTTTCTAGAGTCTCAACATCATTTTTATAGTGTGGTGACCAAAAGTGGATGCAGTATTCTAGGTGTGGTCTTACTAAGTCTTTATAGAGTGGTATTGCTACCTCACATGATCTTAATTGTATCCCTCTGTTAATGCAAGTTAGGATTGCATTGGCTTTTTTGGCTGCCACTGTATACTGCTGGCTCATATTTAATTGATTGCTCACTCCAAGATCCCTCTCATAGTTACTGCTTTTGAGCCAGGTTTTACCTAATCTGTATGTGTAATTTTAGTTTTTCTTGCCTAACTGTATGACTTTACTTTTCTCTACAGTATGTTGAATTCATTTTGTTAGATAGGGCCCAGTGTTCAAGTCTGTTGAGATCCATCTGGATCTTGCCTATCATCAGGGCCTATCCTCTGGGTTGTTGGCTATTCTATTTTGCTTCACAAAACCGTGAACTGCCCAATGTATGGGATCTTTTCAAGTTGACAGAAAAAATATTTGAGATCTCCTACAACCATGACTAGTATCATGTCTAGTTACTCCAAACTTCTTTGATTTATTAATTACTGTAGGGGCATCATGAATAAGACTTTTGACAAGAACCTGAGCATTTAAATAATTTTCCAAAGTCTTGTGGTAAGGAAAAACTCATTTGGATCAAGTTCAATTTCTGTTCAACTCATAAAAATTATTGTCAACAGAACATGTTTTCTATGGCCTTTTTTTTTAGAGCTTTTTGAGTTGGGATTCCCTGATATCTGCCTTTCAAGAACTAACTGATCCTGATGTAATTTAGGGCTTTCTGTTGGATAGGAAAATTATCCTAAGATACCAGTTCAAATCCTATATGATTTGCCATCACTTTATTGATATTGCCAGCTGTTGGATAAACTATCTAAAATAATGTCATAAATTGTAAGGAGGTTGGGTATGCCTGTAACACTTTAACAGATGTAAAAGTCATACAGTAAAATGATCAACATTATTGTACTTTCTATATATAAAATGGGCCATATGTAAAATTCTATTTCTATTAATACAAGTTTCAAATGCTCTGTGGGATGTGAATTATTTGAGTATGTACTTGAATGCATAATTTAGATTACTAATGTAGATTCTTTTGAGACAGATTTTCACCTAATGGTCACTAAGAAATCTAACCTGGAAACTTCTGAAGAGTGAAGTAGAAAAGGAGTTGTATTCAAAATGTTACCCAAGCAATTAACAGGTTTTTCACAGTCTGCTCTTACCTCTTTTGGCACCTAAAAAGCAAGCAAGGTAGAAATACCATTAGGAAAGGAGGGAAAATGTCATATGATTCAAAATTTATGTTCACAATTTTGGCAAATGCACGTTCAGTTTAAGATCTTTCTAACACTTATTAAATATTGTAGTTACACATAGTAGTAATGGTTGTAGTTCCATCTACTTTTAAGAAACCTTAAGCCAGGTTATATACAGGTAGTCCTTGACTAACAACAGTTTGTTTAGTGACTGTTTGAAGTTACAATGACACTAAAAAAAGTGACTTATGACCATTTTTAACACTTACGATCGTTGCAGCATCCCCATGGCAACAAAATCAAAATTTCAGATGCTTGGCAACTGACTCATATTTATGATGGTTGCAGGGTCCCAAGGTCATGTGATCCCCTTTTGTGACCTTCTGACAAGCACAATGAATGGGGAAGCCAGATGTGTTACTAACTTAATGTGTTACTAATTTAATAACAGCAGTGATTCACTGCAATCCTGGGCACTTTTTTTTGTTAAACTTGGGGAGATTAGGAACTTGTTTTGTCTTTAGCAAGTATATTTTCTTTAGCAAGTTTTAATCTGTCTGGGCCAAAATGATTTAATTTGATTTTATCTGGTTCTTAAATTTTTTGTATCTATGTATTTTATTGTTGGCTGTTCACCGCCCTGAGTCCTTCGGGAGTAGGGCGGTATACAAATCAAATAAACTAAACTATTGAAAGCATAGATAAAATTATGATATCAAAATGGGTAATCCGGGAAGACACTTTCATTTATGGTTTAATGTGTTAAAAGGAGCAAAGGTTGAAGGACTTTTTGTGGTTGTTGACATTGTTTTAAGATTCTAGTGCACAGATCCAAAGAAGTTTTAAAATAGCAGATCATTGTTAGAAAGCCATAAATTAAAAATAGAAATGTCAAAATGCAGTATACATTCTCTTTCAGTCAATTATCAATAATAATAACCATATTTTTTTATTCTTCAATAATACCTTCACCCTTACTCTTTGATTAAGGATAATTGCTACTGGATTTGACTGAATTTAAATTAGTTTACTGACTCAGTCGTATCAAATGAGAAATATTTAATTGCTACCACTGTACCTCTTCCATTCATATTTTGATTCAACCACGAAACGAGATGAGATTGGGTTTTTTTAAAGTTCCAAGCAAGACATTTCTAATTTAAGTTGGGCATAGAAACAGTAATACTTAATTTTTGGCATGTGGTATTTAAAAAGAAACCTAATACTTATATTTTATACTTTGGTCCAAGTAGGGGTAGATTTTGACTTACAATCGTTCATTTAGCAACTCTTCAAAGTTACAATGTCACTGAAGAAAGTGTCTTACGATCAGTCCTCACGCTTATGACTCTTGCAGTGGTCACATAATCACAATTTGGCAACTGGCATGTGTTTACAATCATTGCAGTGTCACAGGGTCATATGATCTCCATTTGAGATCTTCTCAGCTGACTTCTGACAAGCAAAGTCAATGGGAAAAGGCAGATTTGCTAAACAACCGTGTGATCTGCTTAAGACCACAGCAGAAAAGATTGTCAAATTGGGTACAGTCATAAGTTGGCTCATTTAATGACTGTATCGCTTAGTGATAGAGGTTCTGGTCCAAGCTGTGGTTGTAAATCAAAGACTTACCGGTATATATATATATAACTGGGCTGGAATCTGACCGGTTCAACTGTGAAGCAGTAGGATGTGATTAATCAGTAGCCTGGTGACTAACGTACCTCATAGATGGCAAAACCAATTGTGAGGAGATTGGCTCCTAGTCTGCGCTCTTTTCTCCTGTTTTTCTGCATCAGTGCCACCAGGAAGCTGCATATCACCTCAGTATCTTCTGGATCATCATCTTCTTCCAGGAGTTTCAAACGATATTGGGGATTGGTCCAAAAAGTGTCTGCAAATGGCGCCCCCAATTTAAATTACATTTTAGTTTCCTACACAATGTTTTGACAGTTTCCATAACATTATGGACTCAGTGCCACTAGATATGCTTTAAGAAAATCTCAACGGCCTGAAGGGTTAGTCTCAAGAAGACTTGTTGAAATACTTACGGCAGAGTTTTTCCACCTTGGCAACTTTCAGATCTGTGGACTTCAACTCCCAGAATTCCTCAGTCAGCCTTGAGTTGCCAAGAATGAGAACTACTGCTCTAAAGAACTCTATAAGCCTGTTTGACTATAAGCTGTTTTTAATTGCTATCAATAAATATATTTTAGATTTAAAATAATCTAAATTTCAAGGCCACACTTGGAATACTGCATTCAGTTTTGGTCGCCATGATATAAAAAAGATGTTGAGACTCTAGAAAGAGTGCAGAGAAGAGCAACAAAGATGATTAGGGAACTGGAGACTAAATCATATAGAGAACGGTTGCTGGAATTGGGTATGTCTAGTTTAATGAAAAGGACTGGGGGTGACATGATAGCAGTGTTCCAATATCTCAGGGGCTGCCACTAAGAAGAGGGAGTCACACTATCCTCCAAAGCACCTGAGGGCAGGACAAGAAGCAATGGGTGGAAACTAATCAAGGAGAGAAGCAACTTAGAACTAAGGAGAAATTTCCTGACAGTTATAACAATTAATCCATGGAACAACTTGCCTCCAGAAGCTATGAATGCTTCAACACTGGAAGTTTTTAAGAAGAGATTGTCTGAAATGGTATAGGGCAGTGATAGCTAACCTTTTTGCCATCGCGTGCCAAAAGCGGGGGGAGCGCAGGGGGTCATATGCACACGTGCCCACATCCATAATTCTATGTGCGCCCCCCCGTGCTCCCCCCACTTTTGGCACGTGATGGCCCGGTGGACCCGGTAGGCCCGTTTTTCATTCTCCCCAGGCTCCAGAGCCTTTCTAGGAGCCTGGGGAGGGCGAAAATGGCCTTCCCTACCCTGGAGGCCGGAAACAGTGTGTTTCCTGATTTCTGGTGGGCCCAGAAGGCTCGAAAATCAGCTGGCCGGTGCATGCATATGTACCGGAGCTGAGCTAGCGTGCTCACCGATATGGCTTCAAGTGCCACCTGTGGCACCCGTGCCATAGATTTGCCATCATGGGTATAGGGTTTCCTGTCTAAGCAAGGGATTGGACTAGAAGACAGGCAAGGTCCCTTCCAATTCTATTCTATTCTATTCTATTCTATTCTATTCTATTCTATTCTATTCCATTCCATTCCATTCCATTCCATTCCATTCCATTCCATTCCATTCCACTCCACTCCACTCCACTCCACTCCACTCCACTCCACTCCATTTTAAAAAGAAATGTATAAACATTATACATTTAAAAATCTCCATTAACATATTAGTAGGAGCAAATTTAGAATAGGTGGAATCCTACAGTATTTAGGAGGACCTAATACCAATGGTTTGCCCAAAGCTTGACCTATATAACCTCTTTAAAAAAATGCCTGACTGAAGAATGGTATTTTATAAGCAACTGTTATATATAAGCAACTGTTTTTGTATGTTTTCCCGTTTCTTCTTCTACAGTAGTGGCCAAAATTGTGGAAACCTTTTGGGAAAAGTGTATTTTCTAAAACTAGCTAATAACACCACTTTTTTTTTTGAGTAGTACCATAAAATTATATATCAATGGAAAGATAATTTAATCAAGAATGCAATGCAATAACGTTTATGAAGGAATTGCTATTAGAAAAGCAGTTACAGTATAAAGAAGAAAAGTGAAACACATAGAAAACACAAGATATACAAAAATTATCACCATGTCAGTTAATACTTAGTTGGGTAACCTTTAGCATGGATTATGGCCTTATAATGTCTTCCCATGGAGTGAACCAAGTCTTTTAGTTCTGGAGCTGTTATAATGTGAAACCAAGATTGAATGTTTGCTTCTATTAATTGGGTTTTATTGCTGGATCGCTTCTGACTAACAAGTTTCTTTAGTTGGCTGGCTCCATAGATTTTTGATTGGGTTAAGATCTGGGCTATTCCCAGGCCATTCCAGCAGTGGAATATGATTATATTGAAGCTCCAAAAAAAAGGTGTAATTAGTCATCAAGCTCAAAAATATACTTTTCCCAAAAGCTTTCCACAATTTTGGCCGCTACTGTACATATTCCTACATATCCCCTCTCATTAATCTAAAGGAGGCTTTTCTGCATGAGGTCTGGCTACACTATGGCAATGTCACCAATTAAAGAAATTCCCCTTTCATCTATTTGCCCCCTTCATCATGTTGATTGATTATACCGGTGCTTCTCAGCCTCAACAACTTCTTAAAGCATGCTGGCTGGGGAATTCTGGCAGATTAAGTCCACACCTCATAAAGTTGCTGAGGCTGAGGAACATTGGATTATAGGGTACCTGTATAGGCTTCCATGAATACGACATGGACTTCCTACCAGTGATGGATTTCAAAATTTCCTACTACCAGTTCTGTGGGTGTGGCTTGGTGGTCATGGCATGACTTGGTGGTCATGGCATGGCTTGGTGGGCGTGGCAGGGGAAGGATACTGTAAAATCCCCATTCCCACCCCACTCCAGGGGAAGGTTACTGAAAAATCCCCATTTCCTCCCAATCAGCTGGGACTTGAGAGGCAGAGAATAGATGGGGGCGGGGCTACCCAGAGGTGGCATTTATCGGTTCTCCAAACTACTCTAAATTTCCGCTACTGGTTCTCTACAATTGGTCAGAACCTGCTAAAACCCACCTCTGCTTCCAACCCACTATTCAAAGCACTATGCTACAAATCTGCCACAGCAGAAACATCTGAAAAGGAATCCTTTCTTTGGTTTCAATTTGGTTTCAAAATATTGCAAGAGGAATGCACCACTTTAGAAGAGGCATTCTGTCAGTGCTTCAAAGTAGTCCAGAAAAAAATACTTTCAAAAATACTTACCCTCCTTCCCTGTGTTTAGAGAGAAGAGGGTCCCTTCTGAGATGTTTTCTGCCCTCTCTCCTTCCTTTAGACTTACTGTAGATTGATCAGACAGTTGTCTAGGCCAGGGGTTTCCAACCTTGGCAACTTTAAGACTTGAGGACTTCAACTCCCAGAATTCGTCAGCCAGCCTTGCTGCCTCAGTTGCCAAGGTTCGAGACCCCTGGTCTAGGCTGCTTCTGTATCCAAGGTTATTCTCACTGCATGTTACACATTCTCTTTTGTGTTTGAGAGATGGCAGAAAAAACTCCTCTACAATGACTACCACTATTCAGCTTTTTAAAAAGATTTGTATAGAAATAATTATTCACAGCAAAACCTGTTTATATTCTCCATTCAATTCAAGAATTGACTTAACCAAAGTATCTCTAACACTTTATTTACCTGGATAGTTACGACAACCACCTGCAGTGCTGCCTCGCACCCATTGTCCTTCCGTGACGGAAACTGTCCATGTGTGAAGCTTATCAGCCTCAAGGGTATCAGGGGTGAGATTACAAATCTCCAATTTTGTGAAATATCTCAGAAAATCTTGAAATGATATCCTACAGAGTGGGAAACACGAACACAAATATCATGAGATAGCAACAACATGGTGCACTTCATATGATTGGTGCTTGTATACTCAGGTTAGGATGTTAAAAGCAAAAATGAAAGGATTTTTCAGAAAGAAATCCATCTTTTTTAAAAAGACAAAGAAACTTAACTATTTACCAAAACTCTCCATCCTCTGCAATTTTATGTTGCAAGCGGACCTTCTCGGCATTGTCAATGTTATTCCATTCATCTGAGCTACAAGAAAAGGAAGAACCTTTTTCAGCTGATGAAAATGGAGTTACTTCTTCAATCATAAAGCAGAAAGAGGTTTTTCAGTTCATAATCTATGAACAAAGTTTATCTTTTATTAATTTAGTAAATACTGAATTTAGTTAAACTGCTTCTTTTTTGTAGTTCATCAACTGCAAATTGAATTGTTGTTCCTTACCTACAATTACACCACTGACTAAAATATTACAAATTATCATCCTCTTAAACATAATAGAGAAGTAGTCTCAATTCTTTTAGCTTCTCTGGAATTTTTCTCTAGGGAAAAAAAGGCCCGTAACTTCCATGTTTGTTTTCAGGCCACTTGTGATTCTTTCCGTGTGTGTGTGTGTGTGTGTGTGTGTGTGTGTGTGTGTGTGTGTGTTAGATAAAGCTTTTAAGCTGCTCAGAATTGCTTGGAGTCATCCTGGCTATAAATTTTATCTCTCTATGTATGCATCAATAAATAAACATTTGAAGCATAAAAACTGGTTTCAACTTTCATTCTTAAATCTAGATGAGTCCAAACTTCAACCCAAATACTTAGGGGTGAAATTTCTCTTAATGAAGTTTACTTATACAAGTCTCAGTTGATTACTCAAAAATTGTGCTTCCCATGGAATCTACATGAGAAAGTGTGCTCTTTCAGATAAGAAAAATATTGAAGGGGTATATATGTGTATATACACAAAAACACACGGCATACTATTCTGCTTTATTTAAAAATATATATTATTGAATCACTGAATCAGGAATATGCAATATGTATATACTTGATCCTGCCATTCTTATCACATTTAAAGTAATTATCCTTTATATTTAAAATAATTGTCAAGCGATGTCAAAGAAGAGTCTTAAAAAAATAAGATGGACAAAGGAAAAACATTTAATTTCTGACTTTCACATCAGACCAGGAACAAGTTGGTAATGTTTCCAAGCAAACTAAAGAATACAAGTTTATCAAGTGAAATTACCATGAATTCTGTTAATCAGTCGCTTCCAAGAAGATTAGTTTTTACTTGCCTATCACTCCAAGCTCCATTCCATTCTACTTGTCCCCAGGGATTTCTGAGCCGCACCAGTTTTATCTTCTCCCGTTTAAGTGTTGTCTTGATTATAGGAAGGGGAAAAACACATAATTAGAGATACTCTGAAATATCATAGCATATAAATTCTTACAGATTCTGATCTGTGGCATACAGGAGGAAACAACTGGTCAGTCAGCTAAATCAGCCAAATCAACTTGGAAGTAATAGACATCACAGGCAAACAAAATGTGGATATTAGTGAAATTTTTCCAAAGTTATTTATGTTTCACCACTAATCATAAACATCTATTCCTTTTTTTAATATTGAAATTGCTTGGTACAAAATCTTGTATAGGAAGATTTTATCCATTAACAAAAAAATTTTAATGGATGTCAGGCTTGTTGATTAAGAAATAGAATTCCATACTTACGTCTTCTACTCCTGTGACTGAATATGCATGGCCTGTGACCAGTCCATTAGTCATGCGCCTTTCATACAACAATGGAATGATGGTCTGTTAAAAGCAGAAAAAGCTTGTTGGAATCATTATAGGACCTATAAAAAGCTAACAGTTTACTTCTTGGTCAGATGTGCTCAGAACATCTAATTCTGAGTCAAGTGAATGGTTCTGATTATCTCCTACAAAACTATATCATTTTTGATTCTATATCATAGAATCAAGAACTGTAGAAGTGGAAGGACAAGCATCTTCATGTCCAATGCTTTGTTACTGTTGGAGACTAACCATCCCAGTTCGGAGGAGGAGTCAAATGGGGAATTAGTCTGGAGTCATTATGTAAATTCAAGAAGGCAAGGTCTGAACCTCCCTCTTGAATGCCATTGGATTTTATATAGTACTTGATAATGCCTGTATACTCTAGTTTTGTTGGGAAAAAATAGTAAAATACCCCAATAGATTATAATTTAAAAACCAAGTGCTTGCTTGCTAATTGTTATTGAGGAGATAATTCCAACATCATTCATCATAATATTCTAAAATTCCAGTGCTACAACTTGAACCTAATGCAAATCTTTCAAGAGATGCAATTTGCGAAGATGGCATAAAAAACACGTGGTTCTTACTGGCAACACATTTGAATAATACAGACCCGGATTGTTCTGTCTTCTGTTTCTTCAATTGACTCATTCAAAAATTCAAAGTCCACTTTCTGCAACTTTTGGGCAATGAATTGTCCAATATCAGTTGTAGGGGCACTTCCATAAATAAATCCTGAACTGTCCTAGGAGAGAAAAATAAAAGGAAAAGTAGGAAGATATTATGAAAAATAAGGCAGTGATATAACAAAATAATAACTGAATATTATAATTGAATAAAGTGTGCCTTACAACATAAAATCTCTTCAGAGTTTAATTTTTATACTGTGTGTTGTTGAACATTTAAGCAGAATATTCAGAATATATATTTATGAATATTGTTTTAATGTGTTGCTTAATATTTATGCAGAGTATTTAAATAAATGCAGTGACACTATAAAATCAAATAAGGCACAGTCACATATCTAAAATCCACCTAACAGAAGGAACAAACACCCCATCAGAATAGATGGAGATGCTTGTTTACATCTGTAATAAAGCTCCAATTTAATCATAAATCTCTTCTTTTTCATTTATTGAGCCTTGGTGGCACAGTGGTTAGAGTGCAGTACTTCTGCTGACTGCTGGCTGACTGCAATTAGGTAGTTCAAATCTCAACAGGCTCAAGGTTGACTCAGCCTTCCATCAGTGGTGGGTTACCCCCGGTTCGGACCAGTTCTATAGAACCGGTAGTAAAACCAGAGGAAGGCTCCGCCCACAGACCCCGATGTCATCAGAACGCTTCTGCGCATGTGCAGAAGCTTCTGTGCATGTGCAGAAGAGTGTGCGAGCAAAGAGAGAGCGCGTGCGGCCCCCGTTGGAAACAGGTAGTAAAGGTAAGTAGAACCCACCCCTGCCTTCCATCCTTCCAAGGTGGGTAAAATGAGGACTCAAATTGTTGGGGGAAATATGCTGACTCTGTAAACCACTTAGAGAGGGCTGTAAAGCACTGTATAAAAATCTAAGTGCTATTGCTATTGTTACAGAATGTTGTTACAGATGATCTGTAAAGCTGGGCAGCCACTTCTGAGCCCCTTCACCCACTTGCTTGTCTTTGCTTATCTTAAAGAGAAACCCCTCTGAACTCTCTGAATCCAGTCCCTCCTGAAAGACTAGACTTGAAACCAGCAGGATGACCTGAAGTAGGTTCTTCCATTCAATTAAACCTGCAGTTATAGGCCCAAGGAGAATGCCTGTGGTATCTGGTCACCTTAGACCTTAGAAGCATAACTTCCTAGGTCCCTGAAGAAGCCGTAAGGTTTCACAGCCTAGAAGAGTCAGCCAGCATCACTTGATCTGCTGTATCCAGTGTCAGGGAAAGGAATGATAGAGCAAAGCCCATCCTGAATCAAGGAATGTGCTGAGTTAGCCTGGCTAAAAAGTACCAGTGTCTATTTTTTGCATACAGGTAGGATTTTCAGCTCTTTCTGATTTTCCCTCCCTCTTCCTCTGTTGTCCTTTCTTTCCCCATCTATTTATCAATTAATTATTCTAGTACCACTACTCATTTCTTTATGCAAAACATTCCCTTTCCAAGGCAAATACAATAATTGCAGATAGGATACATTGGATTGGTCCTTTTCCCTACAAACTGCAGTGTACCCATGTTCCATTACTATTCTTCAAAGATTTATTTGAATGCTATTTTATCAACGAATGCTTTTTCCACAACAATTACACGTTTCCCTTTTATGTCTATTTCTCAATGTTGTGCTTTCATTGTATCACCTCCCTTGACACCCGAAGCTGTAAAAGAGGAAGTAAAGAAGAAGATTGCTCATTATTCTCCAACCTATTCCCTGAGGCAGGTGAGGTCACCATTTTTGAGATCCAGATTTACTATAGGATCCATAGCTTTTAAATACTCTTCGGTGCAAATATTTCATTTGCATATTGGACTCTTGCTGTCTCTTACACTCTCAAGACTCATTCTATGCCCAGCTATCACCTTGATTTTGTTGCAGGGGTGGGATTCTACCAGTTTGGACCGGTTTGGGAGAACCGGGAGCTCCGATGATCAGCTGGGAGCGAACCAGTTTGCTCTGACGATCAGGGCCTACCCTCCCGCCCCTGCACTTTACTTACCTGTATCTTGATAGCTGATTAGTGTGGTGGAGTGGATTGCCACGCCTCAGCTGTTTTAATTCCATAGAACTAACGCAGAAGGCAGTGGTGAAATTCAAAAATGTTCTCTACTGGTTCTGTGGGCGTGGGTTGGTGGTCATGTGACAGGGTGGACGTGGCTTGGTGGTCATGTGACCAGGAAAACCAACTATTACACTTTACACAAAAATAACACAAAAGCTACACAACTGAGTCACACAGAATGCAAAAGCAGCCGGACTTCACACAAAATGGCTCCTGCAACAAGCAGGAACCTCACAGAGTCATAGAGAACTCAAAAACAAACTATCACATTTTAAACAAAAATACCGGTTCGGGCAATAGGTAGTAAAAAAATGCTTTAAAAAGTAAAAAAAAAAATTCCTAAGATTGTGCGGCACAGCTGATTGTCACAGCTGATTGTGGGAACCTTTTTTTTTTACTTTTTTAAAGCATTTTTTTTACTACATATTGCCTGAACCAGTAGTAAAAAAATGCTTTAAAAAAGTAAAAAAATAGTGCAGATGATCAGCTGTGCCGCACAATCGTCAGAACTTTTTTTTCCTGGTAAACCAGTAGCATTTTCACTACTGGTTTGGGAGAAGCACCCTGAACCGGTAGCATTTCACCCCTGGCAGAAGGTGATTTTTCATTCAACTGCACATGTGTGAAGTGTGCAATCACCGAACCGGTTGTTAAACTGAAAGGATCCCACCACTGTTTTGTTGTCCTGTATTTACACACAAGATGAGCCAAGACTTATTACAAATATATTGCCCAAAATGTACCTCAATGGAGCAAGCCATAAGTGACCCTCTCTCAATGGCATGCTTCATGATTTTGTATGTATCTTTAGGAGCATCCTTTATCTCATAAAATTCGGTCACTCCTCCTGTGAAATCCTCCATGGCCTCTGTGGTGTTGCCTCCTTTTAATGCTTCATAGGAACCATGAAGCCTGAAAAGGAACAAGGAGAAAGTTAAATGATTCTCATTGTTAGTCTCCATCCACTTGTATGTAGACCAGCTTTGTCTCCAGATAGTAAAAGCTTACACTACAAGAAGAGCTAGCTTCCTTCATAGATGTTTTCATTTATTAGCCTTAATCATAAATAGATTTATTTGGTTTTGATTAATGTGTTCTATGAAGTCAGTCACTGCAGATTATAAACCATAGTTTATTGTCAGACACATTATGCAAAGACATAGTTATCTGGAAAAGATGGAAGGAAAGGAGAGGATGTCCTTGGTTATAGTAGCAATGAGTACATCATTGGAAGGACAAGGTGAAGGACATATCATTCTGGAGAAAATCTGTCTATGCAGTCATTAGGAATCAACCTGATGATAATAATGATTATATGCCATCCACTTGGTGACATATAATCATCATTATCAATATCTGACTACAACAATTGTGTAGAAATCATGACTCAAACTAATTAATCTGATGGAAACAGTAGGCAATTTGGCTAAGAAGCAAAGTACCCATTATGTTTTATTATGCAAAGCTACGGAGTGTAAGAAAATGCAGCATTTGCACAAACAATGGGACCGATGAAGCCCAAGAAAAAATAGAATTAACTTTATTGTCATCACTAGGTACCATGTTATTTGTGAAAACTGCTACTGTTTTATATTTACATGCTTTAATCTCAGCACGAACAGTAAATGGTATGTTATAATAAATAAACATAATAAAGGACTGAATGGATAAACCCTCTTTACTTTGCATAAGCTTTTTCCAGTAATGCACTCCAGAATTCATTCTGCTGGGAGGATTTAGTGAAGACCAGACGTTTTCCATATGTTGGTAAACGGTCATCGATAATAACTTCCACCCAACTTCCATAACGCCAGAACTGGAAGATTTGAAGAAAACAAATTAGAATTCACCACGGTAACAGCATAAGAAATAGATGCTATTTCTTTTGATCATAACAGCTTTTATGATCCAAAGCTGGTTATACATTATAAAAGGGACTAGATTATATTTTTTAATGATTAATTCATAAAAGGAAAATACACTTATCACCAGAAGGCGCTGCATGACTGGTTTTGTCCTATTTGGAACTCATCAGACACACACTTACACTAATGGTTCAAATTCTCTATCAGAAATTGAACTCTTGAACCTTTGCATTTTAGATGACAATTTACATTGCTTTGACTTTAGCAACTATCCAGATCTGTGCGCTTAGTGGTTGTGAGAAGGCATATATACCCTATACCATGGGTCAGCAACCTTAAACACTCAAAGAGCCACAAAGGTTCAGCCCCCGTTCAATTCTGGAGCCAACCGGAAGTCCGGTTTCCCCACCATAGAATCTTCTTCTAGTGTGGCATCCTTTTTCCTCTACCTGTCCTAACTGAAAGTTCTATCAATTGTGGAGCTGACTGAAAAATCCGCCCCTTGCCATAGAGTCTTTTCCTGGTGTGCCATGCTTTTCCTCCCCATAACCGCAAGCTACTCTCAAAATTGTGGTGGCCACAGGGAGCCGCAGCAGAGGGATGAAAGAGCCACATGCGGCTCCAGAGCCAAGGGTTGCTGACCCCTGCCCTATACAATCTATTGGAATGGTATATATGTACAATCCATTTTCCTTTCAGGAAACTATCCATTTTCCTTTAAACTACACAGAAGTTCTGCATATGGGGCACAGTGAGAACATACATATACTGCATTATTCTGACATTAGCAAAATAGTGATTAATATAGGCTTTTCATTTCTGGGTGTACTTCTGAGTTATTGTCTAGTAATTAGTAGATCATAGTGGAAATGCAGAAAGGAACATCATCTTGGATCTATTTTACAATATATACCTGGAAGTGAAAAATCCCAGCATAATCTTTTGTGAAGGTCTGACCTTCTGGAATGACCCGAAACAACAATTTTTCATTCAGGGTCAGACAAGCAATGGCAGCCAGAAACCAACAATCCCCTGAAAGAAAATAAACAGGGTTGGACAAATTCAGTGTCAAAATGAAAAAGAATGCAAGCAACTGAATCATTAGACTTTACACCAGTAATCATATTTTTGTTTTTCAGACAAATGCTTACCACATATATTAATTAGAAAGTAGTAACTGATAAATGAATTGGATAAACAAAATGTTTTAAAACCTAAACAGCTGCAAAGAAAGGATTTCATACCTAGTTCTCCTTGACAAATGTCAGACCTATTAGCTCCACCAAGGATAAAACGTGGATTCTCACAGATTTCCTAGATAAAAGAAATACACTGATGAGAAACACACACACACACACACACACACACACACACTTCCACTTCGATTATTAAGGATTGCAAAAAAAAAAAATTGTCTGCCACTCTTGAAAACTTTTTGATGCTTTGTGATCAAAATAGTGCCTTCGGTAGGAATCAATTCATACATATTGAAAGGCAACAACATTGAAGTTATCTAAGTGATAACTCCAAAATGTAGCATTGACTTGTATAATCACAGCAGGACTGAAAATACATGCAAAATTTTGTGATCAAAGGCTTCAGTTTCTGCATAAGAACATCAGACTTTTTACTAGAGCATTGTTTTTTAACCTTAGCAACTTTAAGACATGTGGACTTCAACTTCCAGAATTCCTCAGTCACCAAAGCCCAGCGAACATAATCACACATCTTAAAGTTTCTAGGATTGAGAAACATTGCTGTAGAACACTCTGGTTACTCTAAATTTGTCCATGCATCACATTAGTGGAATAAGTCTTCTGGGTAGATATTTCCCCATAACTTAGCTTGTACCAATGTTTCTCAATCTTGGCAATTTTAAGATAAGTGGATTTTAACTTCTAGAATTCCACAGCCAGCCATTCTGGGAATTGAAGTCCAAACATCTTAAAGTTGTAAAGGTTGAGAAACACCGGCCTATGCCATGGATATCTACTGGATTTTGCTTCATCCTGCCATCACGTTGCCAGCTGCACTCCTTTCTTGCGTCTGACTGATGACACAGGGCATATACAAAAGGGGTGGACCTTGCTGCACAACAACATATTGCTAACTTTGAGGGAGCAAGCAAATGTGCTACCTCAAATTCTTGTTTTCCAGATAGTCTTTTAAAATTATCTATGCATTCTCACAATGTCATTCTATACAGGGGTGCTTATGGTCCCCCAAATGCCACAAAAAAAGTGGCTACTAAAAGGTAATTTTTTTAAATGATGGAAGTGAGAAATTATGAAATATGTGTTAAGTAATCATATTCATTAAATTCAGCTGTTAATTATTTTTTTTCTGACCTCGACTTCTTGTCCATGCCTAAGTTATTGACTGTAACTTTCCAAGATCTGTCAAAGATTTCATAGGTAATATTGAAATAATATTACCTAGATGACTTGCAAATATTAAGCATATGCTAATCTTTAGATCAGACAAGAGACCTACTCACTGATGGTCTTTTCCACTCAAATTTGACTGGAAGCCTTTGACTGAAGAAAAGGGAGCTGTCATTAGCTGGAAAATCTGGATCCTCATAAAGAATCTTCTTCTCAATGCACTTCTTATGAAGCTCATGAAAGGTTTTCTCCTTGACTTCAGTGATCGGCTGGTTGCGGCTGAGGATAGCAGAATAGATCCCTCCTGTTCCAGCACCTGTTTCTGTAGTTGTGGCAGCATGCTGACAGGGAATTGGTTCAGAGCCAGTCTTTTGAACAACAGTGCTACTGACAGTGGACGGCATCTAGATCAAATTGAAGCAAAACTATCCATTAAATTATAACAATTGAAAAAGAAACTAGGACCTGGAAGGAAGTGGGGAAAAAAAGAAGAAATGGCGTTGCACAATCTCTTCTGCAGACTGAGTTTTTTTCTCTTCCTTTTTTGCAAGACTTCAAACAATTTTAGGAAGATTGATGCCACCGGGTTGTATAGATGTTATCCTGAGGTTCTCACAACAGTTAATCTGTCCTTTCATGTTAAAATCCTCATTTTAGCAGGAAGCAAATTTGTAGAGTAACTTCCATCCCCGGATTCATGTGTGTGAGGATAGCTGTGGCATGCTTTGTAAAGGTTGCAGTTCTGACAGCTAAAAATAAACTCTTAGGAAGCATATTGGCATGGAGGAGGGGATGAGGATCCAGGGTTGGATCTTTCAGTAAGATTGCGAGTGCAAATGCAAGTGCAAGTGCAAATGCCAGGGAACCTTACACCACTTTTTAACCAGCATTTAGAAGTAAGTAACTCCATATACAAAAATTACAGGATGATGTAACCTTATTCTGATACAATTCATTTTACAGTGATGCATCCAATATAGAGATGTGCTAAAAGCAAGACAAACCTTTCCAAAGAAGGAATGTTCCTTTCTGATTATTTTTAATAAAAAAATGTTTAACAGAATAAAAACTATACAAATTTTGAAAGAAAAAAGTAAGGGAGGAAAAGAATAAGTAAGTGAAAAGTGTAAAGAAAGAAATAAAAATGTGAAGACGAGGAGAAGAGAGAGGGAAGGAAGGGTTATAAATAAACAGTTTCTAATTTTTTAACAACAGTTACAAGTACATTTATATTTTACACTCTCCCTATATACCTTCTCTATATAACATAGTTTCCTGATTTCCATAATCTACTAGTTTCTAAACATCAAACCCATAAATTCATTTTTTCTAGCAAAAAGTCCATAAGGCATGTGAACCAGTGGTGGGTTTCTACCGGTTCGCCCCAGTTTGGGCGAACCGGTAATGGCGGCAGCGGGAGGCTCCACCCACCCACCTGGACATCATTACGGATGCTCTGCACATGCACAGAAGATTCTGTGCATGCACAGAAGTGCCGTGAAGCAAGCACGCACACACACGCACTCCCAATTCCAAACTGGAAGCAAAGGTAAGTGGAACCCACAAATGATGTGAACATAATCTGCTCTCACATCATCTAGAACAGTGATGGCTAACCTTTTCAGGACCGAGTGCCCAAAGCATTCACACGAATTAGCACGCGGCCCCGTGCATGTGTGTGCGGCCCTCGCATGAGCCCCCCTGCATGTGCATGTGCCCTCTGCTTGCACCCTGCGCATGTGTGCGTGGCCCTGCCCCTGTGCTCTATCCCGCCTCCTGCATGTGCGGCAGTGACCTGATGACCAGCTGGCTTCTGGGAGGTGCACACACATGTGCAGCAGAGCTGAATTGGGGCAACAGCTCGCGTGCCCACAGAGAGAGCACCGCGTGCCACCTGTGGCACATGTGCCATAGGTTCGCCATCATGGATCTAGAACTTTATGTCCAAAATATTATAAAGCATTTTTGATTCAGAAAATTAACTTCCAAGAAATTACATGACTCCACAAAACAACTGAGTAGGATCTGGAAGAGAAATGGGACATTCTGGGGAATATAAGATGGTCCTTCCTTAGTTATGGGCTCCTTCTCCTCTTATCTCTTCAAATGCTATAATTTCATTTTTCCAACTGTTTTTCCTCAGTCCTAGCAGCACCTGATATGAACCAGACTTCCATCTTTCCAATAACTGGTATGCTATGAACAATATTTCTGTCTGCTTGGATCTTAGAGTCCCATAAAATCATAACCTGCTCATTTCCCAAAACTGTCTGAACTTGATGGTGCCAGTAGTTTTTATTACATTCAAATCCAACCCTCTGGCAAAGTTTCCAATTAATAATTCTGGCTACTTGGTCATGGCGTTACTTGTAGTCAGTTGGTGAAATTTTGCTGCAATCATTAATCAAGTGGCCAACTGTTTCATGCTTTTCATTACAAAGGGGACATTTGCTGTTTGTTTCACCTTCATGAAATTAGCTGGCAAAGCTTGTTCTTGAGACTCTTAATCAATACCAAGGAGCCTTGGTAGTACAGTGGTCTAAAGTACCCTGTTATTAAGACCAGCTGCCTGCAATTACTGCAGGTTCGACTCTCGCCAGGCTCAAGGTTGACTCAGCCTTCCATCCTTTCTAAGGTAGGTAAATTGAGGACCCAGTTGTGGGGGCAATAAGCTGACTTTGTATAAATATACAAAAGGATGAAGGCTATTGCTTAACGCATTGTAAGCCGCCCTGAGTCTCCGGAGAAGGGCGGCATATAAATCAAATTAAAAAAAAAAATACTATGTTAGTTTTTTAAAATCAGCTTTTCCTTCTCTGTATAGATTATGCACGAGGACATGGGGTATTCTGGGATTCCCACTTTTCTAAGTACATTCCACAGCTGGATATGGTAGACACAATTGAGGGCTTTTCTATAACCAGCGAAGTACATAACTGACTTCTTTTCTGTACTCGTCTTAATTTTCCAGTGTGCATCAACAATAATGTCTCTTATTCCTCAGCCTTTTCGAAAGCCAGGATGAACCACTGGCATTTTTCCTCTCCATGTAGCGCTGTAAATTGCTTTGAATGATGCTAAGCATTATTTTGAAATTAAGAATATTATACAACAGTTTGCATACACTGTCAACTTTCCTTTCTTTTTTATTGGTATGCGGAATGACCTCTTCCAATCTGTTGGCTAGGATGGATGTTTGCTTTTTCTGGGCAACTGAAATGACTTTCACATCTTGGATAACCTTGCTGGGAGTATATTCTCTTGATGTACACTCCCAGCATTCTTAACTCATTCCTTCTGGTAATATTTTTAACTATAAACTTCCCAGAATTACTTTGCAGAATGAGATGGATGGCCCCACCACACTGAGATAGCATAGCAGGATTTGCGGGTATACTGTATAGGTTGCTGTATTCAGTGTCCATAATATCACTATTTCATTGCAAATGCTTTCCCAACTGACATGTTTACTTCCACATTCTGCTTTCTATTGGTATCTACTAATTTAGTTATTACAAGACCTGCGTATGTGGTTCTCTTGCAGCAGGAAATACTAGAAGCAACTTAAGCTCATTGGTATGGGAAGACAAAAGTGATTGAAATTATTGCACAGTTAGAACAGCACCCGCGATATATTTCTGCAACTTGTGGAAGATTTTGGATACTTTCCTTCCCTGATTTATTCTAGTAAAAATTCAAGTCATTCTGGCAGAGGCACAAATGAATAGCTGGCAGTCATTCTGCACTCTCATCTCCCAACCTTGCATTAATTGAACACTCTATGGCAAAGTAATCATAACACCTATTTTTAAATATGGTGAGTACTGTGAAATCCCTGTCAGCAGGGATTTTTTTTTTCTTTTTGGTTAAATACTCTGTCATGCCGTCATGAATCTGATATGCTACCAATTGGATAAGAACTGGCTTTTAGACCAGAACTAAATCCATATTCACATGTAGTGGTAAGTAAGTCTTACTGAAATTATGAATAAGGTCTTAAATTTTAGAATTTATAATATTCTCTTTCCCTCTTATTCTTTAACAGGGACCACACTTCAAAGACTTTTTATAAATTTAAAGTTCATTTTTATTAACTATAGATTTGTTCCAAATTGTCCAAAATGTACCTTGAAACAATATTTATCTCAAGATTTAAATTATACAATTGCTATTTAAATAAAATATTTATCCTTTGGCAGAGCAATGAATATTTACGTATCTACAAGAAAGACATGAATTATCTTCCACTGCATATACTTACAGCGGCATGGATAGCTTTTGTGCAGAAGTGGAAAGAGAAAGATACCCCAAATGAAGAGGAAATACTACTAAAAATTTTCAACTGCGCAGAAATGGATAGACTCACCTTGGAACTCAAGGATAAAAGCGAAACATTGTACTATAAAATCTGGGCAAAATTCTGTGAATGGTTAGATAAAAGAAGGATAGTCGAGACAAATGTGTAGTGTTAGACTAGAATTATATACGTTATTATAGATAAATATGTATGTGAATTGTATAGATAGGTATATGTAGGTATGGATATGTATAGAAATAAGGTATAAATGATTAATATTATACCATGTTTAAATAACGTATAAGGTGTAAGGAATATATTATTATATCATCATTAGTATATTATGTATTAACTTAAAGTGTTGGAACATGCTTGAGACCAGTGATGTCATATCTATGTCCAATGTTTTTAATTTTGAATTACTAATAAAAAACTTTTTTTTTAAAAAAAGAAAATTTACATATCCAAACTTCCAACCACAGTCACTTTGGTGAGATGTGTGGCTATGTATATTTAATTAATAAATAAAAATGAAAATAAAAACGTAGGTTTTGAAAAGCGAGTGCATGCGCCCAGTCCTGTTGCGAACTGGTAATAAAGGTAAGTAGAACCCACTCCTGGGTTAATGGCAAGTTAACAGCACTCTGTGACCTTAATTACTTCATTAGAACTTCCCTCCAGCTCCCAGCTGTTGCCTGAAACTGACCAGATATTAATCAGTTTCACACTGTGCACTAAATGCACTAATTGGTCTGAAAATGAATTGTTTACAGGTAGTTCTCAACTTATGACTGCAATTGGAATCAGAATTTTTTGTCCTTTGTTAAATGAATCATCACATGACTGTGCCCAAGTTTACAATCTTTTTTGCTGCAGTTGTTAAGTGAATCTGGCTTCTCCCACTGACTTTGCTGATCAGAAGCCAGCTGAGAATGTTGTAAATGGCGATTGGGTTTCCCTCCATAAATATATGCCAGCTGCTAAGCACACAAATTGGAATCACACAACCATGAGTATATTGCAACTGAAAAGACTGGTGTTAGATCTTCTTTTTTTCCCAGCGCCATTGCAATTTTGAATGGTCACTAAATGAAAACTCATAAGTCAAAGACTACCTGAATTACCTTTGTTATTATTACCATTGTATTTGTGAAAGGTTGCTATCCAAGGCTGTTGCTAAATGAGAACTTTATGTATTAATATTCTCTTAGTTTGTGCAAAGGTTCTTGATAACAAAGTGCAAATGTACAAAAAACCTGCAGCTCCAAGCATAACAGACCAGTATTTTTGTGGTAAATACACTGTTTGCAAAATGTACTTACCAATTTAGCAGTTCTATGAATTCTAGCGACACTAAGACCTCCACTTTAAGGGGGCATTTTATCTGTGCTTCTGAAAGACTTATTTATGCTATCCAGTATCTGGGTAAGTTA